GGCGCAACATCACCTCACGACATTGTCATCCGTGATCGTCAGTTAGGTTTACAGACCATCAGTTCACTCCATGCATCCTATATGCCCCTCCACTACGTGCTTATATTTCCTTTTGGTGATGATGGTTGGTTTGCTAGAATGCAGTGTGAAAGTACTGACCGCCAGACCACTACCGTTACGTTGCTCGAATTCTGTTCGTATATGCTCATGATCCGTGATGGGGAACGAGCGAGTTACCAGCACCATTTCCGTCGTCTTTTCCAACAATTGGTTGTTGACAATTATGCGCGCATCGAGTATTCTCGCCTTCAGTATATCACCAACAATCAGAATGATTTACGTGCTGAGGTTTACAATGGTATCGGTGACGATGTAGATCCACGTCAGATCGGTCGAGCCATTATTTTGCCATCATCTTTTACTGGAGGCCCACGGTACATGAAGCAGATGCTTCAGGATGGACTTGCAATCATTCGACAAAGAGGCAATCCAACCCTTTTCATTACGTTCACCTGCAATCCACAGTGGCCAGAAATTCAAGCTGAGCTCCTTCCAGGTCAGCAGGCATTTGATCGTCCTGACATCTGTTCGAGAGTCTTCCATATGAAGATCACTGAGATGTTATCGCACATCAAAGAAACCAGTTGCTTTGGCCGCATCGAGGGGTATGTTGCAACCGTTGAGTTTCAAAAACGTGGCTTACCACACGTGCACATCCTACTCATCCTACACCATGAAGACCGTCCCCGCAATCCTTCTGACTACGACCGTTTCGTCTGCGCCGAGTTGCCAGATCCTAACACCCAGCCTCAACTGTACGCCACAGTCACAAGATCGATGATACACGGACCATGTGGAGATCTTAAACGGGACGCTGTTTGTATGAAAGATGGACGATGCTCGCAAGGTTATCCCAAAGCATTCGTTGCTGAAACGCGCGTAAGCAGAGACGGCTATCCAATCTATCGTAGACGCGAAAACATTCAACGTCGCCATCACTTTCACCGATCCAACTTTGTTGCTGACAATTCCCATGTTGTTCCTTATAACCCGTACCTATGCCAAAAGTACAATGCTCACATCAACGTTGAGATCTGTACCTCTGCACGCGCTATCAAGTATTTGTGCAAGTACATCACAAAAGGATCAGACAGGGCGCAGTTGGAGACACTTAGAGCTGGGCAGCCGGAAGCAGTACGATCCACTACTGCTGTTGTTGGCGCCGATACCAATACTGCTGCCAATGTTGAGCGCGAGGCAGTAGATGAGGTGACGCAATATCAAAACGCACGATATATTGGTCCTTGCGAGGCAATTTGGCGAACCTTCGAATACCAGGTCCATATGCACCATCCTTATGTGTCCCGCTTAGAACTGCATCTTCCTGACCAGCAATCTGTCACTTTCCACGCAAACGATTCGCGTGTAGGTCTTGCAGCAGCACGCAACAACGCATCGAGAACAAAGCTTACTGCTTTTTTCGACCTCTGTTCTCGAGATGAAGAGGCTCGGCAATATCTTTACGTTGAGATCCCTTGCCATTATACTTGGGATAAGCGAACGAAGACCTGGAACCGCCGCACCCGTCCACCTTTTCAAAATGTTGTTTCTCGCATCTACTTCGCGTCCCCGTCTAATATGGCATTGTATTCGCTTCGATTGCTCTTGCTTACTGTTCGTGGTCCTATCAGTTTTGAGTCGTTAAGAACGTTGAATGATGTCGTGCATCCATCCTTTGAAGCTGCCGCTCTCGCACATGGTTTGTTGGAATCCGATGACGAATGGGATCGTTGCATGACTGAGGCATCTATCCATTCTCCTTCAGCTGCAGCGCTTCGAGAACTCTTCGTCTATATTCTTACAAACTGCTCGCCTTCTGATCCACGCAGACTCTGGGATAATCATCGCGAAAGATTGAGCGACGATTACTTTTTCGAAATGCACGTTCAACTTCCGAATAATGGGACCAAGTATTCCAGTGTACTCTTGGCGACATTGAAACACGATTACAATCCACAGGTCACCGCCTTTCCTAGTTCCTTATCTACTGCAAGACTTTGTCACCGAACTTGATGCTCTTCCACAGCTCACTGCTTTAGAAGCAGTCGAACGTGGGGAGTATGTCACAGAAGAGCAAACTCGAACTCACAACGAATTGTTCCCCATGCTTAATGATAATCAAAGATATGCATTCAATACAATAATGCAGGCAGTTGACGAACCAGGTAACCAAAACCAGCCACATCTTTTCTTTGTCAATGGCCCTGGAGGTACCGGCAAGTCACAGCTGTTCAAGACATTGTGAAGTCGTGTTCGTTCGCGAGATCAGATTGCACTGCCTGTTGCTTCCTCTGGCATTGCTGCAATTCTGCTTCGCGGTGGTCGCACAGCTCACAGCCGTTTTAAAATACCGATCAATGCAGACGATACTACTACTTGCAATCTTCGACTTGGTGGTCCACACGCACATCTCATACAACAAGCATCTTTAGTTATTTGGGATGAAGCTGTAATGCATAGCAAGTACAATTTTCAGGCTGTTGACAAGGCATTACGTGATATCATGGGTGCTGTCGATCCTATGTACGAGGGTGTTCCCTTTGGTGGAAAGGTTGTTGTTTTTGGCGGTGACTTTCGCCAGCTACTGCCTGTTGTCAAAAAAAGCACACGATCTGAGGTTGCCGGAGAGTGCATCTGGTCTGCACCTTTTTGGGTAGATGTCCAGGTATTGCACCTTACAGTCAACATGCGTGTCTGAAATGCAGGTCCAACTGCTGCAGCGTTCGCGGAAACACTTCTTACCATTAGTGATGGACGGCCTCTGCACAGAGAGAGCATAGAAATACCGCAAGAATGGCTCATTGATGCAAGAGATCCAGTCACGCTAATCGATGCCATTTACCCATCGATCCGTCAGCCCAATCCACAACCTCAAGAATTCAGCAATCGTGCTATTTTAGCAGCTAAAAATGTTGACGTTGACGAGATCAATGATTGTGCGTTTGAGCTTTTTCCTGGCCAGAGCAGGCAGTATCTTTCGACTGACCGTATTATTGACGCAGACGATCCAGACGTCGCCGCCGCCAGCTATCCTCCTGAGTATCTTCGCTCTTTAAGTGCCAGTGGTATCCCGCAACATGCTCTTGATCTTAAAGTGGGAATGCCATTAGTGCTTATGAGAAATCTCAATCCTGATGAAGGTCTTTGCAATGGGACCAAAGTTTTCATCACAGCTCTTTTAGATCATTGCATTGTTGTCAAAAGGATGGATCGAGGCCACGACGGTGAGGAACACTATCTCCCTCGAATTAATATGTGTACCACAGAGGGTGAATATCCATTCATCCTTTGCCGACGCCAATTCCCTGTTCGCCCCGCATTCGCCATGACCATACATAAAGCACAAGGACAGACATTAACCCATGTTGGCATCCGTTTGCAAGAGCCTGTGTTTGCTCATGGTCAATTGTATGTTGCTCTTTCACGAGCAACCAACCCAGATAATTTGCGTATTTCTGTCGATATGTCAGAATTATCCACTACAGATGTCCCTGCTACAACAAACATCGTTTACCACGAAGTGCTCTTACACCCACCACAACAATCACCACCTCAAACCCAAACACACACAGACAACGATGCTACTGCTGCTACATCTTAGACCTCGCCCTTTCTCCCCACTCTTTTTCCTGCTCTTATACTTTCACTTTTGTATACATATCATTTTAGATTTCTTATTTCTTTCGCACAATGCCTGCCATTAGTAAAACTTATAGTCTGCTATCTTTAACTTCTGTAGGGTTTAGTGTAGTAGCAGTTGTAGCAGTGAGCGAAGCGAACGAGTTTCGGGTTGTAGGTAGGCGTAGCAGTAAGTAAGCTCGCGAAGCGAGCTTTGGTTAGGGTTTAGAAGGGGGGTGTGGGGGGGAACCCCCCACCTTGGGGGTCTGGGGGGAACCCCCAGGAAACATCCAATCCGTTGAATGACCCGGAGCGCAGCGAAGGGGCTCATTCAGCCGAGCGAAGCGAGGCAGGTGGATGTTGATACGTTAGTAATAGCTGTGTAGCACTTGAGAATATTTTGGTATGCATTACTCATCAACTTTTCAAACTAAAAGGTGGAATATACATATACACACACGCTACCTATATAATTCCGTTACTGATACTGTTGACGTAAAGCGAGGATTACGCGGCGTTATTGGTTGCGGCAGTTAGCTATGTGCATGTAAATTACCCTTTTAAGCTATGTGATGCTTGTAAAATATACACTACTTTACATGGTTTTTCGTGATGTGACAACTCATGTCAAATACGATATGGCATTTCCAGCCAGCTTTCCAGAATCCAAATTTCACCCATGATCGCACTGTCGCAACCTGTTGATAAACCGAGAGCCATTGCAACTACTTGCGGAATTCTAGTGTTATAGCTGCATAGAGGCTCATAAATTAGCCGCAACTATGGGTTGAAAAAAAACCTTTCGTTCCCTAGCTTTCATTTTCACGCAACACGAACAAGAGTGCTATATAAATACGTCCACCAGTGGCTCACGTTACCCTCACATATAGAATCGGTACTTTCATTTAACCGGAGCAAACAAACACCTGTGTTTACACACCGATGACAAAGTACTGTCTTGGCAATTTTTTTGGGAAAGGGCTACTAGCTTAACACAATGAAAAGCAGTATTAGCACATAAAGTATCTTTTGATGTCAGTTGCGGCTTGTAAGAAGGGAGCGTGGTTCAGTTTGTCAACTTTTGGTTTCATGCAGCACAATTGCAACGGGAAACTACTTTGATACATCTTTGTGCAATCATTATAGTCCTTGTGCGTGAGAATGCTGCCAAGAAAAGGACGAAGAAAAAAACATCGCAGCGTGTACTGGGATGAATGCGAAGAAAAAAGAAACGGTCGCGTTCCCCGTTTCTGTATTATTGTGAAACAAGCAGAGACTCCTCGGGAATGTATCGAATATAAAAGAGCGGCTTCAATTCAGTACGTACAGTGATACCAAATTTTCTTTTCGTTTGTTCAATAATGATGGTCAAAGCATTTGCGTCAAGACTACTTATCACCTTGTCCTGGGGAACGCTTCTTGCCAATGCACTCGAAATGCCCAACATCAAAGACTGCCCTGCTTTACCCAGACGCTTGAGTGGACCAGAAAATGTAACAGACCTTCGAGCAGATGATATCAAAGTGGTTGCAGCTATGGGTGACAGGTAACAAATATACATGCTGAAATTGCAGGGGGAGTGATGATGATATTCCATGTATAATGATGGTACCTTTATTGTATACTAATCTCTAATTTCTTTAGTATCGTTGCTGGTGCATTCATGTTGGGCATGAATGCAGAAGAAGAGGGTTTGGACATCAATTCTTTCAGTGAGTCAAGAGGTGAAAGCTACGCAATTGGTGGTAACAGCGATGCGGTTACTTTGGCAAAGTTCATCCAGCATTACAGTCCTACTGTCCGAGGCGCATCAATCGGCTCGCGCTTCCCAACAACACCTTGCGTCGGTAATGCTACTTAATTTTATTCGCTGTGTTTCATTCTTTATGTACAGAAAATTTACTAATCAATGCTCGTGAATAGATGACGACTGCTCGATTTTATCGTATGAATGTAAGTGCCTTATATAGTTCCCTGTTAAGAAGTGAATATACGAATACATTGTAGCGTCTTGATGTTCGATATTGATGGATTCACGGTTCTTTGACACATAGACCGGCCACTTCGTGACAGATTGAATGCTGCTATTAGTGGATCCATGGCAATCAACCTTGACAGACAGCTTGACTATCTTATTACACGTAAGTTCCAATTAATCCGTTTTTTGAGTTGTCTATTTGTGCTTCTCATCAATGTGTTGCTTATCTTACAATTATCTAGGCATGAAGACGATGATTGGTGTCAACTTTCATCGTGACTGGAAAATGATTACGATTCAAGTCGGAAGTACGGCCCGTGCTCGGGAGTTTGTCGTCATTTTTGGGCTAAAATAAAAAAAAACAATCTAACCAAAAAAAACCGTGCTACTAGGTAATGATCAGTGCGCGTCTTGCGCCGGAGCTTTAGATGTTTCGCCAGAAGCCTACGGAAACTATGTTTCAGCTGCGCTAGAGCGTATCCGAGACAACATCCCTCGAGTCATTGTTAACTTGCGTAAGTCGGATTATACTAGATTGCATACCATCATCAATTACTTGTTGATAACTCACTGTATTTGATTGCACAAACCAAAGTGGGAACATTCAAAGTTTCTCAAGTATATGCCATCACGGAAGACGGGCCCGAATATTGCCGTCCTCAGAATGATGACCCGAATACCATTCTTAATCGCGCTATGTGCTCGTGTTTCCAGGGCGCTGATTCGAATCGCACTCAGATGGATACTTTATCCGAAGGTGAATAAAGTAGAAAGACACAAAAAGCTCATGACCCATTGTTTGCATTATTAGCATCCTTTTTTAACCGTGTTGTGCCAATTTCTATTTCAGGTTACAATGCCAAACTGCAAGAAATTTATGAACAATTCAAATCTGAGCAGAGCGACACCTTTGCCGTTTCGTACATGCCAGGCAACATCAACATATTAGGTTTCCCAATTGAAGCTTTGAGGTAAAACGAAAACCAACACTGGCCCTGTGCACTTGTACGACAAAGAAAGCACTGAGTGTGTTTGTGCTATGTATTATCACAACCAGGCTAATTCGTTGTACCTAACACTATGTAGCAATTTTGATTGTTTTCACCCCAGTCTCATAAACCATCAATGGATTGCTAAGGTAAGCATGCGCGTGAGATGAGGACTTCAATACATGCAGCTACTATGCATTTAAGCTCGAATAGAATGCCTAATATCTTATTGAATATTACTTTATCATTAGACCTCATGGGAACTCCTTTTCGCAACAGAGGAAGAGCGACAAGCTACTTGGGAATTCGATGGCGATAAGAGTGTAAGCAAAAGAATGTCCGACCATTCCACAAGTATACTCGTTGTATTCACTCTCAATGTTCCAATTTGTCTTTTAGGTTTATTGCCCTACCGAGACTGATAGAATCAGAATAAATTAACGATTCAGGCATCAGTAGCACCCTTTTTTGTAGCTTAATTATTTAGTGACATCTTGTAATTCTATTCTGTACTGTACCATTCATTTAGCTTAATTCTTATTAAAATGCGACTACATAACGAGATGTGTGGCTAGTCACTGATCGTGGTAGCAAGAAAAATAGTAGTATAAGAGGATGCTATGTATTCTATCAACCGTTTACTGCAGCAATTGGTGATTTTGTGACACTATACTCCTTTCTCCGTTCATCATTATCAAGATCTGAGCTTGAGTAACGGTGTTCGCTGTTCTTTTGCACTGCTTATATTTGATTCTGCCGCGGGTTTCGTAGTATATTTTGGTTTTTTGTAGGAAAATGTGTTTAGACATTACATAATGGAGTGCTGCTGCATTGATAAAAAACGCATATTGTGTCACCGAAAATAGGGGCGTGGACAAAGAATCGTTTTAACGTTGCACAAACGTGTAAGCAGCATTGCTTTGTACATGCTATATTAAGATTAATCCCTTACTTTCGTCGTCACAAGAGAAAAGACACTGAAAAACAACACTATGGAGGAACCGCTATACCCAGTGAGTCGATTATCAATAAGAGAATCCCAAGGTCTTGTTAGTCTCTTTTGTAATACGTTTCAAAATGGTGCACGCGTGTAATTAGCTATCCGTCTTCCGTTCGTCATATTCGAGGAAAAAGCCAACTATATAAACAAGGCTGAATACCGTAATTGCGTGCGAATTGGCTGTTCGACACTATTGTCCTGCTCAGACGCGTACCACAATGACGCATAGCAGTAGCATATATTCATATGTTAATAATTAACCCCACAATCGATCTGTGCGACGGCTTTGCAAAAGTTTGTAAAGGATGGGGAGGAATGGTTCCTGGGAAATCTGAAAATGATCCGGATCAGGGAAATATGATGGTGTTTTCAAGAAGTAATTACTCACAATGCAGGATGTTGTAGCATGATGGATTATATATGCTGACGTTATTTTCCATCGATTGTATTTGCGAAGCTCTCAGGAAGAGTGAAACTTTTGGCGTACAAAAAAGTATTGCAAATTGCTTATGCTCACTAACACAGTGTCCTACGAAGCTATACTTAATACGAAATTAATCTTCAATGCTGGTGTCTATGCTTTACTTTCGCTTAGCATTGGTTGAGTATAATTCATTAGTATATAAAGGGGTGGAGAAAGACATTGTCAAGATACCATCATTTACAACAGCAAAAGACATACTTTCCACTCTTTCGACTTTAGTAAACGGAACCTGCTGGCAATGCACTTTTATCCTTCTTTGACGCTCCTAGCTTCATCCTTCATTGGATTACAATTGTTTTTCGTCTACCCCACCGCAGCGGTAAACGTCACCTCTATTGCAGATTGTCCTGCTATTCCTGCCCGGGAAAGCGGACCTGCCGATGCAAAGGACGTCCGGATTGGTAAACCTGGAGTTGTTTCACTTACATCCAGCACACTTTCTCACCACTAAAACATTGTGATGTTATAGATGATATCAAGGTTATTGCTGCTATGGGTGACAGGTACACAAATTATATGCGCTTCTCGATAATTAAATTTTTATGGACGCGTCAATGAAAACCCTCATCTACCATTATTGACATACCTTACTTATACGCAATATAGCATCATGGCTGGATTTGGTATGATGGGCTCTAGCTCGATCATTGATCCTCGTGCATTCAGAGAGTAAGATATCTGGGCAGCAATGATTTACTATTATTACTTTTGCTGTAGATGTCTCAATGAAAAATCTCTACTTGCTTTTATTGATGATTAGATATCGCGGCCAAAGTTATGGTATTGGTGGAGATAGCGACGCTGAAACGATGGCCACGTTTACCAAGAAGTTCAGCCCGGATCTCGTTGGTGCATCGCTAGGCTCACGCTCTGTGTCACTTTGCCTAAGTACATATATCTTAAATATATAACTGTAATTTCTTCGGCTTCTCTACGATAAATCAGACTAAACTAACATGTTCATTACTGCTCTACATTGTATGGTCTGATAAGCTGGATGGTGTTCGCCAACTTTTACATGTAAGAAACGCCAATTCATTTGGTAGCAAGGTCTGCTAGTGCTTGTTAGTAAAAGTGTGCTAATAGTAGCCATATATTTACATGTTAATAATAGACCGTTTGACTGATCGTCTAAATGCTGCCGTCAGTGCCTCCACTGGCAAAAATCTTGACAATCAACTTGATTATCTTATCCCAGGTAGTATTACACATTACCCTACGTTTGGATATTTACATCATGCAATGCTAACTTTGTAAATATCGTCCATATTAAATATTACAATATCGCCAACAGAAATCGAAGACCGCGCAGACGATTTTGAAAATGATTGGAAGCTCATCAATATTCAGATCGGTAGTAAGTAAAGCATACAAAATAGTCGCTATCAAGACGGTAATATCGCGTATGTCAGAAGATTAACTCACCTGAATATAACTATCTTCAATCCATATCAACTATAGGCAATGATCAATGTGCTTCTTGTGGTGCAAGTGCCAGCGACGTTACTGCTGAAAAATACGGACAATATGTGTCTGCTGCAGTCCAACGTATTATCGAAAATGTTCCTAATGTTATTGTCAACCTCAGTATGTATCCTGTGAAAATTGAATACCACACTAAATTTTTCTAGAAGTATACGTTAGCTTACCATTACATTTTAATTAGTGGGCGTGTTTCGCGTATCGCCAGTGTATACGCTGACAGAAGGGCAATCGTATTGCACGTCGTTTGGTGATGAACCTTTGAACCGCCAACTATGTAGTTGTTTTCAAGGCTCGGACCAAGATCGCGCAGACATGGACGCACTTTCTGACGGTACAAGAATAAACATGTATGCTTTTGATATAGGCAATCTTTTTTCTAACAACATCCTTTATATCGACAATAACAATTTTTAGCGTACAATGAGAAACTTATCGAAATATATGAGAGTTATAAGAACAAGGACAGTACGAGCTACGCAGTCACATACCAGCCTAACAACATCAACATTGCCGACTTTCCTATTGAAGCAATGAGGTAGATGGATTGTTATTGGGTCACTTTTGGTGTGATACATTACATCGATCACTGATCTAAATGATCTTTATATGTACATAATTGTTTGCGGTAGCAACGCGGACTGCTTCCATCCTAGCTTGATGAGCCATCAGTGGATCGCCAAGGTACGTTGCTAGAAAGTATTTAGTTATGACCATGCTTCTTACTAACTCTTTGCGCGAATGGTTTTATTTAGACCCATTGGAACAACCTTTTCATCCCACAGGGCTACAAGCCAGATGTTCACAGTTTTGATGAGAATATGGAGGTAATAGCGGATTTATCTCACATAACATACTTTTGAGCTTTTTGTTACGAGTCATGATCATTTAACGGCATCACTTTTGTACCTAACATAGATTTACTGCCCCACTGAAACCGACAGAATCATGATCAACTGAAAGTGTCCATCATTCCTTTCGCCACGCAGATTACAATCCGCCACAGGCAACTAACAACAACAGGCTTTGTTGTAAATTGGTTTTCGTTTACCTATATCTTTAAGCATTTTTAAATAAAAACTTTCTTACCTCTGATCGAAACCATGAACACGTATCCACTGACATGTCATTTACCGGATAATACTTATTTTTTAATTCCTTTGAAGTAACTTACTATCTATACAATCCTAGCGTAAAATATGTTGAATAAGGGGTAAAGAAGAAAAGGCGGTATATGTACAAATGCGTGTTAAAATAAGAGTGGGAAAGCGTTGGAAGTTTGATAGATCTTTTAAAAGGTGCAACAAGGAGGTGTTCTGTGTGCGTGAGTACGTGAAGGGCGTGGAGAAAGAGTGGACAGAAATAAGTGGCTAATTATGTCATACAGTGAGTTTACAACCAAGGATCGTCGATCCCTTCATCTTCAGCCGCAGGAGTGTCCGTTTCGTTTTCATCACCATCGATTATTTCAAGCATATTGAGTACTTTGCAGTGGGCTGGATCATCAAGGTCTACACTAAGCCATCTCTGCTCCGTTTGCTCCTCTACCATGTTCATTCGTGCATTCAACTCTTCGTCTGTCAAACTATTCCAATCGATATCCTTGAGCGGATCGTCTTTCTCCTTGTTTGTGAATTCGTCTTCGTCGTCATCAGTATCAATGTCGTCGTCGTCATCGCAATCCAATTCACCTTTTTGTGAAAGCAAATCTCCAGCAGTGTTTCTGAGTGGCGATGGTGCATCCCATCCGTCGGTCTCCACAACAACTTGGGTTTGTTTAATGTTCAAACGGCGTTTGAGCGGTTGTTTAAAGAGATGCACAATTTGTCTTGCCAGCTGTTCTGTTGGTGTCGTTGAAGATGACAATTCATTAGAATCGCTAAAACCGCGGTACGTTCTATCGTCGTCGTCGTCGTCGTCCTCACAGTCGTCGCCGTCACCGTCATCCTTGCCGTTTATGTAATTGTTGTTGCCACAGTTTGTCTTGCCACCATCATAATCACGACTGATTGCATCCAATGTATCGATATCATAATGCCGTTCGTGATATAGTTTGACAAGCAATCGCATATTCGTTTCTGATTTCTGAGTATATAATTCAGTGTTAATGAGTTCCACTACAAAAATATAGTTATAACAATCAGTTGTTTGCACCAACCTTTTCATACACTTGCTCGTTCTCTTCGTCGTCGCTCAAAGATAGCCAATCATCCCGAAGACCCATTGGGCAACGCCGTGAAATGGAAGACACTGTTTTCATATTATCTAATTTCTCAAATAAGTATTTTCGCCGACAAAACAAAACATAAAAAGAAAGCAGGTTACCTGATCGCCATTTGGGACCAAGGTACTGGACCTCGCTTTTCAACAGCTTGAGAGCATAGAGCTCTTCGATCGAGTCCTTGTTGTGCTTGGTAACTCGTTTCAATGGCATCTAAACAACGCTGATGTTAAAAAATAGCCAGTAAATTATGGGGTTTGCTAAGGCATTCCATACATAAGCTTTGTACTGCGCTAACGTTCGATTTCGTAGTGGTTTGTCTTTGGTCATCATTTGCAAAATTCGCAATGTATTCAGGATCCATGCCTTGTTCCTTTGGTTAGAAGGCATATCCGCACTTTTGATGCTTGGGCTCTCGGGCGCCGGTGGATCCCATGCATATGATGTTGAAAACGAGGACGAAGATGAGCACCCAGAGGATGAGATCTCACCATGTCGACTGAAATTTAAAAACGGACGCTGTGCAAAGAATCTGCAGAAAGTTGATATACATGAATATACACACGTTAGCAACATAGTTCAATGACTGACAAAAGAGTGTTTATGTTAATAGTAGGCTTTGTATGTACTCACGCATAGCTATCAACATCAGACTTTGTTTGGTATGCTACTATGAGATCTTCAATCATAAGCGATCGTATGCCTAACATCAAGTAGCCCGAGTCTGCCAACAACTGGCTCAAATATTCGAACTTCATCACGTCTACACAACCACGCACAACAAGAGTTTAAAAATGACGACCGCATATGCTTTTTTTAGGTTTCACGATAATATACACTAATGAAATAGTAACTTACGAGATGCCTTGAGCCACTTGAGCAGTAGTAACAAAATAGATGAGATAGTAGTTCGAACAATTTCGCGGTTACGGACGATGTCGGCGTGCTCGAGATCATTGGAAGCATCATCCCAACCAAAGGGTTGAATCTTGGGAGACGGAGGTGTGGGAGCTGTGGTGACTAGTTGTTGAAGCAAACTAGTAACCACTACAGGTAAGTCCTTCACCACGATAGTCTGTATAATGGTGGTAAGGATGCCATATGATTAAAACGCAATGATAAATATGGTTAAATACTTACATAAAACCGATCCACCTTTTGAAGTATGTTGTTTTGCGTCATATTACTATCTATAACACCTGACTTTGATTGTTGTTGTTGTTCTATATGATAATGATCACATCTGTCCGTATTCTTGTCCAGCTCGAGAAGCTTCTTGCGTTCTTGGATGATTTGAAACTGGCTTACGGACAGGTGCATGCACGAAACATAAAGCTGTCCAGCTTCTTCAATTGCTTTCGGTGTTCCTAAAGCAAAAGGTGTACTTGACTGTTGTTTCTCAATCTGTCGTTTATATTCGATTGTTGAGGGAGTGTCGTCCTTTGATGAAGATGATGATGGAGGTGGTGGTGTAGTTGCTTTTGGTGTCGGTAAGTGAGATAATTTTGGTGGAAATTTCTCTTGATAAGGTATGCGTCGGGACGTAGTAGTATCATCGTCAGTACTATTTGAATTGCCAGTGACTTGATCCAGACTACCAACAGCGACAGCAGCACCGACAATTGGATGTGTTATATTGTTGAATAGTCGATAAGATGTATATTTGTTCTTGATGTCGCACTGGAAATTATACAGGTCTTTCGGTCCGGTTTTCAGTAGTTTGTCTAATGCAAAAAACGACAGCACCTCTAATTATTAACGACAATCAATCAGCATGTGAGTTTTTGGTTATATCGTCATTTTACCCTTGTCATCAGCCGGCAAGCCATAAAGCAATCGAACTTGATCTTTGACAGCCTTGGCCTCATCGATATTGCCAAAATATATAATAAAGATTCTGTGCAGTAAAAGATACAACTACGTATATTTTCGCAACAGAAGAAAATTAGGTGTCTAATCCTTCTGATAACGTCAAACGAGCACCTCATGTCCAAGACTTACTTTTTTGTTTGGGAAAGCTGCATCAGCTGTTTTGTTTGTATTAACAATCTTAAGTAACAGTGCAGGCGCATCATCGCCAATGTCTGTGGCTAAAATAAAAGAAAGAGTGGAAGTGGTCACATTTAGTTTAGCGTACGTCAACACCTTTAACTACAGCTACAACAACAGAAACTTGTAAACCCAAGATGTACTAACCCAACGACTTCAACGCCTTGCCTCGATGAGCATTTGTGATCACCGACATGTACAGAATTGTGAGATACGTGTCGATCAACTTTTCATGATTACTGCTTATGCACCTAAGATTAAACGGAAAATGAATATCATGATGACATAGAGAAAGGAATAGGTAGTTTTGATTAACAGCTCACGTGTTCTCGCTTGTCGGTATGTTCTGAGCTTCATCGAAGAGCAGCCGAAAAAGAACACGGACCAGTCCCGAACTGCAAATCACCTCGATATTTGCAACCATTGCTTCTATCATTTTCCTTTCGCTCTTCAAGACATCACCCTCGCAAAAGCAACCTGTGATTTGTTGTTTTTTGTTAGCCTTTCAAAGTGCTATTTGACGAAAATAAAAAGAGAGGAAAACAAAGATCTATCATACCGAGAGTGATATACGCGATGCTTTGCGCAATTTTCAATCGATCATCACTTTTGCTTCTTTCAAGGTCGTCTTTCAACTTTGATACGCATATCGGTTCAAATTTCCTTTGATTCTCTTTTCAGAATAAAGCAAAAGTTAGTTGCCAATGGAAGCTACACGCGAACCTTTCCACAAACACGAGAAAAGAGAAACTTACGCGTTCGGAGGTACTGCTGCTGATACGCGTGATAATATTCCCTTAATGTCGCCAATAAATCATTATAGTCGAAAAAATCGTCGATTTCTTGTTTGTAAATGTCGCAATCAATATTGACATGCTGGTGATGGTGTGTCTTTTAATAGAAAGAAACGTACAATTAGCTTATACTTCAGCCATACAACTCGCTAGTATTCTATGGTGTATTAAATATATCACCTCTCCAATGGCAGTAGTAGTAGTAGTAGTAGCAGCAGCAGCAGCAGCAGCAGCAATATTATCGTTTCTCATTTCGCTCAACAAATGGTTGGTTTTGGAGTAAAGTAACGGATCGAAGTTAACGCCAGAACATTGTTGCCAAGTTTGCGGGGTTGATTCTGCTTGTAGCATTGAGGTGAATGATCTGTTTCCCTCGCACACACACACACACACACACACTCTTTCTTTTCCTCTCTCCCTCTCTGTCTTCTTTCCTTTGTACAGTTATGGAATTCGTTAGATTTGAATTACGGTATAAATCATTACATAATAAATTAGAAATGCTACCGTACGTCTCTATGTATTAAAAAACGCCTTTCTTTTTCGTTAGAAAAACGTTTTGTAATTCAGCACGGGTATGTTTCGAAAGAAATGTATTAAGTGATAAGGAGTGAAATGAAGGAAGTAAAAAAAATCAAAATTGTTTGACAGGATTTTTGAATTGAAAACCCTCCGTGTATGCCCGCAGCCAAATCACAATGGAGCTTGACTCTCTTCCCTGTTTGGTCATAGTAGGTGCTGAATCGGCCCTTCAAAATGCCCAACGATGATTAAGGGTATAGCTTTTTCATCACAGTAACAGAGGAAGATTATCAGTTACGGTATCAATGCTATTCCTAGTACACAACATTGTAACGGTGCATGAAACATTATACATCAAATAATAGCATAATTTGCAAATACATAATGGGTCTCAGGAATATAGCATTCTTAGCTCAAAAGAGCATTTGCTAAGCTCAGATGGATACAAGAAACAAATTGTACCTATTAATGCAACAGCTGGAGTCTATTAGCAATATGCGTTCGAGCATATACTTACTTCCTTTTATATTGAGTGGACGAGACATGGTTGGAGAGCAAGATTAACGGCATCAACATATCACACATCCAATATCTCTTTGTAGACGCCACGATTTTTGCTATACACAAAATAACTATGTACCAAAATGCCCGTTATCGGCGTGTGGCTTTTAGGCTGCTACTGAATGCACATCTGCAATATGTTAACAACGGCACTGTTACTATGATAATATACCGTCTCATGAGTAATCCAGAAAATATATTAGTAATCACTAGCAAGACGAAGATCGGGAATATATATAACCCTAGATAACATAATAACATATTCCTTATCTAATACAACAAAGAGAGAAAGAAAATGACACAAAGAAGTAAGAAAACTACAGTACGAGACAGTCCTGCTCATAAGAATGATACAATGCCTGCTATTCGCAGAATCGAAACTATGCCCATATTTTTTATAAAATATCATAGTAAAAAAACAACGAGTATAAAATTATAGGAAAACAATTTTCACAAATCAGAATTATAGTAAAAAGTGTATAAGGTTAATAGAGAATAGAGTAGGGATGGCAACGGCTATGGTATTAATGAATGATGATTGGGTGCTTTGAGAGCGGGTGTGTGGGGGCGGTGTATGTGTTTCTTGTCAAGGAGAAGATAAAAGTAATGAGATTAAAATATATAGCGACAATGTTAAAAGTACACGTTGAAATAGAAACAAATACTGTAGGATCATGGGTAAGAAAGTACAACAAAAGTAAATTCTGTGCATACATAGTAGAGCAATGGTTTCTTACGGGCTGGATTTTCCTGTAATAGCATATACGAAGAAAAGCACCCAAGCAACAATAAGAGCCGCAACGAAAAGACCCAAGAAAACGATGCTGATCGGGTTGACCTTCGTGCCCTGGTACATATCTTCGCCCTGAGCAATATGCTTCAATTCCTTGTCGTTGCGCTCTTTCATCATGACTTGTCGTTTCTTACGGCCAGTTTCGAGCAAGTTGTTCAAGTACACACGCTGTGTGATGAGCAAAGTAACGATCATGACAAAACCAATGGCACCCAAAATAATATATAAAAGCATGACACCTATTGAGCAACAAAAAGATTGGGTTTTTTAACATGTTTTGTTTCTTCTTTCACTCAATCAGCAATGCAACATCGTGCTTGTATGTTTTTACCTGTGTATGCTTGTCCAGCAGTATTATCTTGCACAACACCGATTACAATGTCAAGAATCGATGTACCGACTGGTAAACATATACAGAAAACAGTAGTGAATGCCAGTCTTTGAAAGTTCTCCAATATGAAGGCTACGCTTAAAACGAAGACTTACTGTTATTGCTTGCCTTGTACATGCCAAGACCAGTTCCAATATAGTCTGAAGGAAGGATCATACCGATGGAAGTAATCATAGCAATAGGGCCAAAGGCTAATGAGATTGAATAGAATACCCTGGAGTGATATAAAAAATAGGCAAAGATGAGTGACAAGGGAATAAAGTGGGAGAATCTCAGTGTACATACATTCCTACTACGGCATTCACGTAGGTCCAGCCGAGCAATGCGCAACTGAGTATCAAAAAGACAGCAGAAAGAAGCACTAAATGATGGTAAGTAATACAGTGGCCAATCAATCAGTAAGATGATGTAAAAGCGAGCAAGGGGAGTTATAAACCGGGGTACGATGTAGTTTGTGTCTACGTACGGATGATGATACGACCACCGAAAAGATCCATTACAATACCGAGGATGGGAGTACCTACGATAGGAACAATCATACTGGCGCTAGCTTTGTAACCAGCCAAGACGCTATCGTCACCAAAGTGAACCTCGATCAACTCGGTACTAATAGTCTGGAAGCTACTCCACACAGCGGCGTAGATGAACTCAATGGTGATGATACCCCAGTAAAAGAGCGGGAACTTGGCAATCGAACGAAACTTGAAGGTTTTCTTGCGCTTGAGCTTGAGGGCATCTTCCTTATTCATGACGTTGTTACCAGACAAATGTCGAACAATTAAAGCGTATACCAAGTTCATGATCACCGAGAAGACACAGATAATCAAGGCAAGCCAAAAGGCCCACACCCAGTCGCCGGTGCGATCGGCAACTGGGTTGGCGGCCAATGTACCCAAGAAGGATGCCAGACGACTGATGGAGAGCTGAAGACCAATGGCAATAGCCAAACTCTCGGTACGGAACCATTTGGACAACAGCGATTCTTGCATCGTGACGATGAGGCCACTGCCAATACCGAAGATGACACGCCCTACGACCATTAATGGGAAGCTTGTGTATTTTGCAGCAATAGCAGTTAGCAAACTGCCAATTATGACGAACAAGTTGACAACAAGGGTGCCCCAGACGGATCCGAACAAGTCAATAAAAACACCACCGACGATAGGGAAAATAGTATTGATGATTGAGACGGCTGCCGAGAGCACACCGTATCGCGCATTGTCGATAAGTAGGTTCTGTTTGGGTATATGCAAATTTGATAAGTTGACCATGACATGTTTGTCGCATATTTTGTTTGTCGCATATGAATCCTTCATATGATTTACCTCCTTGAGGGATGATTTCATCGCACTAAGGGCCGTGGCTGAAAAATGGGAGCCAACTATAAAACAACAGAACGACATGAGCCAACAAGCACTATGGAGTGATAAACATATAGTTGCGATCTAACTAGTTACCATTATATTATACTTACCAGGCAACATCAAAGCGGTAGCCAGGGCGATCAACTTGAACTGCCAAGCAGCATTTGCTAGGGCAGCGTCGCCACCGACCAGGCCACTGTGCTGTTCTTCTTTCTCGTCGGTGTTATCGATGTAGAGATCAGGGGTGTCATTCTTGACAGGGTCTTCGCTGGCAGCATACTCTGTCTTTTCACCAGAGGTAATATGCTTTTCCGATGGGAAACCCGTCATGATCTGCTTCTCCTAGGAATTTTGGTGGGGTAACAGCAATAAAAAAGAAAAAGCAGATGGGACTTGTGGAAGCAAAGGAAAGGTGCGAAAATAGGGAAACGTGTCTAAGAAAGGGTCTTTTATACCTAAAATAGCTTGTTTTGCTGATTTCGTGCATGCCAGTACATGTATCCTATAATGGCAAAAAAATTTTATCAGATCCTTCTATTTCGTAGCAAGAACTTAAAAGTATCAGCTGGGGGTTATACAAAAAGGCCGTACACATGCAAAAACTGATGGATACATACTACGTTTGCAAGTAACCCCGCGAGAGTCCAACCCGGGTCTGAGCTATAGCTTCGTACGACCTTTTTGTCCTTTTCACGGTAAAAAGGCCTTCGTTTTTGCATCTGATTATCTGGGTCTCAATAGGAGAGAGCGCATTGTGTGTGTAGGTGCATATAGCGCAATAAACCTGAAGCACACCCTGGTCTTTCAAGTCAAAGCTCCAATACACTATTTCGGGACGCAGGTAGGCAAACTTCTAAAGCTATTACTCACGCGTTTCTGTAATTTAGAAATACTATTTACATGCAAGCAAGTATGGTCTCCTTGTTAATTGCTGACAGACGTGGAACGCACGAACAAAGGACTTGCATACTGCATGCACATGCTTGTTCATGCTTTTCTTCCATGAACGGATAATTTGTCTATTTTCAAGGGTGGAAACGATAACATCGTTACACACACATACAACATCTTATCCCCCAGGCTAGGTCAGGAGATCTGATCGTGATCGTGAGTACATTTTGTGGCAGCAAAGGATTGCGCATCTAGTACAATAGCGGAGATCATCACATGGTGGTAGTCGTTACGGCAAAGGGAAAGTATTCTGAAACAGATGGGAATGAAGTTGCTCAAACAAGGCAACAGGGCCAGATCAGCAAAATGATGAGGTCCATTCTTGATGTCGCGATGGCTGACTCCGAAAAAGAAGAAAAAGATTCCCCGGTTCGCAACTTCTTTGTACCTTTCAACTCACAACCGATGGTTACACCGAAATAACTCCAAAACCGGAGAAAGTTGAACGCGGCGTTCTCTTCTTTATTACATTACTGCCATGATATGACTACGAAGTACTAACAGTACTTTACTGCTATTTGTGGTATCAGCAACACATAATGTTCCTTGAACTTCCTTCATTGTTTATTGATGAGCTGCCTTTGCGCGACGGACAAACTCACGGATTTTCTCCAAATCCTTTACGCCGTCCGTCTCGACACCCGACGAAACGTCCACAGCCCAAGGTGATACTTGATGGATGGCCTCAGATACATTCGATACATCCAACCCGCCTGCCAAGATAACTGGGAAGCTAGTGCTATCAGGATAACCGGCACGCTTGTGGCTCACCACCTGTTGTGCGATCGACCAGTCAAACTTGACACCACGGCCGCCTTGCTGATCTGATGGAAGACCCGATACCTTAGCATCCAAAAGGACGTAGTGGTAATTGCCTGGGTAGGTGATGTGAGGAAGCTGGCCAACGTCAAACGACGAGGAGTCCATGTGGAATGCCTTGATAGCCGGGACAGGCAAGAAGCGAGCCAGCTCCGCGGATTCTGTGCCGTGAAGTTGGATAAGGTCAAGGCCAACTGCAGTTGCTATCCGAGTCATCTCTTCCACCGATTCGTTGACAAACACACCGACGACCAACGGCTTGCGAGGTCGCTTTTCCAACAGTTGCTTGTGGAGCTCGAACCAGTCCGTCGATGTATTGTTGTTGGTATTCTTGCTTGTAATTTCTTGTTCCTGTTCGGGCGAGTTGTCTAATGCACGCACAGCGTTGACAATTTCGCGCGCCTTTTCCACACCGACGTATCGCTTGGATTTGGGAGCAAAAATGAGACCAATCAAGTCTGCACCTGCCTTTGCTGCCTCCACCGCTGCCTCCACAGAAGAGATGCCACAAATTTTGACGAGCGTGCTTGGTGGTGCTGGCGGCTCAGCTGCAGGATCATGCTTTTCGAATCCCAGTAATTCGGCTACAAATTCCTTCAGGTTCCACGCACGCATCAACGATTCGCCAACCAAGATAGCACGCACACCCTGGGCAACCATGGGCTCGACGTCAGCTCGGCTGGAAATACCAGAGAGAGCGCAGAGGATGGTGTCTTGGGGAACCATTTTGGCAAGACGAGTGGTGGTTTCCATATCAACATCAAAACTGTGCAGATTGCGGTTATTAACACCAATAGCCTGTGCGCCCAGTGCATTGGCACGTGCCATTTCCTCCGCATTGTTCACTTCCACCAGCGGTTCCATGCCTAATCCCTTGGCATAGTTGTACAAGTCATGCAGCGTTTCGTCCGACAGCATGGCGACAATCAACAACACGGTATCTGCACCGTACAAGCGAGCTTCGAGGATTTGATAACGGTCCAAAATGAAATCCTTGCGCAGAATGCATGGGCGGTTGGGAAGATGGTCCAGGGCTTGTCGGACCTGTCGCATGTCGCTTAAGGAACCCCGGAACCACTTTGGCTCGGTTAACACCGAAATCACGCTAGCACCGGCCAATGCGTATTTGAGTGCTTGCTCTGCAGCGTTCGCCTTGATATCAATTTCGCCCTTGGAAGGAGAGGCACGCTTGACCTCGGCCATCAATGCCAATGGAGTCTGGCGGACACGGGCGGGGAAATCCTTGAGTGGTGGAGCAATGTGCAGTGCTAACTGCTTTTCCAGATCTTCTTGGCTTTGTCCGGGCACTTCCTTAGCGTTCTGGACATCCTGCTGGCGCTGAGCGTAAATACGAGTCAAAACAGATGAAACGCCATTAGGTGTGGGCGAAGGTGTGGGAGTAGATGCAGGGCCGTTGGTTTGTTGTTGTTGTTGCTGCTGCTCTTGCTTCTCGGCCTGCTGAGGCTTCTCCTTTTGCTTCTTGGGCAACACACCAGCAGCAGGATTTTCGTGCCAGTAGCCGCCACGCAAATTCAAAAAGTTAGCAAGCATAGTACGACCATGGTCGCACAAGATACTTTCCGGATGGAATTGGACACCTTCAATGGTATATTCCACATGACGAACGCCCATAATGACACCATTATCCGTAGTTGCAGTGACTTCGAGGACATCAGGCAGAGTTGTTGGCATGCCGGCAAGCGAATGATAGCGTGTCACTTGGTTGTCCTGAGGCACGTTCTTGAAAATGCTGCGTCCATCGTGCTTGATGGTGGATGTTTTGCCGTGAAGAATATCGCCGGCGTACGATACAGTGCCGCCAAACACTTCGAAAATGCATTGTTCACCCATGCAAATGCCAAAGATTGGCACTTTACCGGCAAAATGCGAGATTACTTGACGACTAACGCCGGCGTCTTGCGAAGGATGTCCAGGGCCTGGAGAGATCACAATGTTGCGAGGGTTCAAAGCTTCGATCTCAGGAATCGTGATCTTGTCGTTACGATGGACAACAACGTCGGCGCCGAGGGCAGAGAGGTATTGGTATACGTTGTACGTAAACGAATCGTAATTGTCGATCAAGAGCGTCGCCATGGTAGTAATTGACTAGAAGCTTTCTTTATATAAAATAAGAAGAAAGAAGAAAAAAGGTTTAGAGACTTGACGAGAAAGAGATTGGAGACAAGATAATTAGATAATTCTTATAGTGAGTCAAAATGATCAGTCTCAACCAATCAACACTAATCCGATGGTTTCATCACTTATTCCCTATCAAAGTGGCCAGTCAGCCTTCTTTTATTTCTTTCTCTTCCTCTCTTTTTCCTTTTCTTGTTCTTTTCTAGTTTTCTTTACTGTCCATAAACACATGTCGTATTGCGATGAATGTCGATTGGAGGTGACGCATGACTCGCAGCAGGCCATCGATGCTCACGTCGTCTGCGGCAACGGCGGCGGCAACGGGAACAGTAGCAGTAGCACCGAGCAACCACCACCGAACAGCAAAGAGTTGCCACGTATACCCGTCGCTATGCGACACCCTTACATGATCGCATCCGTTCGTCAATACCGCTCAGACGCACAACAACTACAACTTCAACAGCATATTATATCAGAATCATTTGTCCCTGTAATACCCTATTCTGCGGACAGACCAGCGCGGAAGCGTCGGCGTCCTCCATTTTCATGTTCTTCCTTGATTGTGCAAGCAATATCCACGTCGGAATCCGGGCAAATGACGCTTCAGGACATTTACAGATGGATCATTGAAAAATATCCGTCATTATATAATGCAGAAGATACAGGATGGCAGGTATTATCAATAGCTATTATCATATTTGGCTGCTGCAGATGCCGAAAAAAATAGCAACAAGCTAATTTATAAAAAATATGTGCGCTGGACTAATTCCTTTGTGCCTCTTCATTTCTTGTTTTCGCGTCTAAATACTTAGAATACCATACGGCATAATCTCTCGCTGAACAAATGTTTTAAAAAGATACCCAAATTAGGCTCGACTCGTGGCAAGGGAGGATTTTGGACACTAGATTCAAAGTATCTTGACGACAAAGGACAAGGCAGCAAGAATCGACGGACGGACCCGAAGAACTCGAGCCAGAACAATCTAGCATCATCATTATCATCATCATCATCACCACCATCATCGCCACTACCACGGCCACCAGCAACCTCTTGTCATAAAAAGCCATCACCACTCACACGGTTACAATCATTATCACCATCGTCTCCCTTCAACCCATCATACAATAGATTCCACTGTGCGCCATCATCATTACTATCATCTTCGTCATCATCAACAGCAATATCTTCCGCTTCCGCTTCGACCACTGTACCCACGAAATCCACCGATTCTTCCACAACCGCATCATCACATATGATGCATATTCAGAGTATCCTAAACTGATAACCTGTGTTGCATTTACGTCATGTTTTACGTCGTGAGAAGAAACATTTAAACCTTGTAATAAATCTTCTTACACTCCCGAGCAACAAGGTTTTATCATCACCATCTACTTCATCTTCATGAATGTCAGCAATTGATCACTCCATATCACCAGCCTTTCAGGCTTTCTCGTATTCTTGTCAAAAAAGAATCCACCGGTGCTTGCGCTTCTTGGTCATTACTGCGTTCCATCCATGGCATACGCACGCCCAGACTCTTGATCAGTTTCTCCAGCTTGCTCTCATGCACGTCTTGTCGCCAATGATCTGTAAAATCGACTTTTTCGGGCGAATCTTTGTATACGTCTAGTAGGTTAATCTAAACAAATGAAACTTTCAAGATGAGATCTCTTTTTTTCTGCTTTGGTGGGCGTGCATGGATATTTGCATTATCTGTTATCAAAGGCATAGGGTTTGAAGAGCACAAGCTACTTACGAGGCGGTCTGCATTTTCCGACGAAATTGACTGATCATTCTGTAATTCGTAGATGAGGCGTTTGGGGATCTTGCGATCATCGTTACTGTCACCGACATAGAACCAATTAATCACCGACGCTGACCCGGGCAATCGCGGGTCGTACGGTCCAACAATCGCGCCTACAAACGGCTCGATGCTTTTTTCTGGCTCTTGGTTGCATTTTTCTCGGCAAAGAACTTGGTAGTTGCGCTGGTTCTCCAGATCCACAATACTTGGGTCAGGAATAAATGTTGGATGAGAATGGTACCAGCCTACAACAGTCATGTTTTTCTCTTCAATCAGTTGTCGCGTTTCAATGGCGCTGGTGGGATCCATCTCAACATTCACATCGTTTTGCCCCGTGTTAAGTGAGCGACATGGGAAGGCTTCCTTGATACACATCTCTAATAGTAGGTGATAGATTCAAAGCTCTAAATTTAGTATGTGCCATTTGGGGTCATAAATAAACTTCGTTTCTTTGTCTCGAACCTTCATCCTTACTTTTCTGAACCTTGTCCCATTCTCCTGCCAGGAAGCCAATGATTTCTGTCGTCATCAGGTGAGCGTGGAAATCCATTTCGAGAAGAACGTTTGAATGCACTTGGAGTTCAAATGGTTGACAACCACTCATGTTTGAACCAGGCTTGCCATTGAATGGCTCACATTTGATCATGGTAAGCGGGTCACTAAAAGTAAATAATAAAAATGATAATGTTATTAGTGATAAGCACTTATCAGTACATTTTCTTTTCTTTTCTCTATATAAATTCAGCTTATCTAGATTTGTGATACCTACTCATCTTTGTTCAGCTGGCTGTACATAATTGATGGTCGCTCACGTGTTCGACGCAGCCGTAACTTTGAATAGTTTGTTCGCCCATTTTCGTCATAGGCAGAAGCCAGTTGTTCAGGAGTGGCACTGCGAGGCTTTGCGTGGCCACTAATAAAAGTAGGGAGAAAGAGAATAATACACATATAATAAATTATCAGTCTTCTTTCTTTTTTTTACACATGGCAAATTATTAAACACTCTAACACTCTGAGTGAGCCAACAATACGTACTCCTTACGAGGTGCTTTTCGTTGGGTAGTAGGAGGAGACGCTGATTTGCTACGTTCGCCTACAGCAAGGCCTGGTACGGTGGATGCTTGAGCTGCTGGTGTGGCTGGATCAGATGCACAAGATGGAATTTGTTCCTGTTGGGACTTCTGTTCCTTTGGCTGTTGGGTTTGTTGCTGCTCATGTTGCTGCAGTTCTTGTGTTGTTTGTGGTTGCTCTTGGGATGGTTGAGGCTGTGGTTTTGATGGAGCTTTCTTGGTTTCATCTTTTGCAGTGCCATTCTGTTGTGGCTTCTGATTGGAGTTGGATCGGCCGAGATAAGCTTTTGCAGCAGAGGAATTGGGATCGAGAGGTTTGCCTGATAATGTATAGCCTTCTCCGCTTTCGCGCACCTAGTAGGATCGAATTAGAGAGTACATATACATATGCTACCGGCGATCTCAATATCAATAATAATACCACTAATCCCTCCACCCCAAAGGCCCTCATCTCCAAAAGATTGCTTACCTTATCTGGTAAAGGAATGTTATCTCGATACATCTTTATAAAATGTTTTTGTGCGTGGCTTCGAATAGAGTTTGAGTCTCTTGTTCGTATGTGAGCTGCCATCTATACACATAGAAAGAGAGACAGTTCAGGGCATACAACATTTAACTTCCATCGTCATTTCTTAAAAGATATTTCGCTGTCCCTGACCCGTGATTCCTTTTTTTACCTTGGGCCAATCTCGACCAAAGTTCTCCAACCCTTCCAAAAACCTTGCTTCTTCTTCTTCAGAGTAAACACCAGTATTGCATCCTTCAGGCACAGGCTTTCTTGGCTTCTTAGCAGGCACTTGATTCTCGGCCGTTATCTTTTGTGTTTCAGCCGTTACGGTTGTCGTTGCTCCATCTGCATCCTTTTCGTTTCCTGTTGTTGTTGCTGCTGCTGCTGCCAGATCACTTTCCGATTCTGTTGCCTTTCTTTTACGTCCACGTCGCGCTATTATCGCAAATCAAAAATGTTCAGATTTTATAACGGCCATAATCCATACTTCACATCAGACATCCTTTTCCTTCACATTATCCACAGATACATCGAGCCCTCGGTACTACAGAAATTCTTACCAGGTCCAGGTGATGTTTTCGCCTTTGCGCGACTCTTTTTCTTTTTGGGAGCATAGCTATCGTCCCCACTATCATCCTCATAATTGTCGTCGTTGTCGTCTTCTCCACGAGCATGATACTGTTGTTCATAAGCACCCGCATCGTTGCTGTATTCGGCATAATAATCGTTGTTTCCACCGGTTGACATTGCATCTTCGGCGAGTAATCGTGCAATGAGTGCCGAACTCATTTCCTCTTCTTGTGCTTTCGAAAGAGGCGCGTTGCCTTGCTTATTGTTGTTCTTTTTCGCGGCCATTCGTTGTAATATCTACCCATGATATAAATTTTATAGAGATCATAGTCGATTTTTGTTAATATTGTTGAGAAGGAAAAAATTAAAGGGTCGCAAAAAACGCCTAGTGCATGCTCTCTCTTTCTTTCTCTCGTTGTTACCTCACTCTGTCAAAATATAGAAAAAAGCGCGTCCTTGTTTGTTGTGGTACCTCCTGAATTTTTTGTTACTCGTCCCTCAATTAATTGATATACTATCTGGAGTCAAAGAGAGAAAAACTAGCTTGGCTTCTTAGGGATCAACGTTATGATTTGTGTTGTTGAGAGGTAGGGAAATGTAGTTAATGGAGAAAGGTAAGGTCTTTCTAATACCAAGTAAATGGAACCAGGTTGTACACGACACGCTGCTGTTTTCGCTGATAGCGGGGATTGAAGTCGTTGAAGACACGAACGCGCGTGAGTATCCATTGGTAGTTTTTGATAGTTGATATCCTGCTATACTGACCGTGTTAAATAACCATCCTGTTATATCCATGAAGTATGTTTGGTAGGTTAGAGGCAAACATTATTTGTGCCATTTAATGTCTTTCACATTTTCCAAGTTGCGAGTCAATCATACCATAGCACATTGCTGTTCTTTACCGTTGAACTTCTATGACCATCGAGACTTCTGTTGTCGAACTAAAGTTCTTCAACGTGCATTCGATCATTGCTGTTAGCAGCATTGTTGAATAACGGTGGTGTTAGAGGGAAAGAGAGCAAAAGGGGTGAGCATTAAGATGACATTGTGGAAGGGAAGCGGATTTAAGGTGGGGTATGGGGTATGTATTTCATCTTTAAACGATACATTGAGCATGTTTTTATTCAGGCTGCACCTGTCAGCATTAGTTCGCGTATGCGACGGTATATCTTCCAATTGGTTTTCTTTTTCTTAATTAATTGAGCCTTTTTAAGCTCTTCATGATTACCAACCATCTGTTTAGTGATGGAAACCTCCATCGCTAATATGAGCCTTTTTCGTTACAAAGGCGCCGTACCGGTGTGTATCCCAAATAACATTGGTCCGGACTACTGTACATATTGCCTGCAGTCAGTAGTAGGTATACAAATTGCATCCGATATCGTCTCATCAGCCCTCCTCTGACGCCATCGATTGAAAGATACACGGACGATGATGATACCGAAAGTAAATATCAGCGTCAGTAGCAAACAGCTGATCGCTTAACAAACCCCTATCCGTCTATCCGATACTCCTCCATGGTTATCTTCAATGTAGGTTTTAACAAACTTCGTGACAACAAATGTTTATATAAATCTTATGCCAACAGCTAAGTATATGTTGCTATAGCGGCAAGATAAGAAGGATACGATAAATGGTTTCAACTGGTTTTATTGCAGTAAAATTGGCGCTGATTCATCACCCTCGCATGTCAAATTCATTGTTGCCGTTATGTACTTCTTCCTTTGAAATACGCGTCTCCATCTCTTTACAAAATTATGTTCAAGAGCACTGTGATTGCCCTACTTTCTTTCACGAAGATGGTTAACAAAACGCTATATAGAATATGCCAACTCGCCAAATGCTTCTTTTGGCATACGATATTGGGAAAACTAGCCGTTACATCAATTGGCGATGACAAAATTTGGATAGTCTCACTTCATACTTTGATACATTGAAAATACTTGCTCTTAATGTGGTTAAATTTTTAAAAGCTATGTAGCAACGCCAGAAGATTTCAGCACCTCCAAAGATAGCAGTATAGCAGCACGCTTGAATGGAGCCGTATACATGGTTTTTCACACAATAATCGATGCGGCTACTATAGAAAAAAGAAGCATCAGTGGCTACGTTTTGAATGACGGCGTCTGTAAATTTGTTCGCACCTATGCACATGACTATCGCGAGTAGCGATAAGAAGACTAAGAACCCGGATGAAGTTCATATCGACAATTACTTTTCCGAGCTGATCATGCACTTGATGGTCAGATATCCAGCGGGGTACGTGTTTCTGCCAGAACAGGATGCCCTAGCACTGCTGCTTGTGCAGAAAGTAGCGATATGTCACTTGTTGCGAAGATTATGGCGTAAATTTTGGATGAACTGTTTATACAATTTGCACAAAGATTAATGATAACAGGAAGACGCTTATACATAACCCAAAGTGAAACAACCAGATGAGTGGAAATCGTATGATTTTCCTTTTGAGATTCTGAGCCACAAATTTATAAAGTGCATGAATAGAAACGCAGAAAAAAAAATTTACTACTGCTTTCCTTCCACATACCAATGTCACCTACTACTTCATCAACCACTCGTTCTGCAGACGACTCGGTCCCCGATCAACCTTCAACCAAACGCCAAAAGACAGCTGAATCGGCCTCGAGCAAGTTTCATGACGGTTTGTTGGAAGACTCCTCGCGTGAGGAGATTCGCAAGGCCTTTATGGAATCGAAACCTTACCTGCATTGCAAGATTGACAAACTCATGAATGATGACCTGTTGCGACGTGTTCGTAAAGAAATCTTTGAGAATTTGCATTTTACTGTCAAGGAAACCGATATCTACAAGGTATGCATATACGCGCCTCTAACACAGCTTCGGTGGAAGAGGATGCTACTTCTGACAGGAAAGCACAGAGGGAAGCTTATGCATGCCTGTATACGAATATGTCTAGGTACACCAAACGGGTGATCTTGCCAACTTGGATGGTCTTCCCAAAGACGAACTTGAACGATTATCGAGTCTTTTCGAACTGCGTAACGCAATCTATTCACCCGAATTCCGCGACTTTATATCGTCCGTCACCGATTCCGGCCCGTTGTCTGGCACCAAGACGGACATGAGCATTAACAGCTATAACGAAGGCTGTCACCTTTTGAACCACGATGATGTCATTGGGACTCGACGTGTGTCGTATATTTTGTACTTGACGGACCCAGAGGATCGATGGAATCCCGAAAACGGTGGTGCGCTTGAATTATATCCTGTTGTCGAAAAGGGCACCCCTGCCAATGAGCCCACTGTTATTATCCCACCCCAGTGGAACCAGTTCGTCATGTTCACTGTCCAACCTGGTCACTCATTCCACTCTGTTGAAGAAGTTGTCCCTGAAGGCAAGCCTCGATTGAGTATTTCGGGATGGTTCCATATTCCACAGCCCGGTGAGCCTGGATATCAGGAGGGAAGAGAGGCCGGTGAATCCAAGTCTTCGTTGGAACAATTGCAAGAGGTAAAAAGAATATGCAAGATGTGTGGTAAGCAATAACACTGCTAAGTAATGCAAATGAACAATGCTTTTCTCTCTCTTTGCTAGGCTGATTCAAGTGCCAAGTTCGCACACTATTCCTCAGAAGAAGTCGAGGATGACGCCTTGACTCAGGAAACGATCGAGTCACTGTCAAGCTGGATGAACCCTCACTATCTCGATATCAAGATCCTCAAGCAGATGGCCGATCGCTTTTATGATGAATCAGCAGTCCAGTGCAAGGAAATTCTGAGCAAGGAGCTCTTCGCCAAAATCCAAGCAGTAACGGCCAAAATGGACCATGACCAATTCAAGGAAGACAAAATCGCAGCACATGGAACGGGTGTTGGTGAAGGCTGGGCCACTTATGGTCCACCACATCGATTGCGCTACATGACACTTGCTGAGGATCAGTCAGAGGCAGGTGAAGCCGCCAAATTGTTTGCGAATCTGAAAGCCAAGTTTGAGAGTGACGCCTTCCGCCAATGGCTTGCAGTGGTCGCACAGCTGAAGCCTCAAGGTTACCGTGGACAAGCACGACGATTCCGTCCAGGCCACGATTATACGCTTGCAACAACCAACACTCGTGGCCAGGCTGTGTTGGATGTCACTTTCTGTTTGGCTACTACACCCAGTGTAAAGGCTAGCGAATTATGGGAGAGCGGCGAGTGCGGTGGCTACGAATGCTATATGGCGCCCCACGACGAAGAGGAGGATCCAGCAACATACAAGGCTGCTGATGAAGAAGGTGCTTTGTTGACCATGACTCCTGGCTGTAACGAGCTGTCTTTGGTTTTGAGAGACGAAGGTGTGATGCGGTTCGTGAAATACGTGAGTGCACGAGCGCCCGGATCACGCTGGGACGTTGCATTTGAGTATGATTTGCCAGAGGAAGAAGAGGAAGAAGAAAACGATTCATAGACCCACTATTGCATGTCTCTATGTTGTATAAAAAAGTAGCAAAAATTGGCCCCGCCAATCATCGGTGGCTGGCTGCTGCCATATCTTCTGTATATAAAAACGTGCTTTGATCGATCGAGTCAATCATGGTTTGGGGAGGCAATGACAACGCAGTACAGAAATGGGTCAAGCAACTCAACGAAAATGATCCCAAATTAACTACGCTCCACATTCTCAGCATGCGACGTCTCTCACAAGACGATTTAAAATCCATTTTCGCTGCCTTGGCTCATAACACCACACTCAAAGTTCTCTACTGCTCCGGCCATGCCCTTGAACAAGAAGCCATGGATCAGCTTAGTGAGGCACTGACCTTGAACGATACATTGGAAACCCTTAACATTGGCAATGCAGAACTCGGTCAACGCGACGATCTATTGCACATTTTCGGTGAAGGCCTTGCTGTCAATGAAGGCTTGCACCATCTCGATCTCGAAAATAAAGGTCTTAGTGACGCTTCTCTCACAGCGCTTGCACCGGCACTGGCGAAAAACACGACTTTACGATCGCTTAACTTGGCGCGTAACGAACTTACAAATGCTATCGAGCCACTGGATACCTTGCGGTGCCTGAACCTGGCCGGCAACAAGATTGAGACGCAGCTGGAGCGCGTACGCTTGCTACGCGTCTTGCTTATCTGGAAGAGCTTAATGTGTCCAACAATCCACTCATGGAAAGCGCTGGCGCTCTAACAGCAGCTCTGGCAAACAACACGGCTCTCAAATCATTCAAGCTTATGGGCATCACTGCATTAAACAGCGATAATGAAGAAGATGATATTGCCGATTCTATTCATGGCAATGCCCTGATGCAAAATTTGGCCGAAGCGCTCAAGATCAACCGTAGGTTGACCCGGGTATGGCTCGACAGAAACGGAATCGAATCGCAAGCCTTGGAAAGCCTAAGCACCACACTTGCACCATCTGGTTTGACCGAACTTCGGTTAAGAAATAACAGGGTGGATGATCAAGGTGCGAAATGGCTGGCCCAAGCAAGTGCCCACGATCGTCGCGTACATTTGGATTTGGGTAGCAATGCTATTGGTTACGAAGGATTTGGCGCGTTGCTCGATACGGCTTCGATTCGACATCTCGGTCTCTCTTTAATAACAAGATCAATGGACTACCAGAACTACTACCAGAATTAAAGACAAGCGCTGTGGAATCACTGGATGTTGGGTGCAATGGGATCACAGTCGATGACCTTGAAGCCATTGTGACCGTGCTGTTGCAGGAGGGTGTACCACAGCTCCGATTACTTGAAATGGGCGGTAACGCAAAAGAGGAAGAGACGGAGGCATGGGAAGCAGCAATTGCCCGTTTACAGGCTGAACGTGAAGAATTGGATGTTGCTTGGAAGCGCTTCATGCAGGAACAGCAATAGACCGTAACATTAGTCCCACCGTAGGTCTTTATCGATAGTCAAAAAGTGGAATGGTGGCGCTCCGTATCATTCCGGCAAACATCACCATCTCAGATACAGTTGCTTTCAACAAACTTTACCATGTACAGTCATTTCAGAAAGTAAAGTCACTGATTTTGAGTTTGATGTCGCACCAAAAAATTGCCTGTCCAACAACAATGTCGACTGATCCAAAAATAAAGACGCATTCACGTGACATGAACTTCGTTTATTTTTACTTGTCGCTTCAATAAAAATTCTTGGCATTTTATTTTTATAAAATAGGCGCGATTTTCTTATTGCTTCCTTTTGCGTTTCTTTTACCTATTTTTGTTTATTTTACAGACATTCAGAATGGATATGCAAATTTTGTATGAAGATGGACAAGGACATGTTGTTGATGAGAACGGAGTTGAGCCCATGGATCTTGTTGTTGACGAGGAGTTATTCGCTATCGAAACAATAAGTTCTCGTACGCAATTCCTAGCGAATAAACCTCCTGAGAGACCTCATAATCCTGTAATGCGTGTCGTTGCGGATGAGAGGAGCAGTGAGGATGTTTATATGGAGCAATGCAACAAGCGCTGCTATACAGTTTATTCTGATGAAGATAAAACTCGATTTTTTCATTTATTTTTCAACAAATGCTTGAATGCTTCTTCTGCTGCGAGGCAATTAGGTATTCATATCCGAGCAGCACAGAGATGGGTCAAACGCTATTATGAAGATCCTGAAAGCGTTTCGAGAAGAAGAAAAAGTCAAGTCGGCGTCGTATTCTTGGAGAAGAGCATAAGCAGTTTCTTCTAAATTACATTGATGAGAATCCTTCTGCTGTTGTAACTGAAGTATCAGACAGTTTGACACAAAACTTTGCGGATCTTAGTGTTTCTCGTAGCACTATTTATAACTTCATGACAACTGAGTGTAATCTATCTATAAAGCAGGCACAATTCCAACCTGTAGAAAGAAATAGCGAAGAAAAAAATTCAACAAAGGTACGATTGGGTACAAAAGTGGCAACAAACTGATATGGATTTCACAACAAATTGCGTCTTTCTTGACGAGTCAGCCTTTCATATTAATTTGAAACGAGGCATGGCTTGGTCAAAGAAGGGAACTCCTGCAATAGTTACAGTGCCTACAACGAAAGCGAATGAAACATCGATTTTAGGTGCAATATCTGCCACTGGTTTAATTAATGTTAGTTTGAGAGTTCCAAAGCGCATTAAAAAGAGAAAGCTTGGACGCGAAACTGATGGTTATAGCATAGGAACAGTGACATTATTTGAGCTTTTTAAAGGCAACTCTAGATGAAATGGATAAGTATCCAGAAATGAAAGGACATTATCTTGTCATGGATAATGCCCCTATTCATAGCTCAACAGATATAGGGAAATATATTCACTCTAGAGGTTATCGATTTGTCTACCTTCCTCCATACTCTCCAGAACTAAATCCAATTGAACAGTTCTGGTCGGTTGTCAAGAGCAAGGTTAAGCGAAATAAGTTCCTGGAAAAAGAATCGCTCATGACTAGAATTAGTGAGGCTTGCGATAGCTTGTATCTGAGTGATTTCAAAGGCTTTGTTTCTCATTCTGCCAAATGTTTTGGCAAGTGTCTCAACAAGGAGAGGTTATAAAAAAATAGCAAGACAAAAAAAAAGATGGTCAGACAGGTTAGGTTGGTTAAATTGACTGGATTACAAACTAAGAATTTTGGCCAATCAAGGTTCAGAAAAATGAATCGGGGTTGTGAACCTAGGTTCAGAAAAATGAACCGGGGTTGTGAACCTAGGTTCAGAAAAGTGAACCGGAGTTGTGAACCTAGGTTCAGAAAATGAACCGGGGTTGTGAACCTAGGTTCAGAAAAGTGAACCGGAGTTGTGAACCTAGGTTCAGAAAAGATGAACCCCGGTTCTGTTGTTGCCCTAACATTAAATATGAACATCACTCGTAACCAGGCAATCTGCATGCTTTTTTGTGAAGAGTACAGCGATGATAATGCAACAAGACTGGCAAAAAAGATTGAACAACTTGGTGCTTTCGATGTGTGCTACGAAAATGATCCCAGGCGACCCGTTCTTGTCAATTTATTTGCAATTCGCAACGATCCATTCACTTTCAAACGTTATCTCACGGCACGTTCACAGCCTGATATTGAAAAGAAAGAAAATATGAAATTTGAACTTGGTAAGTAAGGTCAATGGCTGATATATTATTCTTAATTGAACAAGTTGTTTTAACACCAAAATATTGAATAACAGATTCGGAATCACAAGTGGTATCATTTCTAAATGAAGCGTTTCGTCCCTACGTTGAACCACAAAATGCTTGCTATTCTCTTAAAAATATAACGATGAAAGATGTGTATATGTCGGTCATTCCAAAAACCCAATGTTTGAACGGAAAATCGGAGGTAGCTTTTGCTTTGTGGTGCTCAAAGAGAAAAGTGGATTTGATGAATGTGCCGATCAGCCGGAAAAGGGAAAGAGAATCCAACAAGCGCTATCGAAAACTCTATGTCATGAAAGATGAATACCAAGGTAACAAGTCGTTGACCTACTTACAAAAACATTTGCGCGTTAATTTGTTTATTTTTAGACGATGTTGTAGAAGCCGTCGCAACCCATATACCTCGTTACCACAACTACATTCAATCTTTGAAGAAACAAAACCTTTCCATCATTGGATATGCTAGGAAATCCCCAGGCTGCGAAAGCAATGAAAACAGGAAAACACTTTTAAATCGCATGGTGAAGTGTTTACAAGAGAGATCGTTATGTGACAAGATCTTTGTGTCATCTTATTCAGTTGCTGATGAACCTCTTATGTCGAGAGATATGAATGAAAGCAACGATTTGTCAAATGGATTGGAATGCGTGTTTGGAAACACTCAAGGTATGAAAACGTTTTCAGCTATTTAACAATTTATTAATGTTAATCTTTTTTCGTTAGCCATGATCTCGTATATTCGATCGTCAGAAAAAAACGTTTGCCTTGTGGCTATTGACTTTTCCGGGCTGTCCACAAACACCAATGACTTAACAACCTTCATTGAGTAAGTATTATTGAGAAATGTGTTAAGCGAACCTAATGCTCAGTACATATTTTCGTTAGAAACCACGAAAACTTAAAAACAATCATTATTGACACCTTGCCGTACAAGCACAAAGTCCACGTATTCGAGAGACACTCTGTTTTGGAAAATCCATCTCTTTTGAATGCATTCAATTGCAGATCAAAACCCGTTCAAAGATCTAAAGATGTTTAATTTTTTATATGTGATATAAATAAAATGGGAGATTTCAAAAGTGTAGCTGATGTTCTCGTCATTCACGTAGTTTTGTCATTGTATGTTTCTTTAGATGAGGTTTCGTATCTTTTAAAAATGCTAGGCTGAGAATTTATTATAGCTTGTGTGAGTAGAACGGGTCGCCTGGGATCATTTTCGTAGCACACATCGAAAGCACCAAGTTGTTCAATCTTTTTTGCCAGTCTTGTTGCATTATCATCGCTGTACTCTTCGCAAAAAAGCATGCAGATTGCCTGGTTACGAGTGATGTTCATATTTAATGTTAGGGCAACAAAAAAAAAAAAGTGAACCGAGGTTTTCCTGAACCTAGGTTCACAACCCCGGTTCATTTTTCTGAACCTTGATTGGCCAAAATTCTTAATTTGTAATCCAGTCAATCTAACCAACCTAACCTGTCTGACCATCTTTTTTTTTTGTCTTGCTATTTTTTTATAACCTCTCCTTGTTGAGACACTTGCCAAAACATTTGGCAGAATGAGAAACAAAGCCTTTGAAATCACTCAGATACAAGCTATCGCAAGCCTCACTAATTCTAGTCATGAGCGATTCTTTTTCCAGGAACTTATTTCGCTTAACCTTGCTCTTGACAACCGACCAGAACTGTTCAATTGGATTTAGTTCTGGAGAGTATGGAGGAAGGTAGACAAATCGATAACCTCTAGAGTGAATATATTTCCCTATATCTGTTGAGCTATGAATAGGGGCATTATCCATGACAAGATAATGTCCTTTCATTTCTGGATACTTATCCATTTCATCTAGAGTTGCCTTTAAAAAGCTCAAATAATGTCACTGTTCCTATGCTATAACCATCAGTTTCGCGTCCAAGCTTTCTCTTTTTAATGCGCTTTGGAACTCTCAAACTAACATTAATTAAACCAGTGGCAGATATTGCACCTAAAATCGATGTTGCATTCGCTTTCGTTGTAGGCACTGTAACTATTGCAGGAGTTCCCTTCTTTGACCAAGCCATGCCTCGTTTCAAATTAATATGAAAGGCTGACTCGTCAAGAAAGACGCAATTTGTTGTGAAATCCATATCAGTTTGTTGCCACTTTTGTACCCAATCGTACCTTTGTTGAATTTTTTTCTTCGCTATTTCTTTCTACAGGTTGGAATTGTGCCTGCTTTATAGATAGATTACACTCAGTTGTCATGAAGTTATAAATAGTGCTACGAGAAACACTAAGATCCGCAAAGTTTTGTGTCAAACTGTCTGATACTTCAGTTACAACAGCAGAAGGATTCTCATCAATGTAATTTAGAAGAAACTGCTTATGCTCTTCTCCAAGAATACGACGCCGACTTGACTTTTTCTTCTTCTCGAAACGCTTTCAGGATCTTCATAATAGCGTTTGACCCATCTCTGTGCTGCTCGGATATGAATACCTAATTGCCTCGCAGCAGAAGAAGCATTCAAGCATTTGTTGAAAAATAAATGAAAAAATCGAGTTTTATCTTCATCAGAATAAACTGTATAGCAGCGCTTGTTGCATTGCTCCATATAAACATCCTCACTGCTCCTCTCATCCGCAACGACACGCATTACAGGATTATGAGGTCTCTCAGGAGGTTTATTCGCTAGGAATTGCGTACGAGAACTTATTGTTTCGATAGCGAATAACTCCTCGTCAACAACAAGATCCATGGGCTCAACTCCGTTCTCATCAACAACATGTCCTTGTCCATCTTCATACAAAATTTGCATATCCATTCTGAATGTCTGTAAAATAAACAAAAATAGGTAAAAGAAACGCAAAAGGAAGCAATAAGAAAATCGCGCCTATTTTATAAAAATAAAATGCCAAGAATTTTTATTGAAGCGACAAGTAAAAATAAACGAAGTTCATGTCACGTGAATGCGTCTTTATTTTTGGATCAGTCGACATTGTTGTTGGACAGGCAATTTTTTGGTGCGACATCAAACTCAAAATCAGCGACTTTACTTTCTGAAATGACTGTATATACATCCTTTTTGTTATATTTGTATTTCACTCTTAAGCATATATGCTTCAAGTATAAAAATCCTGTTTATCATTGAAAATGAACTGCTTATCATACTATCTATATCCATAAGGACACCTTTCTTCATGTTGCTGACGATTAAATTAGATAACATGCTTTATACATGCAAAGTAGTGTTTTTATAGATTTGTGAAACATCTTTTTTTTGTTTACTATGGTGATCCCGATTGCAATCAATTTTTTGATGTTTTAAAAATCCAGCTCTATATTGCTACGTCTATGCTCCTATGCGACTTCCAGATCTCTTTATCCGTTTCTTCTCCAGACATATTGCGGCTGTATGCCTCAATGTATCTGCTCCACTGGTCACTCAGGTCACAAAATGGACAGCCAAATTTTCTGGCAGAGTCACGGGCCGACCATAGAAAGATTCCTGTGTATTATCGACTTTTTACTAGCAAAGACACTAAATACGGCACGCAATTCCATTGATTGAGAACGATCGTGGCTTCGAATCCATCATAAAGTTCAGTGTTTCAAATTTATACAGCCTCAGCCAAAACCTGCAAAAGCGGCCAACTTTGATGGCTGATAACCTTTTTTTACAAACAAAATAGGTAAACCCAACTTCAATAACTATTCTAAAAATGCTAAAAAATGTTATTTAGATTACAAATAAGCAAATCATCAACTTATGGATCTTTTATTCGAGTTCAACTTTTTGGCGATTTAAAATGGGATGCATCGTGTTTTTTAAATGGAAGTATAGACAAGAGGAGTTTAGAGCGTTATCTTACGCATGTTTGATGTTACAAACATTCCTTACAACATCAACAACACAGTTAGTATAAATAAAAGATATTACCTGCAAAATCGATGTACTGGCAGACTGGGGAGCCAGTCGAGAGCAAATTGATGTCTTTTGGTGAGCGTATTTATCACCCCTAAGAACGATAATTACTATAGATTAATGGTTTATTGTGTGCGAAAGCTCCATATGCTGAGAGCCGAGAAGAATCTACATAGCTACAGTTTTTATACTGTGTTACAGCGATAAGTGCAGGTGCGGAACCGAGCAACCGACCGACTTCACGGTTTTCATGGTGTGACATGAGGGTTGTCCACCAGATGCCGGATCCATGAACCACTTGTTCTCATATTTTACTACCGATCTGCTACCACTACGAAGGCTTTCTGTATGGCGTTAGATATCAGCCAGCCGCTTTGTTTTGGAAAGCATCATCTTTTCTTACACTTTTCCTCCGGTCTGGCACTACTCAACGATTGCCGCCGCCCACCCTTATATTTCATTACATACAGCACATCATACTGTACAACAAAACAATGCATCAGAAAATCATCCGATCCTACATTGTTCTACCGGACGTGCTCTCCTTTATTATTTGTTTGTTATCCTAATCAAGTATTGCCTCTGATAAGTCGGGATTAAAGGACGGGTGTTCCTTTCCTCTATCTAAAAGAGAGCTTCATCTTTCTAGTAGTACATAGAATAATAAGAAATCAGAGTTGACATTGTAAACGAGAAACGCGGCATAAATAACTTAGAGAAAACTTAGATACTATCACTCTACATATGTAGAACATCATGAGATAGGAATAAAAGTACCCAATATGGAGAGACATATGTCGTATTTCCCACACACAGCAAAGTGATGATCAGGGATATGAAGCGCGGTGGTAAATTAGCTCCAGCTTATGAAGGACCATACACCGTAGTCAGGGAAACAAAAGGCGGATCATATGTTCTTATGGATGAACAAGGACTTTTAATGCCTAGAGATTTTCCTCCTTCACAACTCAAGTTAATTTTCGAAGACGAAATTGTTTCACTTGATGAGATACGTCAAGAAGGAAAAAATTGGTACACTGTTCAAGCAGTAGTAGACCACAAAGAACTGTCAGGTGGAAATTACCTATACAGAATTCGATGGGAAGGCTATGATGAGAAAGATGACAGCTGGCTCCCTCCCGAGAAGCTCAGTAGCCCACAGCGCATAGCTGAGTACTGGACGCGGCTTGGTACTGTTACACCAACAATGCAGAACAAAGCAAAAACTGCTTCTGCACAACCATCCAAACGATCTGCACGATCGACACGATCCACATCGAAACGTGGTACTGCAACGCGGCCCTCAACGTCTACACGTCCATCACGTCAAAGCAAACGCTTAAAAGCTCGCCGTTATGAAGTTTTAAACTTCCATTAGTTCTTAAGACAAACGGTTATAATTTAACCTGGAAGGGGGTAATGTGGTAAACCACACTACTTGAGATTGATGCGGACAATTCACCCCACTCCGCACAACTCACCCCACTCCGCCGTCTTCGTAACCATTAGAACGCAGTAGAGAGAACACCACACACACGGATGAATCAAATATTACATAGTTAGCACCATATCGATAATCTCTCAAACATGGATCACAATCGAGAATAACTCAGGACCAACCATTGTATACACATTGTCCTATTCTCGAGTTAGTCAGCACTTCCTTTGAATCTAGCTTATCTGAGTTGAGCGAAGTGTACCTGTCAAAGAGCGGATACCAATTCCAGCACTGACAAAGGTGAGACTTAGCCAAACAAGGAACACACTGATCACGGCAAAGATGACTCTTTACAATTGGAAGACAACGTCCATTATCATGGACGACAAACTCAACCTTCCCATCCTTCTTCATGTTCGAAACATCCGAAATCCGGCATGTCCGCGATCCATTCATCAGTTCATCCAAACGGAAGTCGAGACAACATCTTCAACAGTATATATAACGGGTTGTGAATTCATTCAATAAAAGTCATATCATATTTGACTCTCACTGTATTTCATATTGTCTGTTATTTCTATCTTTTACTCTTATTATCTATCCACAACCCACGTTTATCACAGACGGTCGTGGATTAGTTTGTACTCGTTTTTATGGAATGACATCGACGCGCTTAATTATTGCCAGATACTGATTCAGCTATATATTGTAATGCTGCTAATTACATGGGTGAAAATATTTCCATGGCAACACCAATAGCAGAATACTTATTCTCCTCCATGATCAAACTTGCGTGTTTTTCTGTTGTCTAAAGAGCCTTCTATATATGATCTAACAGGAAAAGACGGTAGTACTCTTCTAAGGATGCACGGACATAAAACCAGCAGAAGTTGTCACTGATCGCGCAATCGCTTGAGGAACCAATCAATATGTAGCGATCTTGACGCGTCACAATAATGTCATCCGACCTTTTCGCGTCACTTATACACGTATACATACCGTCAAAGTGATCATTTGGCACTGCATCCCTCTTTCTCACCTTTTTTATTTTTTCTTCATTTCTATACTTCTCTTTGACGTTTAAGACCAACAATTTTTCCTCTAGTTGTTCAAAGTGGTGAGTTACGTGTTCCATCGCTATATTTAAGAGTCTGTAAGAAGGTCAATAGCACACAGACTGACACACTTTAGTAAGCATACTTTACCGCTGTAGTCCATGTCCAGCAGCAACCAACGACCTGCAGCATTGCTGCTTGGTGATGGGGTTGTAGCAAGAACAAGGACACGACGCCAAACAAATGACGATGATCCGGCCATCATCCTGGGGCTACTAGATGAAGTACTCCTAAAGAAACTTGATCGCTTCCTGGAAGACCATCACAATAGCTCAGAAAAAGCAATACGCACCAAGATCGAAGGTAACCATAACTTGCCGAACGGGACGATGCAGAGTGTAGCGCGATTTGCGAACGAGCAGTACCGATTGAACATCAGCGCACAACAAGCTGGCAATCTGTTGCGTACACGCGGTTGTGATCCCAAGAAGCAGTGGCAAACATTTTGGCTACAAAATCTACATGATCGCCTGTCGAGGGAATTGACTGACAACGACTCAGAAGACACAGAACAGGAAGAGCCCGAGGATGTCGAACAGGAGGGCGGGCATGAATTACAAAAGAACACCGACGAGTCCGACTTGTTATATCGTACGACAACACCGATGGGATTTCCAAACATATTACGCTCAGACGTCAACGCAAAGTTATTTCATGATACAGTCATCAGCAAAGCTAAAGCAATCACGACAAACATTCAAATCTCAGCATCATTGTCTACGCAACCATGTGTAAGCTGGCAAAAGATGATATTGTTCTCCATCAAGACGGAAGTGTTCGAATCTCGCCTGCCTTGACGAAACTCGATTTGTAGACGCTTCTACCCAACGAATACAAGATCAAAAACAAGACTGCACTAGACCAACAGCGTGAAATTTGTGTACCTATGGTCAATCAAGATCTAAAAGGGCTTAAAGAGGAAGAAAATGGTTCCAGATCGCCTCATCAACGTGATATCGAAGGGCTGTTATCAAAACGACATCTGTACTATTTGAATTCGCACCACTTTGGGACAAAAACCAAGACGACTACCGACACTATTCACTTTGTATGGCATACCCTTTATTTCAAGAGCCCCGGCTTGCCAGCAGCACCATCAGGCTTGTCAGGAACGATCGAGGCGTCGATAAACGAGTACAGCACCAACCTCAACAACATGTGGGCGAGCGATAAGATTTTTAAAGCAGCCCTACATCATCTGACATTGGATCTGTTGCGCATCAGCTTGGTGACAAAAAAAGAGAAGGAGAACGTCGAAACGGCCGAAAAACTTGTCAAGGATGCGCGGGAGCGTGAGGAGAAAAACAGAAATACACCAATCGAGTATACTGTCCAACAACTGCGGTCTAAGCAACGCCACGAGTGCCGGCAGATAGCGAGGCACCTACGATTAGAAAGTCAATATCCAGAACAAACAGAAAAATTTGCTCAACGAATCAAAGCATGTATGCATCGGTTAGACAAGATCGTCACCCAGTTGAAGGAGAAGGTATGTTTCTTTTGAAATGGACTGTATGTAGAGTGAATTCTACCAGAAGGTGTATCCTAATATCGCCATTGTTGAGTTGCTTTATAGACAGAAAGCATTGAACCAGAGGAGGAGGAGGGACCTCGAATAAAAGATGACCAAACCAGCCTTGCTTTTGGTGATGAGGTAAAGCTTGCTTTCTATGTTACACACTCTGCTCAAACCCTCTTCATGATTTTCCAAGTTTATATGTTAGAGACTCTAATTAAACATGTGGTTATTAGACTGTTGACTATATTGAAGATGAAGATGGTGACAGTGTTGCTTCTAGTAACGACGAGATTGAACTTGAAGAGATTGGATTTTTTCTCTAAATTAGCTTTTATTATCCCTTGTTATAGCGTTTATCTGATATATACTGTTTATTTACTAGCGTTCGCTACCTGTCGTTGACGAAAACGGAACCATCCAATTGGGCAATCTGGTTACTACTATGGCTGACCGTGAAGCTGCGCATGAAGATGAAACTCAAGATATGGAACTGTCGCAACAAGAAGCACAAGTTGATGAACTGTCTGAACAACAAAGAGCCCAGGATAGCACACCCAACGAGCAGAAGACATCTTATTCGCGTATCAAGTCGTTGCAAGGTCTACTGAAAGCATTATTACGTTCACCGAGTATACCACGAGACCGAGACGTAGAAGAAGCTCAAATCACGGAGTTCACACGAATGAAAAGCCTTGCTGCATGGGAGGTCGCAGCTGTGCAAAAAATTGCCAACGCACTTTTACCATTCACGCCCGACGACGAAACCCGTTGCTTCATGACAGAGCTTCCATTCGTAGTCTTATCAAGTACGATTCTATCTGCTATTGGCTACAAAGACCATATTGTCGCTATTCATCCTGATGTTGCACCTCACAAGATCCACGTGCAGGCATTGACACCAGCAATCATGTACGAGATTTTGACACCTCACAATTGTGGACGGGCTCAAGGTCAATATCAAGTGCTAGATGACCAGAACAATCCCATCACATCGCGTGAACGAGCTCGAGATAACCCCGATGCTATGCTATGGTCCTTCTTCGATCAGTCTCGTGTTGAATCACTAGCGGACCGACATCGCATGGAATTCTGTAGTCGCATTATCGTACGACCAGACAAGACCGTATCAATCGTTGGAATCATGAAGGAAGGCTGTGAGCCGTTGGTCTCTGCATATGAGGAACGTCAACGAAAGCGACGAAAGAATGGAGGTCGTTCAGGAGCGTCAGCAACCATTGGGACGACCGATAAGACCCTTGAACAGTTACAAGCTGATGAAGAGCGGGCAACATCGAGCATAAAAGAGCTACAAAGAAGACATGGTGTTCTAAAGAAAAAATACCAACAAACCGCCAAGGAACGCAAAATAGCCAAAAAACGTTTTCAGTTTGCAACCAAACATGAAAGAATCGAAGCAAGTGCCGCACTATCGATACGTGTGCGTGAAAATCGGCAAGCTAGGCTCGCTATGCTGCTTAATCATCGTGATTTGAAGAATGAAAAGAGTCGTAGATACAAGACCCAGAAGGTAATATTATCCTCTATGGACTTCTTTAACACATGTACTGGTTGTTGATTGATACGTTCCCATTATTGTAGCTTATCGAGCAGGCGAAAAACAACAAGAAAGACAATGCCGCTGCAACTACTGTCCCAGCAATAATACCGACTGTGCAAAAGCCTCAGTGCGAAGATACAGCTGCTAATATCGATCTGTCAAATTATTGCCCATTGGGTCAAGTCTACGGTGGTACAGACTACGGTCATGTTATAATGTCCCAGACAACAGCCTTAACCAAACAAGATGTTCTTTTCCATGTCTCTCTCTACAACGCGCAGCAAATTCATCGGCAGCAGCCAAGATTAGCCGAAGCAGGTTCGCTTGGAGCAACTGTATCAATCAACCAAGCGTCCGACACGTCTTCACCCTCTGCCATCCCGCGACACGATGCCACACAAGCAAATATGAAGAGGGAAGGCATGGATTTAGAACCACCACCTCCAGCGAAGCGCCAGACGACCTTTGATTTAAAAAATGCTGTCGGAAGTTCTTAATTGCACCTACAAGAACAGAGTGACGCCAAGCGGGAAGGATCTACATTGGAAGAGCAACAACCACCAGCAAAGCGGCAGTGTTTGCATAGTGATGCTACAACATCTCATCAAAGCCCGCCACCGCATATATCAAAAAAGGAAGCAATACATTGCAGCTTGGTCTTGAACCATGTTGAAAACGGATCCATCACAATGAGCCACAAAGGACGTATACGGATATCTCGACAGAATATTCAGCAGACGCGGATTCTGTTGGACCGTGAGATGAAAGCTTCACCGCAGCAAGAGCATCACGACCAGCACAGGACCAGCAGCTACAACAACAGCAGCAATATATTGATCTTGAAACGCCTACAGTCAAGGACCTAAAACTACCCAAGCCATTCACAATCACACACGAACAGATCCATGAAGCGACGAAAACAAAAGAGTTCATGGTGAGGCAGGAGAACCGGCTGAAGAAGGTATGTTCATGTAAAATTGTTGTACGCATACGTGACAGTTTACATACTTAGCTTATCTTGCTTAAATGTTTATGAACTACATTGATATACAGCCTGAGAATGAAGAAGTGCAGAATGCTCTCCACGACTTACAACAAAACTGCTTCGTTTGCATCTGCGATCCAGTGGAAATCTTCAAAAGGCAAAAAGTCAGGCTACAGCATGTCGACGTTCTACGCAAGTTTTATTATTCCAACGCTGCCCTCAATGAACACCGTCACCGCGAAATTGCTACAAGTCGTCTTTATACGCAACTTGCGACAAAGGAACGCCAATACGTCAGAAGCATAACTTCCAAAAAGCTAGGAATCCCATCCAAAAACCTGCGTCCTGTCATGTGTGTTGGCCTTGCCGGCACAGGCGTAGGCTCCCATCTACGTGGGCGATCTCGGCGCGGCGGCCGCAAGATGCGCGATGAACATAGAATTTGTTGTCCTGTGGTATTGCAGGATGAATATCGAACTAGTCAAACCTGTCTCTTCTGCTTTTGTCCACTGGTGATGGCAACGGCAACCAAGGCTACAAAAAACGCTAAAATCAAGACAGTGAAGGTCCATGGCGCTCTCCAATGTGTCAACCCGGATTGCCCTGCGGTGCGTGTCGGGTACACTACCTTTAGTCGTGATTCTCTCTCGAGTACGGCCATGATCATCGCTGCTGTTACCCAGTTATTCTCCCCTACCAAATCACCTCTTCCCCCTTTCGATCCTACCAACCCAACACAAGCAAGTTTTACATTTTCACCTGCCTTTTTGCAGCATCCATCATATCATCTTTAGAAATGGTGCGCTTGTTGCTTCCATGGTTTTCCTGGACCTGTTTATTGCGCGCTCCCCTTCTTCCCCCAAACATCGTTTGAGTGCCAATAAATTCTTGTGATATAATTTCAATAATCTAATATACTCTGACCCTGTCTTTATTCTGTAAACCATTAAGCAAGATATTCGTTGGCTTCTATGTACGACTCAAGTCCTCCGACATCAATGCGGCCGGAAATTGGGTATGTTACTACTTTAAATCTTGGATACAGATATGCAAGGAACTTGCCAGTGGCGTCAAACGTCTCTTTGGGTTGGTCTTTCATTTCGTCGACAAAGGCATCCAGCAAGGGCAAAGCCTGCCGATCAAATAGATAAAAGCAAGGACAAGCCAAACGGGATTCTGTATCTGGCGGGTACGGTTTTTCCAAGAAGCTCTTCATGACACCATCGGCGTCCGTTTCTACAATACCAAACTTGTGCACTTGGTTGTCTGGCACCCGATACGTGGTCACCAAGCAACTGCCCGACGACACATTTTCCAGGAGATCCTTCAGCTTAAAGTCGTTTAAAAACAGCGTGTCTCCGCCTATCACAAGGACGTCTTCGTTCTCCAGCCCAAAATGGTGTATGCCAAAAGCAATATCAGGCACAGCTCCAAGCCGTGTCTCGTTCGTAAGTGTGCCATCGCTTACAATGTTTTGGGAAGGAACATTGTTGCGCTCGGCCCAAGCAGCAAATGCTTCGTACGTGGCGGCATTGGTGACAACGTATACGTCGTTGATGTTGTGTGAGCGAAATAATTCAAGCCAGTGTGTGATGAGAGCATCCCGACCGCCTAGTGGAAGAAGTGCTTTGGGTACTCCGAGAAGGTGCTTGTAGTCAGGCGACGCGTGGAGGTCGCGTTGTAGCCGTGTGCCGTAACCCGCACCAAGAATAAGCACTATATACGTATTCTTTTGTTTGTTACGCTCTTCTCTAGCTGCCTTGTGCTCTCACTGCTTTTGCCCGTTATATCTTTACCTTTCATTATTTAAGGAATCGAAACAAAAGGTCCGAAACTGCAAAGCACGGGACAAAAGAAGCTAATAAACGATCTTCGGGCTATATGTGTCGCAACAATTACCCGAGTACCTCGTACACATATGGAGACTTCAAGGGAACCATCAGCATTTAGCATTAAGCCATTTACTACCGACTAGCCGATAACATATCAAGTTTTTCGTCCTATGAGCCTTGAGCTCTCGCAGACAATGTGCACTACAACGAGCCGTACCAATAAATGTGCAATGGTGTATTATCGAGGCTCAGGCTGATCTTTCCTTTCGTACTAATAAGCTCTATATTACCCGACCTATCCGCTTGATAGAAGCAAAGTGTGGCTGAACCTGTGTGCCCTCTATATACCATGTCACCTCCTCTCTTGTTCAGGCCGCTTCTCTTGATTCATGTGTATGTACATCTTTTCCGTATATCCATTTAATGCCATTGGGCTTCAGACATCAGATAAAAGGAATGCATTGGATCCGTTGCCCTTGAAAAGAACGTATGACATTTTTGAGAAAGAGAGTATCGCCTGGTTTCCCCCCTCCCTGGCCACATAGGAGTAGACGAGAAAGGCAGAGGCGATTTTATCCTATCTGTTTTTGTTATTTTGATTTTGCGGGTCGAGTGCTACTCTGTGTGTGTGTGTGTGTATATGTGCGTGGGGGTGTGTGGGTGTTGGGATATCGAACAAGGAAGAACAAATGAACATGCGACACATTTTTTAACTGTGGTGTTATTATGTGGTTTTTTTTACTGTGTAACAGAAACAAGGCGAGAGTGTGTAAGTACATATCAGTTACTTGCGCGATCATAAAAGAGCAACAGAAATGCAACTTACGTAGCCGACCGAAATCAAGTAATCAGCCAAACCCTCGACGACCTTCGTACACTGACCGGGCTGGATACCTTCCTTGTAAAGACCGACCAACATAGTCTGACCGGTTTTGACGATGCAAACACCGTCCGAGCCCTGTCGTCGTATTGTTGCGTAGGAAACCGTTAGAGCTTGCTCTTGAACTGATTCAACTACACACTCAACACCTTCCCTATCCTCTTTTACTCCTCACTTCGGCACAAACACGGTTTTTTTCTCTAACTCTCCACCACCGAGTCATAACACAAAGAAAACCATGTTACCTTCTTGCCGTAGATTGAGCGGTCGTCAGCACGGAGGGTAAGGTACTTAACGCCAGCAATGTGAATACCTGAGGCACGAACCTTGTCGGCGTCTCTGAAGCCTTCAGCCATTTCGGTAATTTCGGCAGGTTTAACCTGTACGAGAAACAAGCAGAAATGGTCAGGTTAAACGCGCAAATTCTACTATACTTTACCCCATCCATTCCAACCCCGTTTTCCCCCCCTCGAGATGAACAGGGTAAGTCAGCTATTGCATACCTCGAAGCCAGGGGAGGCGGCCCATTGGCCACCAGCCAAACCAAAGATGCCGGCCTGGCTGACCTGACCGGTACCAACGAGATTGTTGTCAACGTATTGCTGCCAAGACATGATTTTACAAAGAGAAAAAAAGGGTAACGAGATGAAGAAGAAGAAGAAGAGACGAAGAAACGGACTAGGAAAAAAAAAGAAAGAGCGTGGAAAGCCGAACTTGGGTTGTGATGATGCAACCGGTTCACAGCGTGGCCAATGAAATAGTTCCCAGGCCCTGTCTGTTGCTATATTTAACTCGAACGCCAGACGCTGGTCCTGAATCCATTCGACCCAAACGACAGGTGCTGTCATCGCGTACATACACCGTTTGTGCATACGGTAACTTGCATCAAGGAGCTCTGCTACATGTTCTATCCTGTTCTAAGTACCACCGGCGATTCATCATCTAAAGCTTGTTGCCATGTATGTCTGTGTGCATTTGCATTCTTGAAAAGCTCGTCATATGTCCTCCTGCGAGACTTTTTATGGTTGTTGTTACAGCTGGCATGCTTTAGTGTACCTCGTTGGCACGATCGTCTGGCTGCCTCGTGTGTCGGTGATTTTACAGTACGTATTAACGGATCTGATGTACAGGGGGTGCTCATGCTGTTAAATTGACAGGTACAGGCTATTCAAACCATGGTTCAGAAAAGCTTGTTTACTACTTTACTGAACGAGTTCCAGCTTTCTGGTATGAGAGGACCATGTGAAGAGAGACGTCTTGTCCGTAAGCCTCAGCAATTGAATTCTGCTCGTAGTGATATAATATGCGCGGTTAAGAGTTCGACGATGGTGGCCGATACATCCCAAAAAAAAAGGCAGCATGCCTTTGCACATGGTCTTGTATGCGGAGACTCTGCGGTGTGTGAAAAAGGTCATCGACTTGATTTAACAAAATTGTGCAGAAACCTTCTTGACTTTTATGCATGTAGCCTTTGCTATCGGGATATGTATAAAGGGTTATTCGTATACTTCCCCACATGCGCAGCAACACCAACTAGTTCCTCATCTCTTATAGTAAAACTTTGTAATTGCATTTCTTAGCTGTGGGAAGAAGTTATAACTTACACATAGTAGCGCTTTTACGTAAGTATTGCTATACAGGTTTATAGCTTCAACCTTGTTTCTGCACATGCAATTTACGAAACGCGTATATCGTTCTACCTGTCCTTGTTATTCAACATTTTCGTCCTCCAAAATCAAAACATTGCTTGGATGCTACAAGTAGACATGACCAGAAACAGTGTCAATGCTGTTGTACTACTCTAAAATAACCTGGTGGCGAAGATGTCCTTTATATTTTAAATCATCTCTTACTTATGCGTGATTAGTTTTTCTGCTTAATATAATCAGCAAATAAGTCGTAAAGTCCTCCTATTTTACAAAAGAAAACAAGATCCCCAACGAAAAACGCCACATTCCCATCTCCAGCATTTTAAGATAGAGAGGACACCGCCTAGTGCATAATAGTAAGGCTATCAACTGAAGCATAACATCAGTTGCATAGTCTAAAGAAATGATGATGTAACACTAGACGTGCTGCTGTCAGTACGAAATGTATACAGAGCCATCTACTATTCCCTGTACGTCGTTATCTATCAACACTGACGTATTACCTTGATCTCGCAAGGCTCATTCTCTAAATGTATTATTGCAAAAAGTGACATCTATTTTGAAGCGTATGTTGAATCCATTTGCTTGATTAAACAGCACTATGTTCATTATAGTAGGCGATTCGTTCAACCTGTCTCAGCCGCATCGCACAAACTTTTCATGCGCCTCGATATCATCAGCACGCTCATATAAACACTCGCAGTTAGCAAACGCATGTTTTTGGTTTTCTCTCATTCCTGACTTTTCCTATACAGCACGCACATTGCAAACAATAGTTCCTCAACACCACTACCATTATTCGCATACGTCTTCAGACGTCATCGACTTTGTAACAATGCCTTTGGAGTCTGATTATAAGACAGTCTCGTCGGTCAGTTTCTACCCTGAAACGTTGTTTTTCCATGTGTAGCCTCCCATAGTGTTGGCATCGTCTCTGTTATTATCGCCGCCCTTCGCAAGGCTTATTACAGCGCTTCAACCCTCAGTTGTGCCAACCTTTCTGACGTGATTCTGAAAGAATGAAAGAATATCGCCCTCATCAGTTGCAACTTTTCAAGGACCCCTTTGAGGTTGATCTTACCTGCGGACCACTGTATGTTCCCTGTGTCATTTAAATGGTAGTATATTAGCTACAGTAAATCAGCCAGCACTCTGATATGTTTTATGTTACCCTTATTTTCTCTTTTGATATATGATATGATACAAAGTAGAAATTTCTATAAAACCGCTCTACTAACAGATTCGAAGCATACTTCTACGTATATCACCATTGGTGAAACTGCCACACTCAAGACGCTGTACAGCCAAAAGGACAGCATATCATTTTTGCATGAATTTGCGTCCCACCGACATCCGAAAGATACAAATTGCCGCTTGATGTCGCTTATGGTCGGTTTTTTTTGCCTCTCGGACACCTGAAAACAACCTTCCAAGTCCCTTTGACGTCTCAAAGGGACCCAAGCGGAAATCTGAAATTGATTCGCTTCTTGCACTTTTTGCATTTAGCATAAGTTAAATCCATTGCTGCAAAAAAAGGGATGGATGTCGAGCCTATATTTTAGAAGCATGGTGCACGCGCACAATCAACAGCAAGTTTCTGGATTAGCTTACTCGTTTATCATCTGTAGTCATCGTTTCACTGGCTGTCACTTTCATTCAAACAGCAGTTAGAAACAACAGATGTGTGCAGTTATTGGGATGCCTGTACCGTCGCAGAGTCATCAACTAGTCGCTTCATGACAGAGCACACGATGCATAACACCTTCGCCAGTAACTATGGCGAGGCACTTCTGCGCGTTACCACAGCAGCGTCATCCTCATCATCATCATCATCATCATCTTCACTGTCGTGCCCCCAACCCGCCTCAAAAAAGACAAAGGCCACAAGAGAGCACCAACAAAAGATGAAACAGCCTTCACATATACTAATCGATTTACACCTTTTTTATGGTATACTTGACATGGATATTATTGAAGAATACTGTCAACGGCTTCTGTTTATTGATGGGAGGAGCTGCAACAGCAGTTTCCGAAGTACCATTACCAATCGTCGCAGAAACGCTTGTTTACGACAAATCTATGCTTACAAATAATCTGTTTATATTTCACCGAAAATATATGTTGGAAATTTCATTGTATGTCATATAGTACTTTGAGCAGCATAAGCTTCCATAAGCTACTGTATCTATGTACCAAGCAGACAAGGGTACGCTTAGGAGCAAGACAATTAAGCAAGCAATCATGTTCGACGTTAGTTCTGGACCTTTAGCAAGTACAAATTTTACTAGAAAGTAGTACATTATAATATGTGATTGACTGAGAGACCTTTCTGTAGTTTAGATTTGCGGCGGCACCAAGAGTACATCTTTGGACCCCAATGAAAGCAAGAAGTTAATCATTACAGACTATATCGTAAAACGTCTGGGGACTCCAACATTCTTGAGGTCATCTTCCGTCGAGGTTCTTCGTTGCGGTGTTCGTGGTGTGTTGTCTATAGAAGTGCATGGTGTTAGCATTATAAGTATCATTTCATCAATTTAATCTTTTGGCATATTCGTAGGGACAATCAAATTAAGCGAGTACACAACAGGCAAATGGTTGCCAACAGATCTGAAAATAAGCGGGGGATCGCACCAAGCTCCTCATTGAGGGAAAGTACAACCTCAATAGTTTGTTCAAGTCTGGCTGTCAAAATTAGGCAATATCTCAAATGACTTTATTCGATACTTGGATGATATGCATAAATCGCAAATTGCATGATGGTGTCGATGCCCAACAAAATAAAATCAAGTTAGGCAAAATTTACAGTGGATAAGTTTGTTTCGACTTGATCTAGCCAATAATCCAACTCTTCAAGAGCTTGATTCAAAGCTCGCTGTAACCCCTGATCACTGTGTAAACCATCAAGTTGAAGAGGTGAAATGGTTTCATATTTGCCACGTCCTTCACTTTCTCTCGGTGAGCCTGTCCCTAACGGACGATCGGTACCGTTCGTCACAGAAGACGGACTTTTTGCTGTATTCCAATCTGGCAATCTTGCCGAGTGTATTGACGCGAGGGGCGGTACATTGATATTTCTTTTCCCCCTTTGATTAGTCATTCCATTCTAGCATATGAAACATACCAATGAGTTATTTTGCTTGTTTTTTCCTTTCTTAATAAAAGCAGGAAAAGATCAGTACCTTCGGTGTGCTATCGGCGCTAATGCTTCGACGATGATCGTGGAGTTGTTTGCCCTTGATATACTCGTTTGTTTGTTCGACCTTATCCACGTCGCCGTTGCTACTGTTTTTCCTTGAAGCATGATAGAGCTGATGCTGTTTGTTTGCGACAAGCGCCTTGAGCGGAACACTGTCTTCTTCTGATTGTCGCAATGTAGTGGCGGATCGAACTCTTCTTGCTAGAGGTAATCCAGCGGTATTAGGCTTTAACCCGCTGCTGCTGCCACTACTACTATCATCGGTTGCTACAGTACTAGTATGTGCGACCGGTACAGAGGGTGCTGGTCGGTGGTGCCTGTTGCCCTTCAAATGATGATGTGGCTCAACTTTGAGCAGACCGCCTGGTGTTGGATCGCGAGCGGATTGCTGGTCGGAGTGTGATCGTGCACGAGCCATCGGCTTGCTCGCATAAATACCTGTCTCTGGTGACGAAGATGCCATTCTTGGAGACAATTTTGAGCTGTGTCCAAGGATGGGCTGATTTGGTGGAGTTGATGAAGGCGTTCGTTGACGGCTGTGACCACCTCCAGGAACAAGTCGATTACTGCTCATGAGTTGGTCGGTGGGCGCCATCGGTGCAGCAGGTGATGAAGATCCGAATACGCTTGGACCTGAATTTTTGCGCGGTTTGATTGTTAACGGGCTAGAAGGGCGGCCACTATCGAGTTCTTCTCTGTTTGTAGTTGTAGTGGATGTGGTTGCAGAGATGGCAGCTGCAGCAGTAACTGCGGTTGGGTGAAGGGTATCAGGTTTGGATGTGGAGAGTGATTTGTTATCTTTGGCAGTTGTAGATGGGGTCGTCGGTGGATTTAAGAGGGCGTCAGCAGGTGACATGGCAGTAGTCACCCCTGGTGATGGTGAATTCGGTCGTAGTGGTTGTGAGGAGGCAAAAGCTCCCGAATCGAGATCGATCATTGGAGAGGGCGTCGTTATCGAGGGTGATTGCATAGGTAACATGACGGGTGAAAGAGAAGATATCGGTTGTGGTAGAATGTTGGGTGATTTCGAAAGTGGCGTGCTAACGCCAGAAGCATTAAGCAAAGAATCAGATACCGGTTGCTGTGAGTTCTCGAACAGTCGTACGAGTGGATGAGGGTCTCGGTTGCGGAAAGGTCTGGCAGCGGTATCGTCCAGTAATGGATTGGTGGGAGACGCGGGGTTTTGTGGTGTCGGTTGGCTTATACTCGTGTCTGGGCGCTTTTCATATAATCCGGATGAGGGATCATGGCGGATAGTCTGCTTGTATAATAGTTCGTCAGAATTGCGTCAATAAAAAAAGTTCTTGACAAAAAGATAGAAATGCGTACGTCAAATGCCCATGCATCATCTTCGGCGTTTTCAAACATGTCAAGTCCCGGGTCATCTTTTTCATTATCGCTAAGTGCAAGATTACGTTGGTCAGTAGTTTGAAATGCCGATTTTCCTTTTCTTTTAACCCACTCTCTCCTTTATAGATATCTATAGTACCTGCCACTTAGATCATCCGATGCGACACTATTACGCCGAGTATTTTGGTTCTGCTTTTTCCATTGCTCATACCGCGTAATCAGCTCTTTCAATGTGATCTTTGACACCTTACTAGAGCCTTTTATAAATTTGGTTTTCATCAAGTCATCCGCGCTTGGTCGCTACATACATGACAGTCCAAATATTTGTTACTAAGATTTTCGATTTTAGAAAAAGAGTTTGTCAGAATAGTGTTTACCTCATTTGGTTCCTCGCACAGACATAGATCCACAAATTCGCGGATAGACGCTGAGAAATTGTCTGGTAATCGTGGCGGTCTTGACTTTGGGATCATGATAATTGCACGCATGGGATCGATATTGGCCAAGGGCGGATTCCCTGAAGCCATTTCGAAAACAGTAATACCTAGCGACCACATGTCTGCCTATACGTAGTGTAAAGAAAAGAAGACTTAGCATATTATTTAGATTCTTTAAGTCTTTAAAAATAAACCCCCCTACCTAAGTTGGGGCCAATTCAGTTACCTTGTAATCATATGATGAGCCCTCGCGGATGACTTCTGGTGCCATCCAGTATCTATTTTTGTGTAATGCTGGTGGATAAGCTTTGGATCACATATTCTCTCTAGACGTATCTCGACAACTTACGGTGTTCCTACAAAGGTGTTACGCTTGAGTGAATTAACCGTTGTTTGTCCTGCGACTCCAAAATCACAAAGCTGTACGTTTCCTTCTGCCGTCAATAAGATGTTTGCAGCTAAATACACGTCCGGGTGTAAAAGGTTAGCATTATAACACGCATTCATCCAAGTTGGTTTTAAACTTTTTTTTTACCTTTGATATCTCGGTGAATAATATGATTGTTATGCAAGTAGGACAAAGCCAATAGGACTTCCCGAACGATCACCGCAAGGTACCTCTCTTCGATATTGCCCGCTTTCATCTACGTTTAATTTTCTCGTTTGAGTTAAACCTTTCATATCGAGCCGAGATGATCTAGTTCTATATTTCTATGGAAACCTTACGATGGTTCGTATACTCCCGCCAGCGGCATAATACATGATGATCCATAGTTTTGTATCGTTCAAAATACTGCCATAGTACGGGGTGATATTCTGGGACTTGGCGTGCGTAAGCTGCGTTAAGAGGGCAATCTCATTTTGAATGTCGTCAACATCGTCTTCTTCGGTATCCAAGTTGAGTACTTTAATGGCAACAATTTGTTTTGTCTTGTTGTTGATCCTAGCACCCGGGGGGAGTATATATAAGTACCATTTAGTACATCGAAGCATTCGTGTGTGTCTTTTCCCCCATCCCGTGGATTGAGTAGTGTATATACCCTTTGTATACAGAGCCATATGCACCTTTACCGATACGTTTGAGTCGAGTATAAAGCATGGTTGCTGGTGTGGCAGCCGGCTGCTTTGAAGTGGCCATAAGTGTCGTCGTGGATATTCAAGTGTTGTAGTAGCGAATTAGCAGTGTATGTGTGCGGCGTAAATGCGGCTATGTGGGGGGGGGAGAGGAGCTTTAACTGCTTAACGGGTTGTGACTTGGATGTGCTTTCGGCATGACGCATATTAATGGGGCTCGCGGTTCCTGCTTGAACTGTTCTTCCTTCTATTCTTTTTTTGTAACTGTCTCTTGGAAAGAAAGTTTGACAAGAAAGAAAAATAAGAGCAGCAACAACCACTCAATACTAATGAACATACTCCCCAAGGACACTGCCTCGTCACCACCTTTGTCGTCTTCCTCCTCATTAGGTTCATCGCCCACTGGTGCTCATGAACGTAAACCTTTCTTCAGCACGTCGCCCCGAGCAAGACCTACGACTTTTGTTCCCCAGCGTATAGCGTAAGCACTCGCATCAATGAATTCATCTTCTCTATAATTATAACTTGCCACTGATAGATAAATGTTTAAATAGTGATAAAGCCGATACGCCGCCGCGACGCACGTCTGTTTCCTCCAGCAGGTTCAGCGAAGCTTCCTTCCGTGGATCCCCCGTCGCACCAGGGTCTCCACCAAGCAACAGAAGCACATTTATAGCCTCGGCATGGCAGAACAGCATAGCAGCATCCTTAACCACAGACAACAATCATAAAGAGAGTGCTTCCGGGCGCAACAATGGCGCTGACGGGCCCATGACACTTGCCGCAGCAGCAGCAGCCGGTCAATCACATGATCCCAGATCATATTTGGACGTGGTGACCAGTCTGGTGAAAACAAGAAGCGGCAGCGTACTAGCAAGAAACACCATTTTGAAAATGGATCACTTTCCAAGCGGTAAGATCACCAACCTCCCACTTTCTGTCGGCATCCAATTGCATCATTATGCAGCAAAGCGAAAAACAAGGGGGCGGGGTGTGTGGAGAGTTAGTTTTTGTACGAGTAAACAATGCTGCTGTTTGCATGATCTACATGTTGACCTGTGGGACTATTTATTATGCTTCTTGCTTGGCTCTCACACATTCTTGCATTACAGGAACAAACACCAAGCTCGATTTCCATCTTCAGGGCGCACCGAATTTCCGTGTGGCGGGACTGGGAGTCTACGGCGTTGCGCAACCAACGGTAAAGTTGGCAAAACAATTGCGTGCGTTATCTTGCCTATCATAGATCTTGCCTTTGGGCGTATTAATGCTTTTTTGTTTTTAGGTTGTTGGCTTATCAACGATATTGGCCCTGCTTAACAGTCACCCGAAAAGTCTAAAGGAAGCCTCGTGTACCTGGTATATTTGCAAAATAGCCCCATAGTTCCTACTTTTGACTCTTTTCAATTCCATCCTCTGTGTTGACTAATCTTCTCTTTTGGCTTTATGTTTCTGCACGGAAATCAATTAGGTTCTCTACGCGTGAAGAACCCCTGGGTAAGAAGCTACTCCATGTACAAGAAGACAACAAAGAATAACAACTAACAGAATTCTGATTTAGTCTATATTAACGGCTGTCCTTACGTGCTGCGCGACTATGCGGATCCATTGCAGAACATGGTTGCCTTTCGAGGCATGAATGCTGGCCGGTTAGAAAAGGTAGAAGAACGGCTCAAGAACGATGTCCTCAAAGAAGTCAAAAGCATGGGCGGACTTTTGCTTGTCCATCAAGAGCTATGTAGGGCATATAATTTTTCAATTTCCTATGTGATACGATCCTGCGTGCAACCCAAGATAGCCCCCCCCCTAACAATAATGTCAAATGTGTGATCCCTCTTTTGTAGCTGACGGTACCATTGTACCCTGCTATATTGCAGCTGACACGGTACAAACGCCCCGAGAAGGTATTCATAAATCCCACACACCCTCTATTTGGCGGAGAACCAATATTTAAAGATAGAAGAAACTGATAAGCTTCACAACGTTATAGTCTTTGATGCGTTTCGCAACGACGGTTACAGGACAACATACTTCCGTATACCCATTTCACCAGAGCAAAGCCCCGAGGACAACTATTTTGATGAATATGTACGCGTAATTAAAACCCTGGAACCAACTGACCCCTTGATTTTTAATTGCGGAATGGGAGCCGTGAGAAGTAAGTGCTATAAAAGTAATTTTCCGCTTGCTGTGTTACACTCCTGTGCATAGGCCTGCATTGTAGATGATACATCAAACTCTAATGCACTCCACCATTCATAGCTACTGTCGGTATCATTATCGCTCAGATCATTCGCCGAACACAGCTGTTACGCCTTGGCCTGCCCGATCCTTTCCCTGTCCCTGGATGGGCTTTTCAAGTACCTGACGATGACGATGGTGATGGCGTATCAAGAGTCTTTTCGCCAGAGCTTGCACGAGGATTGGAAGAAGCAAATAGTGCCACTAATCAGAACCGTGCTTTGTTGCGCTTGGTGTGCATTTTAGAGAAAGGTAGCGTACATGTGCAATTGCGATATTTTTCATGGGCGAAAGATAAGATCAAGTCAAATCAAAGAGACTCACTCATGGTTTTGTACAGGCCTCAACTTGAAAACAGCATCAGGATCGATCATGGAATGGGTTTTGGATCGTGGAAGACTGCTTGAAAATCTTAAAGAAGCTATCATGGGCAATTATCGATGTATCATCTCACTCACCTCGGTGTTGGATAGTGGTACCTATAGCAAGAAGCTTTTAGATCAAGTCATCGATCGATGTAAGTGTATGATTTTCTCTAAAGGATACAGTGTATATCTTTCCAAATTTACGAATAACAAGGAAACCTGTTTTTAGCCGATGTGGTTGTCAACCTGCGTGACGATATTTTGTTGAATCGTATTCTCCAGACCACTCAGAGCACGAACGACAAGTCAACATATCTTTCCAAGGCGCTTTCCGGTTTACAGCGATATTTCTTCTTACTATGCTTCACAGCCTACATCAACGAGTCGCCAGTGGATGCCAATTTTGATTTCCGCTTCTCGTCATGGGTCAAGACACGCAGCGAAATCTGGTCCATGTTGACACATATGCGCCGCAAGGGTCCTCAGCTTTACCTGTTCCGTCCAGTGGATGATCTCCGTGAACTTTCGAGCAATGGTGGCACAGGTGCCGTGGATTTATATAGTACGCGCCGTGGATGGTCTGGTACTGCACAAAGCATGTTTGACATGATTGGTGCTGGTGCACAATCGGGTATTGTTGCAGGAGAAGTAGAAGAGTTTATACTAAAGGTACGTGGAAAGAAATGAAATTCTCTCGTGCTAGCTTTGCTGGCAAATCTGAGAGCAATTCGGTTCTCTAAAAATTAACTCCTCGTATTCAGGCACGTATCGGAGCAGTGCTTACGTCGCAAACTATTCTCAAGGTCGATTTCTGGCGTATGAGTCACCTGAAGAACAAGAATGAGCAAGAAGAACGATCGCCGCTGCTGACTCCATCGCATGTGCAACAAGAGCCATTTAGCGACAACCATCAGATGCATCACACTTTCTTTATTGACGGCGCTGCGAATTTCCGACGAGTCGACAGCACACATGTTTATGGTGTTGCTCAGCCTACTGTCGACGGTATACGTAAAGTCTTACAACAGCTGCTCAAAGACCGTCCACGAAACGAAAGAATCATGTGGATCAACCTTCGAGAAGAACCCATTATCTACATCAACGGCATACCCTATGTGCTGCGTGATCGATACTTTACGCTCCGTAACATGCGTGTATACAAGGGTATCACGGGCGCACGACTCGAACAGCTCGAAGATCGACTTAAAGACGACGTTATCCGTGAAATCAGCAACTACGAAGGAAGAATTATGCTCCATGGAGAAGATTCGGATGGAAATGTGCAAGCTGCGTGGGAAGAAGTTGACATTGAAGATGTGCGAACTGTGCGTGAAGTCATGGAAACTGTAGCCTCTGAAGTATACCAGGATTTGGAAGGAGACGATTATACGATTCATCCACAGGAAGCCGCTAGCAAAGACCTCCTTGCTTACTATCGTGTTCCTGTTACTGCTGAAAAGTCGCCTGAATTGAATGACTTTGATGATTTGCGACAGTACATTACAAGAGTCGATTTGTCGAATACTGCCTTGATCATGTAAGTCTTTCTTTCCTTTGATTGACCTTATTTTACTAATTTTTAATTCAGTAACTAACTTGGTTGGACTGTACTTGTAACAAGGAATTGCCAAATCGGTGTTGGCCGGTCGACACTAGGTACAGTAATAGCAACGCTGCTGACACGATGGCTGCGCTCCTCCACAACACCAGCAACAGTCCCTTCTACAGCGTCCCCCGAAGCAGGATCCGAATGCATGCGGCCACAACGCTTAAACTACCAAATCATCAACAGTCTCTTGCGCGTCATCAAGAACGGTCTGGAGAACAAGTGCATTGTCGACGATGCTCTGGACAGATGCGGCGCTTCTTTGAACTTGAGAGACGTGATTGAATCGGCACATATACAAATGGAGCGCGAAGAAGATGAAACCCAACGACGACGGATACTTAAACGTGGCATTGTGTCATTAGAGCGATACTTTTCCTTGATCTGTTTCCAGGCCTACTTGGACGACACGAACCCAGATATGGTCGGCGAGACCGAATCATTCGAAGCATGGATGAAGCGTCACCCAGAAACCAACACGATCCGTCAAGAACTGCGAAGCGAAGATGAAAGTCTCATTGTCCCTGTTGAAAAGTCTTTGGGTGATGGTGTTGCTCTGTCTAGCGAGGTCATGCAAGTAGTGAGTGGACGTCATGGTCAAGTCCTTGCCCAGCAAACAATTCTTAAGCATGATGCTTTCCCGGGTTGCCAAAAAGTCAGTCTCAAGGAGAAGGTGGAAGGTGCATACAACTTTAGACGGGTCGAGGTCAAGAATGTCAAGAGCGCCGTCAAATACGGTGGGTTAGCGGCGACCCAAAGCGGCCTAGCAGCTGATATGGAGCGTAGCGACGATGATGTGATTATGGCTCCGTTTATTTGTGGATGTGCGATGCCTACCAAGGATGCCATCAAGGCTGTACTTAAGCGCCTCAATGCCGGACCTGCCGGTAAACGTCGAGTCCTTTGGACCTGTTTGCGTGAAGAGCCTGTGCTCTATGTTAATAAGCGACCCTATGTCCTCCGTCTTTACCATGAGCCGATCAAGAACCTGGAGACCACCGGTATTGCACGGGAGCGTGTAGAAGACATGGAAAAGCGGATGCGACTGGATGTTTTGGAGGAGCTTGGAGAGTACGATGGTCGCTTGTTGTTGCACGATGAAGAAACATCCGAGAAAGGTGGGGCTATTCTTGTGGTAGGTGGCTTTGATTGATCTGAAAATTGTAAGAAAAGCAAAGAGATTCTCGTCTGATCTGGTTTATGGGCTAGCCTGTATGGGAAACTGTGCCAGTAGAGTGCGTCGAAACACCAAGCCAAGTATTCCAATCGATCGTTGAAGAAGGCTACCAAGTCGACTATCTTCGTGTCCCCATGTAAGTTACACTTTTGTACAGTGGTAGCGCTTATTTCTTCCGCAAACTTACCAAAAATTTCTTGATCTGATAATCTATTAGTACCGATGAACAAGCACCGATCCCAGACGTCTTTGACCAGCTAATCCGCCGAGTGCAGGATGCAAATGCCGGCGTTGACGTCCTTTTCAATTGCCAGATGGGGTAAAGTCCAAGGCCATAAACCGAAGAGAGAGCAAAGGGAAAAAATGATATTAATCGTGTGAAAACTACATTTTATTATATTTAGTCGTGGTCGTACTACAACGGGCATGGTGACAGCCAGTTTAATGTCCATGATTCTAAAGAACGACTCGATTATAGACATGACCAACTCGTACATTGTAGATTCATCATCCGACAGTGCGACTGCAGATACGACGAACGACAGCAGCAACGTGTTGGTATCACCTACTACTACGACTGCTATAAGCACATCTCACAACGATGAATCTCACGAAGAGAGAGAACGATATCAGAATGGCGAGTACAAGATTGTGCTACAGTTAGTCAGTGTATTGACATATGGAAAGCTTGCCAAACGATTAACGGACCAAGCTATCAATATCTGCGATCATATGCAAAATCTGCGCAAGGCCGTGTATGACTACAAGTTACGGCTTGAAGCGATTGAAGACCGAACGTCCAAAAAGTACAAGGAAACGCGCGAGGTGGCATTGAACTACCTTGTGCGTTACTTTTACCTGATTGTTTTTGCCAACTATTTGTTAGAAGAAATGGGTAGTTTGTCGTCGTCTTCTGCATCGTCCATGATTGAAGATCAAGATGAAGGCAAAAAAGCACCAGAAGCAACAGACACCATTGTCGATGACGAAGCACGCAAAATGACAACGTTCAAGGAATGGCTCAAAGGACGAAGGGAAATTATCAACATCATTCGGCTCCAGTCGTTTGACCTGTCTTGATCCCACCTATCAGCGTCCCCTTTTCTCTCTCCCCCCCCCCCCACCGCCCTCCCCGGGAATGGATCAAAGTGCCATTTATGGGATCCAACGTGAATATGCCCTTGTACGGTCTTTTCCGAATTGGGATCGTACGACTGTGAAATATCGGTCATGTGCTTTTTTTTTCCTTCTTTTTCTGTTCTCTCCAGTTTGGATAATTTATTATCAAACAACAACACCCCCCAGGGACTTTGTACCTCCGCCACCCTTTTACCTACACTTTCTTTTTCACGAACCTGTATTATTGTCCCAGCAATTGAAATAAAAAAGTGCATTCACTTGTCACTTTTAAAGACGTTTTTGGTTCATGGTGATATATATCACAGTGCTCGCGCAAGATCATCATGGGATGTGGCGCATCCTCTATCTCCGGATGTTGTTGCTGAGCCCATAACAAGCAACAACACACTCTCCCTCTTACATTATATAAGCGCAACCGTATCTCTTACTTTACTGATAGTGATGCAACGCAAGATCAAAAGCTTTATCAGTAATCGTATTTAACTGTCAGCCCATCATTTAGTAGCCGAGTACTATGACGATAACGGTGCCAAGTAGTTGATTTATTGCTCAATATAAAGATATCAATATTAAGCTTTGTTTCGCTCTTCTTACCCATGCGGTTATTTGATAAAGTAGACAATCCCTCGGATAAATGTAAAAGCAGAATGTACGTTACTGGACTGTTAGTGATGATGACGATGAAAGCAAATGTACTGTTGCTACGCCATCATCACTGCCTCTTTGAGGCAGATAGCGTTGCAAACAGCACAGTCATGATACATACACGCCGCTCAACAACAGAGCAACAGTGAATGATCGGCTGAGACTTTTCTGCTTTCCTACACATGTTGGGTTTTTCTGCACAAACTAATCATTCAACATGGACATATCCCCAAGAAAGTAGGGCATAGCCACATCATCACTATTATCTTTTATAAGCTACAATTTTTACATTCTACTGCATGTACGTGAACAGAACACAAAAGAGATCATGGAAAGGGACATTTTTGCCTGCTTGGCAGTGTAACCTTACGTCCAGTGCCCCCCCCCCTCCTCTCTTTTCAGCTCGTTTTTTTTTTTTTTGATCCACACATATTTAAGGTTGCGAGCTCGAGTAAGACAGTCTCGCCCGAGATACCGGTGCCACTATGGTAGTCAGTAAAAAACTGGTATACTTGAAAATGTTATCCGAGAGTGGATGGCTGATAGTAGAGTAATCTCATCACCTTATTAGCCATCGCTTTCCTTCAGTACAGTACACGGGCCTTACCAGCAGTTCTTATGTTCATTTTTTGTTTTGGCATACTTGCTTTTTTCTAGCTTTTCTCATAGTTTGACCATTCATGGGATGTTGTGGAGTGTACTGATTCGCCCTTCAATGGTCAGTTCCCTTCGAGACCCTACCAATAATACCATGCTAGTAAGATATTCGCCTTTCTTTATATAGATTACTCAATGGATCTTTATGATAGCTTAAAAAGCGATTCATTGTTCATCAAGGAGTTTTGTTTAGATTAATTGAATTTTACAAAACTCTTAATTAGCGATATTCTAGTTCTTTTTGCAAGTTTTCTTTACTGTGAATTGTACTATATCCAACTACAGCTCTTGAACACCTACATACTATATGCGACATGTCTCTTTTCTGGGTACAGTTTCTGTAATTGAAATACTGTTTCTGTATCTTATTGTACTAGCTGGTAAGCATCGCACTGTATTCAAATTGAACCTGTAGCAGAAATCGTACCCTGGTAGTTAGTCTTTGTGCTCGTGTCTGGGGCGCTTTGGCCACTAAAGGGAAGCCTCTTTTTCGACCAGGACATGGGTTTTAACTATGGGCAGACTCATCAAAGAAAGATGGAGTTTTTTTTTTCATTGGAGCCTTCCAGTTCATAGGGTCAAATCCACCAAAATGAAACTGTGCTCTTTAATTTTCATATTTTGCCTGTCTGCTTCAACTATTCCATAACCTATTGCAAGACGTAGCTGACGGGTGTTACGTACCAAGTATGCCTTGTCGACAGATATTGTGTATGAGAGCTTATGAGTATTTGTCAAATGGTACTATTATGTTCACCCATCGCTTACTCGTGATAGATCGGGATAAAAAAAAAAAGGGTTAAGGTTTTTGATTCGCAAAAGTTAAAGGTGCAGTGTCCAGTTGTTTTTTCTCACAATATATCTCTATGTGGGACATACGGAGGAAAAAAACGAAGCTGAGTTTGTGTGTGTGTGTGTGTGTGTGGATCTGCTCAACAAACAAGGTAGAACTCGATTTCTGTACAACCGTCGTTCGTTGGGAAGGAAAGGAAGAAAGCCCGTAATAGCTGCCGTGTTGGATCAGTAAAAAGATGAGATAGAGAGTAGTTCATATGTCTTACGGAATTTGCGTAGCAATAAGAACTTGAAGGGTATAGTGTATTTTGCACCTGTCAATGATAGAAGAAGTGTTACATATCACTTGTGATCGGGTAGGCACGACTTAAAGAAAAAAGCGGGATCGAAGATGATAGTCGTAAGAATTGCACCCGCATCATACAAATCTATTATATCTGTTTGCGTTCTGTACAACGAAATATGAGTTTGTGATTGCATTATCAGCATGGTTTAGCAGCTTGGGTACAACATCGTCGGTTTGGATAGCTGCACACGGCCGGATCAGTGAAACAAGGTATGCTAATTGGCATGATAAGCTTTTTCTATAGAAAAAAACCATAAAAGAAACATGCCTGTGAGTGGCTACGGAAACCGCGTAGCCATCAAACGAACAAACAGGATCAAAAAAAGTACATACATGGAGCAGCACAGGGCTTCGTCAGCGGACATAATGAGCTTAGAAAGGGGAGGGTGGGGGGGGGGAGAACCCAACTGCTACTTTACGTCGCTGCATGATGACGATGTCTTCTGATATACAACCCCGTCTTCTTTAAAAAGAACTTCCAGAAAGACACGGCCCAGCAGAAGATTCAGCAGCACACTGTGTGGCGAGCGATCTATGCGCTGTGCTGCGTAGTTTCCGAGCATAGAATACCGCATACACATATGTACAAACAAGCCTGTGAACTATAATTGACTATTTTCGTACAATATACGGATAAGGCAAGAGTTACTCAATCAAGTGCTGGAAACAGGCGGATCACAGTTACACACGCGTTGTGGTTTAGCTTCTGATTATGAAGAATATGTATCCCCTTTGATTACAAAGTCGTACAACGCGAAATGCTGTTGCACGATCACACTATTCTTCCTTTTTCTTACTGTTACGTTACGAGAAAAAATCTGGCTGGGAAAAAAAAAAAAAGAAGAAATTCATACCTGCAAGCAAAGTGTATGCTGCTTTTGCTGGCTCAGCGCTCACTCTTTTTTTTTTTTTTTTCCCCTGGTGGTGACTGCCCTAGAAAGTGTCCGATGGTATGGTTACCAAAGGGGTCCCTTCTGTTATCGTCCAATATATATTTGCACTGGGTGGGGACGACGACGACAAACAATCAATGTAAAAAAGAAAAAAGAATCACTGTGCCACACTGCACGCCAGAGAGAGAAGAAAGTTTATTTAAACGGACACACCTCTACTTGACCTCCTCTCCTTTTTTCACTTCCTCTCTCTCTCTCTCTCTCTCTTTCTCTCTCTCGTTCTCTTCTACTCTTCTCGTTTATAACTTGCTGGGCTTTTAACCCCAACAGCTTCTGCTTTGTAAAACTACTTCCATACAGTATCAACAAGCGAAATACAACAACCACCACCACCATACAGTTCCCCCCCCAAAAAAAAGCACTTTCTTCTTCTTCTTGAACAACACATACACACACACACACACACATGGATCGATTCAGGAGCGCAGTCAAGGAGCGCCTCGGCCGATCGTCTTCCGCCAAAAAACCTGATCTGGAAGTTCGCGAAGAAAAAGCGAGCTACCCTGAATGGGCCAAGAAGCTTGGACGAGTTTCTTTTCTGATCTGGAACAGATTCCTGTGGCAGCCGTTTCGCTATATTTGGAACTTCTTGAACCGATGGACCAACTTGACGTTTTGGATCTTTACGGGTATCTTTATCGGTATTCTTGTCGGCTATTTCCAGCCAGAGTTCTCGCAAGAGATTGAGCCACTTGGCACAGCCTTTATTCGAATGATCAAGATCATTGTTGCCCCCTTGATCTTCTCCACTTTGGTGCTCGGTATTGCAGGTACATACGTACGGGAAAAGGTGTTAGTGTCGAGAGTGGAAAAAGCCAGCATACGCCCACCTACATACATACATAAATAGCCTGCTTACACCTTGTTTTTTTTTCTTTTCTTCTGCTGCTGCTTGATGTTGATTCAGGGCATAGTGAGGATATCTCCACTGTCGGTAAACTTGCTATCAAGACCATCGTTGTAAGTCCGAGAATTCTTTAGGATCGATGCTATGCAGAATCAAAGGGAGAGAGAAAGAGAGAGAGCTGCAGTAGAATACGGCATACTTACGCGCCACACCGCTGATAATAGTACTTTGAAATCGTCACGACCTTTGCTCTGGCGGTGGGTTTGATCATGGCCAATCTAGTCAAGCCTGGTGAGGGTGTGATTTTGCCAGGCGAGCAAGACAACGCGGATGCCAGCGACCTTGCAAGCAGGAGCGGCGAAATCACCTGGTATGGCGAAATGTTCATGATCATCCCTGAAAACTTCTTTATCGCTGCCGCCGAAGACCAGATTCTCGGTATCGTGTTCTGCGCGGCCATGTTTGCTTGCGCAGCCATCAAGGCCGATAAAAAGTCACGCGATGTGATGCTCATGATCTGCGAGTCCCTCTCTCAGGTATGTATGTGCGTGTGCACACTTTTTCATTTCTTGCTTCTTGCCTAATCCGAAATTTCTGGGTCATTTTAGGTTATTTTCAAAATGGTGGGTCTTATCATGAACTGTAAGTAGTAGCACTGCGGCACAACCCCCCCCCACCCAACAAAAACATCCCCCCCCCCTCTTTTGAGAAACGAATGGACCCTAACAACAGTGGTTGCAGATGCTCCTATCGGTATCGGTGCCTCTTTGGCTGCTACTGTCGGTGCAAACGGTATTGGCGTCCTTGCCAATCTCGGCAAGCTTATCGGTGCATTGTATGCCTCGCTCGTCATCTTTTTATTGCTCATCTTGTTCCCTGTCATCCTTCTTTGCCGCGTGCCCATGCTTGGCTTCTTCCGTAGCATTGCCCAGCCCTGGCTCATTGCCTTCAGTACCTCATCCAGTGAATCCGCGTTGCCCAAGGCTATGGAGAAAATGCGTGAATTTGGATGTCCCAATTCGCTAGTGTCATTTGTCATTCCGACGTAAGTCATTTAAATGATTCCCGTTTTATAAAAATTATGATGGCTAATAAATAACCCTTCTTTTCTTTTATCAAGTGGTTATTCATTCAACTTGGATGGTACAACACTCCATCTCGCATTGGCCAGTATTTTCTGTGCGCAAGCAGGTGGCATGAGCTTGCCTGTTGCTACTCAACTGTCGATTATGGGTACACTTATGCTGTCATCCAAGGGTGTTGCCGCCGTGCCACGTGCCTCGCTGATCGTGTTGGCTGGTACTGTCGCTCAATACGGCCTTCCCATTGGAGCTGTCACGGTGATTATGGGTGTTGACGCTATCATGGACATGGGCAGAACCTCGATCAATGTCATGGGCAACTGTCTTGCGTGCTGCGTCATGGCGCGTCTCGAGGGTTCGTTCCGCGGCAGTGAATGGAAAATTGAAGAAGAGGCTCGTCGACACAAGGCTCTCCAGGACCAAGACCCTGACAAGGTTGTCCCGACCACGGAAGAAGATTCAGCGAGTGAAAAGGCCGTGCATTCCAACGACGTTCCTACCGAAATCATGATCCATGACAACAACAAGTCGTCACGCAGCCTAGAATCGTACAACAATAACAACAATTCCCCTTCCACAACAAGCAGCCACGAGCGCAAATAATCCAGCATCGTCTTTGGTAGTAGAGTAGCAGCTATCATTACTTATTCAGTCGTTATCCCTTCCTCTCAAGTGTACAGTATTACATACCTTCTATATCCCATTTTCCTACAATCTACTTATAACTGCAACTATTCCCCTCATGTATGATATGTGATGTATCCCTACCCAGAAATAAAATCTTGTACGATAATAACATTCCCTTACTCTTTTTACAAGCAGCTACATACTAAGCCCGGTGCAACTTTGGTTCGTGGAACAAGTTTAAATGAGAAAAAAAGTGCCAGTTCGATTGATGCAGGCTTATAATAGAACGTGTGGAATATACATGGGAGGTGTCGTAGAGGGGGTGGGGCTTAGGTAACAAAAAAGAAGAATCAATAGCAAAGAGAGAAAAAAGAGAAAAACTGGTAGAATATATACAAAAAATAAAAAAAAAAGGATGGGATGGGTTATTTGCATGTGTGGGATGCGTGACAGAGGAATGAATGGGGTATGCATGCGTTGTACAGAGTATGAGTTAGGAGGGCCTTGGTGGTGGTGGTGGTGGCGTCTTGCTGTTCATGGTAACGGTGGCGGTGAATGCTCGCGTGGTCGGTCATCACGGTTTACTACCGCGACAAGGACACTTATGTCGTCTGCTTTGCCGCCCTAGAAGAGGAGGAGATTGTTTTTCAACAGCGAGCTCACTAAACGTTTTCGTTCCATCCTTCCACCGCATATTTAAAAAAAGAGAGAAAACTCACCTGATAGTACATGCCTTCGTGCATTGCTCTGCACTGGAAAGGCGAGGAAGGATTACTTGTATCTTCACTCACGAGTCTGGCACGTAGTGCAAGCGCATCTGAAATCAGCTGGGGTACCGACGCCGCGCTATTGTTACCAACAGCACCTGCGTCTCCGCCAGTGGTCACATCCTTCTTCTTGTTGTTGTTGTTCTCATTCTCTTGTATACAGCTCTGTACTTCTTCCAGTATCTCATCGTCAAAAAGGTTGTCAAATAATCCATCCGAAGCCACAATCACAATATCTCCTTCTTCTATTTTGATAGAGAATTGCTTTTAAGAAAGGATTAGCAATTGTTTTATCTTTGTGTTGAAAGCACTATGAGAACATTCTTTTACCTGTGCATCTGAAGGATAGTCGAAAGAAGCGGTGCCGAGTTGATAGGGAAAGTTAAATGAATGTTGCTGCTCTTCGGATCGGAAGACAAAGTCGTCCTTCCGAATGATCGATACGCCACAATCCCCCAGATTTGCAACGCGAAGCTCGTCTTGGCATAGCATCACTATACACGCCGTTGTTGACCCCACAAAGTTCTGCTTTAATCCGTTAGAACCCACGGTTTCTCTCCCTTTCCACGTCTTACTTTTATTTCCGCACCCTCGTCTCTCTTCAAATCTTCCAGGAAAATTCAAGATGAAAATGTGTAACAATGGCTAAAAAACTACTTGCCTCATTCTGAGCATCCAATGAGGTTAAATGGTATGCGTTCTCCAGCACCATGACTGGATCGGGCTGGTCCTGTTGGACGTGCGACGGTCGCTTATTGTTGTCGATACGGTCCAATTCCAACTGAGCATAATGCATCAGCTTCCGTGCATACAAGGCCGGGTTGGCGCCTTAAAAGATGCATCCAATCAATCAAGCAAGGCAAAGTTTAATTACAGAATTAATCACCTGTTTTTTTAATATCGGTCTGTCTCTCCCCACTCCTCTTTTTTTTATGTGAACCTACCAGCATGCTTCCGCCATCCACCGACGCCGTCGGCTACCCCTAAGGCATCATGGCGTTTAAAATACGCATCATCCCCGATCTGTATACTGGAATAAATAGCATCCTCCTGCGGAGACGTTGTCGGCTTCTTGTCACTTTTTGCATACCCTGCTGCTCCATGCTTGAGTGTAAAGTAGGGTGGTTGCGATGCCAGTGCAGGATCGAAAAAGTCAATGACGTTGAGATTGGACCGTGCGGCCAGTTTTTCTTGCTGTGAGATCACTGCCGCGGAACGTCGGCATTGTCTTGCTGTATGAAATAGTGCGGTACTTGTAGCAGCAGCAGCACCAGTTTTTACTATTGGAATAGTAGCAGTTGTGTACGACCATTGTCGGAACGTTGCAGTCGTCCCCTTTGTGGCGATCGATCGGCATAGTGTGGCATGGTACCAGAACATTTAAGACTTGTGGGTAAGAGTAAAGCAGAATAAAGAAAAGGTACAAGTCAACAGAGAATGCGTATATATTGGAAAAAAAAAAAAGAGACGGCTCTGAAGAGTGGAAGAAATAAAGTAAAAGAGAAGGGCGAGGGAGGAGAGGAAAAAAAAAAAAAGGAGGTGGGAAGACGACGGGAAAAGCTACAGAGATTTGCTGTTGCTGCATTAGGGGCACTGACCGCGGAGGAGGACGGTGTTCGCTATCAATGCCGTTTATGGTGCTTGGCCGCCCCAACCAATGAACGAGTATCTTTCCACACGCTCCAAAGTATAACGCACGCAGGGTATTATTATATCGCAGCATTAAAAATAGCGCATCTTGGGAGATATGTATACTGTTTTTTTTATTATTTACTCTTTTATCTTTTGACATATGCCAAGACGCTTGACTGAGAGTCACTATATTACTAACTACTGATCTTGTTTACGACGATGCATGGATACCGAGCGAATTCAACTGGCCTTTGATCTCACCCACCACTTTGCCCTTGGACATGGCCGCATAGTACTTGATTTGCTCCTGGATCCCGTCAATGGAAGTGTGCAACGCAGGCAAGATGCAGCCCTGTGTGATCAATACCACGCGAGCAGCCTTTTGCATCGGTGACAAGTCCTCCTTGACCGTTTCGCTTCTGACAGCGTCATAAAACTCCACGAGCTGACCCATCTTTGCCTGGATGATCGGTGGGATAGGCACCGTCTTTGCATAGGCCGAGGCTGTGTCGAGTTTGGTCACGAGTTCTGTGGTCAGTTCCAAGATACGGTGGTTGCATTCGGCTTGCGTAGATTCGTAACTGCCCTTGATCTGACTTTTCACTTGGCTAGCCACACAGGCCGTCCAGCCTCGCAAGCTGTCGTTGATTCGGGCAATGTGGTGTGCCGTTTCTTGCAACAAGGCCTTGGTTTCAGATAGATGCGTCAACTCATCCTTGTCTCCGTCGTGTTGTTGTTGTTGTTGTTGTTGCTGCTGCTGCTGAGACCATAACAGTCGATCGACAAGACTGACAGCATGGTGGACAGGCGCTTTGACAGTGGTAAGCAGACAGTCGCGTACATGGTTGGACGATCGTTTCACGCTGTCGACGATCTGGTCGGTGGGTTGGTACACGGCCGGGAAGCGTTGTTCGAGCACGTCCAGCGAAAGACAGCCGAGTGCGCCAGCTTTTTCAAAGTAGGCTTGTGCATACGGTAACGATCCAGCCTGTGTGGATGCTTTGCTCCAGGTTGTCTCTGCTTGTTTTAATGCGTAGCGGCCGAGTGGGTATTGTTGGACTTTACCGACGCTGTCTTGGACAATGGGGATGGATGCAAAGCGGTGCCAGAAGCTGCCTTCATCTTCTTCTTCTTCTTCTGCAGCTGCTACTGCTGTTGTTGGATGTTGTTGCTGTTGGTGCTCGGGTTCTGGTTGTGGTGAAGGCATCGTTGTTGGCTCCTTTTCTTCTTTTTGGTCGAGGACGGTTGGCTTGTCTGGTTCATGCCGACCCATACTTTCTTCCTGTGGCGGCTCTTCAGCTGCGGTGGACTCGCCTTCATCGTCCTCGTCGTGGTGTTGCTGAATATAGGCCTCTGCTTCTGGATCAGCAGGCCGTTCTGTGGATGGAGCTTCGACTTGTCTGTTCAAGGTGCCGTAGGGGTTTTCGTCGGATGCGTCGGTGTCAGCCATGGGTATTTCGGTTATATTAAAAAAAAAAGAAAATAAACGGAAGAGAGGGAGGTTATCAGTTATTTTTTCCCCAATTTTTTCCCAAATAAAATGTTTCTCCTGACTTGCAACAGCCTTTCTTTTTTTCTATTATACGTTCGCGTCGACAAAGGAGGACAGTCTAAATGCTGTCACACTGGGTTAATGCTCTTTTCACCAATTCTACATATTATCCTCTATCCGGCGCATATGCTAACTACACTAACAATACTGCTTTTCTACTACTGTCATTCTTGTTGACGGGCTGTTTCTGTAGACATCAAGTCCTTTATTATATGAATCACACATGCTGAGATGATTTACCCGTATGTCTGACGCAAATACATATTCACATGCAACATGTGAGAGAGAGAGAGAGAGATAGAGCTTTCACGTTTCAAAGTTGTCTATGTTTTGTTTCAAGGTTCTTCTTCTTCTGCCTTCTTGAAAAGAGTGGTGATCCTCTTGTTCCTGCGTTCAAGAACATCTCGGAAATAAGATATGAACGATGGAATGTTTCACATTATACTATGCCGTTATCTTGAGAGAAATGTTACATCACCGTTGCGTTACTGATGCTGTACTGTACTATCTCTCCAGGAGCAGATGTAGTGTCCGTCGTGCGCGCGTGTCTGTGTGTGATATATCATTTTTTTATTATGTAGAGTAAAAATCGAGTTTACCTGAATGTGGCTGGTTTTAATTTTTCCATGCATGAATGATTGTCATCAAACGGTTCCACAGACGGATTTCCGCTCGGGGAGGGGGGTGTGCAACGTATACTTGATGTACATCGCACATTGAAGTTTTGAAGTTAATCAAGAGAGACAGATAAACAGCTTTTCTTGCATTATTATCACTGCGTTTTGCCTTAATCCACTATCAGTATCATATGACTGTAATGGCTTAAAGTGCTTTTTTGTATGTACCGAGTGATAAATGATGAATCCTTGTATTCAGTCTGGTTCAAGATACATAGTATGTACATACAACAGCAGCCTTTGCCAAGGTGATCCGCAAGCAGGTGGTACAGCGCTGGTTCCGTGTGATCCTAAAACTCTAAATTTATTCGCGTCGTTTTGCTTGTACCTTTTTTTTTTTTTACCTTTAAATCTTGATTTTCAAAGTAAAATTCAAATGTTTAGTAACGAACAGCAACCAAGAAACACCTTTACAGTACAACAATGGTGTCGCGGGAACATATAAACAGAGCAGCAGCAACGATAAACACAATTCCAATTAATTAAACTAGGTTCGCATTCAGATGCTCCACCGACGGTGTGAATAAATCTAGCTATGCCGCGACCCACCAAGGTATCTTTGTCAAGGTCAAAGCACCCTGCATGTAATTGAGTAAAAGCCCAGTTCCAAGTCGGCTAAATATCTCATATCGCTTAAAGAGCTCCGCGCACGCTGGGGTGCTAGGGTATCGTTGTTGCAAAAAAGGATTCAATGTGACAGAAATCAATATCATCGGTAAAACTCTGAGTTTGTTGTTTATAGCAATAACTGCTGTGATCTGCAGGCCTGCAATAACCATTTCTTAAAGCGTTGGCATTGAATTGAATGATCTGGTCTGTGGCATCTTGACATCATGGGAACGTACAAGCACAATATGTAACTAACCTCCGGAGTCAGTATTTCTTTCTCTTTGATATTTGCAGCAGCCCATTCTTATACGTTGCTAATCATGTTATCTGGACAATGGCGTCACTAGAGTAGTCGGTGAGTCGGTTGCAGAGAAACCCCATGCCGTTTAATGAAGCAGGGTCTATTGGATGTACATGCTCGTGCAGCACTGTCAGCCTCGTCTGTGATCTGTAATGGCTTTTTTTTTTTTCGAAAGATGCAAGAGTGCTGAAAGACAGTAACTGACGAGTAAAAACAAAAGTATTAGTGTTTGATTGCACCTCCAGAAAAGCTTGTCCTAGCTGCTTATGTACACCCCCGACAATGACGACGACAACTGCCCCCACAAACGCGATAGCAGCAGATACGACCTCGTTTTTGACTGTGTTGGAGGTGAATCAGCGTCGCCCTACTTTTTTATTTTCGGAACCCAAAACGACCGGTGTCTTACTGCACCCTGATTCACCACAGCCCATGAAGGCTGGTGACTGGACACCTATCCTCTCTACAGTCTTATTCCCTAATTCCATGATCCGTGGAAAAAGAAAAAGGGACCATCAAGGGTGTGTTGTGGGGAGCAGTATGTATGAAGGATACAGTAGATGTATGACCTGAAGGAAGGAAGGAGCTAAAGGGCATGCTACTTCTTGACACGCAGCGTGCCGTCGGCGACATCACCAGTGTTGTATTTATGTTGCAATGCTGCAATGCGCATATGTTGCAACTCTTGTGCTACGTGAATCGAACCTTATCGTACATGATGTATGTATAGAGCGTGCCGGAGGTCATTGGCGTAATACGTAGTATGATAGCACCACTGTTACCAAAGGGGGTAGAGTACTCGTCCGAGAGGAGCTAAACCTTTCACGGAAAGCCCGTTTTCTGTCGTCGCCCTCCTCCGTTCTCTTACGATGGTGATTAAATATTTACTTTTGCCAAACCAAGCTGTTTACAAACACGGTGGCCTTTCTCTCATAACCACAAAGCATCTGTTTACAAGCCAAACATCTCAGGGGATTATGTTTCAATGGAATGCCTGACCTCGGTCTTAATCATAGAGAACACGATGAGTGAAGAAGCTGCTGTCACTACTCTTCTTATGCGGATAATATGCGGGTTACCCATCTTTTTTTACTTTTTGGTGATCCGTTCGAGCAGAATAAAAAAGACATCACACCCCCCCCCCTCACCGCCCACTCCGCACCTTGTATGTGTGATGTCAGTTTGAAATAATACTGGGGATCTCAGCTATCGTGTATATACAGGCGCTGCACTGCACTATTGAATCGCTGGATACCTAGTATGTTTTGGGTGGTGGGAATGGTAACAAACAAACAAACAAACAAACAACGGTGGGGGGCGGGGCGGAGGAAAAAAGCAGCTGCGTGACATACACGTCAATGGATCTGCCTAAAATCTGATATAAGCGTGCGATAAGGTTGGGGGAGGGGTTGCGGAAGGAATGGAAGATGCATGGATGGGTCACCTTGAACATGATTCGTCGCCTTGCTTGGAGGCTGCGTGAGAAAGTTTCCATATCCACACGCGCGCGCGCGTTGCTTGTTTGGACCTAATCATGCGTCAAAATGTGTGTGTGCAGAAAACGGGAAAAAATATAAAGTCCAAGAAGGGGAGGGAGGACGAACCAACGGCCCTTGTCTCTTTTTTTTCCTTCTTCTTCCTTTGACACTAGCATTACTACTACTACTACTACTACTACTACTCATAGGAACCATGTCACATTCACTCCAGACCCCATCGCTTGCTCATTTCAAGCTGCCTGTCATTGAGAATGAGCCTATGGTAAGGCCTGTGCCTTTGTGCTTGACAAGCGTGGATCTGTGTTTCCACTGTGCAACCATCTCATCCTATTGAATGATTCTAGAAAAACTACGAGCCTGGCTCTGTTGAGCGTCAAAAACTCAAGGAAGCACTGGAGGCCATGCGTGCAGAGGGACCCTTGGAAGTGCCTGTCGTCATCAACGGCGAAAAGGTTTGTGTTCTATTCTCTTTTTTTTTTTTGTGTCTTGTGTTGATGACGTTAAAGGCAAGGAAGACCGACCTGACGTTTTGCTCCTTGTGTGTACAGATCTTTACCGGCAAGACATCCCAGCAGTTCAATCCATCTGAACATAGCAAGGCAGTATGCACGTTCCATGAAGCAGATTCTTCATTGATCAAAAAGGTCAGCAAGTTCACAGTGAGGTGTCCGCTTTATGGGCGATGAACACGCATTTTAGCATAACTACAACTTTTCCTGTCCCCAAATGTATGCTAACCCTCATATCACCGGTGACTACAGGCTATCGAGGGTGCGCTGACTGCCAAAGCGCAATGGGAGGCTCTTCCTTTCAATGACCGTGTTGCCGTCTTTCTCAAGGCAGCCGACTTGCTCTCAAGCAAATACAGGCAAGCTTCTCTTAGTTTGATAGGATTTGGGGGTGGTAGGGGTTATGTGGAATTGTCACAAAAAAAAAAAAGAAAGGGGGGTTGTGCGGGTCAAAAGAGGAGACGCAGAATCCGTCAAGTTAACACAAGTGACGTGTGACCATTTTTCATAGATACAAGATGATGGCCGCCACCATGTTGGGACAGGGCAAGAACATCTGGCAAGCCGAAATCGACGCTGCCGCTGAGCTGTGCGACTTTTGGCGCTTCAACTGCAAGTACGCGGAAGAAATGTACACTCTGCAGCCACCCAAGAACTCGTTTGGCACATGGAACCGCACCGAGTACCGCGCACTGGATGGCTTTGTGCTGGCCGTGTCGCCATTCAACTTTACTGCCATCGGTGGCAACCTGCCTAGTGCGCCTGCATTGATGGGCAACGTCGTGCTTTGGAAGCCATCACCCTCCGCTGTCCTCTCCAACTACCTCGTGTACGAGCTCATGGTCGAGGCTGGCCTGCCGCCAGGTGTCATCCAATTCGTCCCTGGCCCGGCTGAAGAAGTCTGCGCCGCCGCCATCGGCCACCCTGAATTCTCCTCCTTGCACTACACTGGCTCAACGGCTGTATTCCGCAAGCTGTGGAAGGACATTGGTAACAACATTGACAACTACACCAGCTACCCACGCATTGTCGGTGAGACCGGTGGCAAGAACTATCACATCTTGCATCCATCCCTGGACGAAGCAGGCGTGCGTCATGCTGCTTTGCAAACCATCCGCGGTGCCTTTGAATTCCAGGGTCAAAAGTGCTCTGCATGCAGCCGTGCCTACGTCCCTCAAAGCCAGTTTGCCAACTACCGCAAGTATCTGTTGGAGGAACACGCCAAGATCAAGCAGGGTGCGCCCTATGATTTCACAAACTTCATGGGCCCTGTCATCAACAAGTTTGGCTTTGACAAGATCAAAGGATTCATCAACCACGCTGCGTCCGACGATGATTGCCAGATCTTGGCTGGTGGCAAGTGTGATGATTCTGTGGGTTACTTTATTGAGCCCACGATTATCGTGTCCAAGAACGCCATGGCCAAGACATTGGTCGAGGAAATCTTTGGCCCTGTCGTCACCATCTACGTCTATGACGATAACAAGTTTGAAGAGACATGCAAGCTCATTAAAGACACGACCCAGTATGGCTTGACCGGTGCTATCTTTGCAAAGGACCGTGAGTCGATCGTCAAGGGAAGCAACCTCTTGCGCAGCACCGCGGGTAACTTTTACATCAATGACAAGTGTACGGGTGCAGTGGTGGGTCAGCAGCCCTTTGGTGGTGGTCGTGGTTCGGGTACAAACGACAAGGCAGGCAGTTGGTCGTTGCTGGTGCGGTTCGTGTCAACACGTAGTATCAAGGAGAACTTTGTGCCTATCGATGACTTCATCTACCCATCCAACTTGATGTAATAGACTGGCCTTTGTGCATTAGTGTTCTTTTCTTTCTTTCCATCTACTACACATAACTTTAAACTTTTCCCCCTTTCCATGTCACGACTCTAAAAAACATATCTCAACCACATTTGAAAATAAAAAAGAGTGAATTGTGTCTTTCTCCAATCTCACTTGCGCTACTCTAACGTAAATAGAGTAAGGGTCGTCAGTCGATTACGTTCATTTGATATGAGTAGTATCAGTATCCAAGTACATGTCACATTGATTTTTATTCTGCTTGCTGTTACTATATATAATTAAGCTCGACAAGATGTCTAATACTACAGTACCACTGATTTCTCTTGTTTATGCTAAGCCTTTCCAAGTTTAAATTCAAGACACTGTATGTAGTATTAGTATGTACTACTTACTAGTTGATCTGCAAAACCATGAGAGGGTTTTTTCTTTTTCCATCGAAAAGAAGCATGACAGCACGAGATGACACTTGGTTTTCTTGATCGAGGAGAAACGAGGCCTAGCTAATAAAGGTAAAAATTAATCGACTGGCTTTTGATCTGGGATTGTTGCATGTTTATCATAATCGTTGTATTTTAGGGCGGCAAGAAAGAAGGGGGTGGGGGGAAAAGAAGAGCATGGTCGTTGTCGTTTTGTCAAGAGCAATGAAAAGAGAGTCAAGGAGCGCCGGCTGTCGTTGAAGAATAGTGACATGGTACCCTTATTACAGTCTGTATGATAGATTGGAATAGAATTTGTAGTGTCGCAGGGAGGCATAAAATATCCTTAATGTGCGGAGGGCATGGAACATGCGCGCACAAACACCTAACAAGTGACCTAGCTATTTTAACCCCACTAATTTTGGCACGCTTCCTTACTCCGTATTAGTTATTTTCGCTTTGACTTGCAGAGTTTACAGTGTCAATTACACTGGGCGTATGAATTGAGCAAGACATCATCACAAGCAAGCGGCCCAACTTAACTTGTAAGTATATAAAGTGACGAGGATCGTAAAGTGGCTATTCTCAAAGGAAAGCTGAGTTTGGCAAATGTACAGTGGAATGAGATGTGCAACCCACCTTGCAGGGCCCTGTCTTTCCATCCGTCGCTTCGAATCCAATAAAAGAGCCTTTATTTCTTTTGATACTAAATATGCAAAATGCAGAGAGAGAGAGAGAGAGAGTGGCAATTGATCCAGGTGTGTGTATTTTAGGCACAACAATCAAATAAGCATGTCAGAGGCTTCATTGGATGATCGCCGCTGTAAAAAGAAAAAAAGATGCCGCTCCCTCCTCGTGGGTCAGCGTTACACGATCATGCCTAAAAAGGCTCGAGGGCAGCACACTCGGCCGTCGAAATTAGTCTTGCAATTTACCCTCTGCTACCACACAAATCTATCGACAATGCTTTGTCTATCCCTTGTCCCTCTCCTTCTCTCTAGCCTCTCGCGCTCCTGGTAAAAACTCCACATCGCACAGCCAATATCAACTGAGCTCCTACACGCAGACATACTTTTCTCTATCTTCCCGTTCCTTTTCATTCACTTACCTCTTCCTTCTCTTTCCTTTCATTCATATTCACCCTTCTTTGGTCTAATAGTGTGGGATCCATTCGGTCGAATAATCATCTAATCGCACCAATACTACTATTATCCTTACCATTACTACTACTCTTTACACCGGTGGCAAATATATTATGCATTATTTGATCTACTAGCTGTCCGTCATTATACAATCATTTACACGATATATTACAATCTTCATTATATTCCAAAATCTATCCTATATATCCCTCGTTTACCTTGCTCCTTTCGATATTGAACGTATCACTCAACAACAACATCATCACCACAATACACACACGCCTCGTTTCAATTCGCCAAAATGTTCAAGAAACTTCACTTGAACTCGCCCGACAACATGACACCAACCTACAACAGTACCGCACCAACCTTCAACAACTCCACACCTAATTCCAGGTACAGTCTTTGAATTCCTACTGATTAGTTCGCTACCACCTCTATGGAGGGGGGTGCAATTCGAAAACGCGAAGATTTTCTAATGGCGACGATCCATCGTGTATTTGTATAGATTGGTGCCCGGTCCCGCGCCATTAGGAGCATCGACGTCTACTGGATACCATGTATGTATTGCTCATGAGTGACTAGTATAAAAAAACAACAGGGTTATTGACTATTTTGTGCGGACGTGAGATTAGGCTGTTTCTGGCGAGTACCAGAATCAATACAAGGAGAGGAATCAGGTAAAGCAATAAGAAGCCCCGGTGTTGTATGAGAGGAGTACTAAGTTTCGGGGGGGAGGGGGGGGGAGGGGTAGGATTGAGTGGGCTATGGTCTGCGGGGAGGTAAACTGAGGGAGGACAACAGAAATTAGGCAGTCCTAATTGCATTTAGCTCACAATAGAACCCATTTTCTTCCACACAGTCGTACAGAGAAAGTGACGCATCTGTCTACAGCACATATGACCTACGCGAATCACTCGTCGATCCATCGAATGAGCGCGTCGTGGGCATTTCTCGTGAAACTTATATCGGTAAGCACCTGCTAGAACAAAAAGTGTAGGCGGCTCCCATACTGATACTTTACAATATCAAACCTCTGCTCAATTTTTTAAGAACCACAAACATCGACATTGGTACACACTCAGGTGACTCCACAAAGCATCTATGGTGCACAATCATTGAACCCGCAGGATGCCTCAAGAGCATCTTTTGCATCATCCTTGAAACCATCCATGGCTCATATGAGCTTCTTTAACGACGAAAGCAGCGACTCACTGCATTCAGATATTCGCAACTTGCGACCTCCTTCGCCTGTCAAATCACGCTATCAACAAGCAGAATCGCCGGTGCGCATGCAGCATGCGTACGTTGACGTTCCTCTGCCTTCTGCTGCAATCATTGAACAGGTCTCGGCGGATAATACTGCAAGCGTATACGTCGACCGTTCTTCAAACGTCAGTGGATATTTCAGTAATGCTGCTCCTGCTACTGCAGCACCACGCGGTGGAGCGCCTGAATTCTTATCCACGTCTTATAACAACAACAGCAATGTCGATAGCTACTATAACAATGCCACCAGTGGCAACCCAACACATCAACAGCAACATTCATTGTCTTTATCCTCCTCCTCCTCTTCTTCCTCTACTCACACTTCACGTCAGCATCCGCAACCTTTGGCTCCGCTCGTCATTCCACCGACTCCATCACGCTCCACCACACAAACACAACAGCAGCAACAGCAGACTCCAGCACCACTGCATCACTACCAACAGCAGCCTAGTCCAATACAACAAAGTGCACCAGCTGTAGCAGCATACTACCAACCACAGCTGTATTCCAACACATCCAGATCACAAGAAGATGGCTTGCAGCAGCCACAACTTACACCAGGCACGCAAGGTGGCTCGTCACCTTACACCGTCTCGCCACGCACACCGTCTCCCAATACCTTACTCCCACCACAGCAACCGTACGCTAACAACTCATTATCGCCATCCTCAATATCGTCATCACCTACTTCGCCATTGCAACAGCCTCCCTTGTCCCCATGCATGCCACCGCCCACTGCTCATCCTGGCTTATCTCAAAAATTACAAAAGCAAATGCAACCTGCACAAGAGGAAGCTGGTCAACCACAATCGGAAGCAGAGGCATTGGTGGCTGAAGGTATTCGCTACCACGAAGCCAGCAACTTGGACAAGGCTACCGAATGCTTCCGCAAAGCTGCCAGTAAGGATTCACCTATTGGCATGTTTCTTTATGGCGTTTCACTGCGTCACGGCTGGGTACGATATATCTGCCTTTCTTTCTTGTCTTGTTCTATAGTCAATGCATTGAAAGGAGGAATGACTAACCTTTTGATTTTGACAGGGATGCAAACGCAACGAGAGCACAGCATTTCAATATTTACAAAAGGCAGCCGAGCACGCTGTCATGGACTTGAACAGTCTATCAAGCACGGTCATTACATCAGCAGCCAAAGGTGAGCTGATCATGGCTATTTACGAGCTTGGTGTTTCGTATATCCAGGGCTGGGGCTGCCGTAAAAACAAGGAAACGGCCGTCTACTTTTTCAAGTTGGCAGCTGATCTTGGCGACCCGGATGCTCAAAACGATCTGGCACGATGTTACTCTACTGGCAAGGGCGTAAAGAAGGACATGAAATTGGCTGCCAAGTATTATCGCTTGGCTGATAAACAAGGTTGCGGTATCATGGGCAATTCTTGGATTTACAAGTCAAAGTATGATTAAACACGCTTACTCGTAGAAAAGGTTGAATGTATAATATAAAGATATCCCACACACACACACACACTTCTTCATCCTTCTTTCGCATATCCCTCCTCGTTCCATAAATTGAACAATGAAACTCAAAGCAAAAGAGTGTGCTTTTTCGCCCCGCATTCATCTAGCTTTCATCGGCATTCACCAGTGTTCGTGTAACAGCTACATAATATATAGCAAGTACGTTGAAAAGCAACCCGCATCTAGCTTAGTCTTTTGAGCTGTTAATTTTCCGGCTACAGTAATACTGATTGTTGCAAAGCTAGAAACGTGAGTTTAGAATACCGTTGCCATAAGGATCGATCTGTTACCATGCGAAAAACACGAGAGTGATTGTTCGGGATGCCGCAGCGAAAATACGTTTATTATCACTCTACAAAACAACGACTTAGTATGACTAACAGTTTATCCGGGACTGGTGGTATCATCATGAATAAGAGAAACAAGGGCCCCGTGTTGTTGAGGGCACAAACAATAATTTGACTGGTGACCGATATCATCGGTCTTGAACGCTACTTTAGCAACTCAATGCGGAATAGGGGTTAATAGAAGGGATTTTGTGTATATAACATGACATCAACAAAACCATTGAAAGCACAAGAGATGTGGAGCTCTAAACATTTATTTATTTATTTATTTTCCGAATGGTATGTTTTGTTCTTGTGTTGCCGTGATGGTCTTCTAATGTGTCGTCTGGTTCGATGTGTGTTTTCCATAATTATGATAGATTGCCGGCAAGCGACCTGGTTTTGAAAGAGTTGTCTTTTGGGGTGTGATGAGAGTACACGTAGTTAATCATATCATTCTCATGGTGCATGGTATGATTAGCACACTTTTCATCATGTCATATTCATCGTATTACTGTTGTAAAACTGTTGTAGATCCAAATCATGGGGCCAAGAGCATAAAAAACACAGCGATAGAGAAGAGTTACTACACATCGATGAGTTGTACACATAATAACTACATAGTACAACCAAACCACTTGGCTATCCTGAATGACCAGTACTTTAGCTTATCAACATTCAGTCATGATATGCGGTTTCTCTTCGACATTGTGGATTGGGGTTTTACTAAACTGCATCTTACGGTCGGCAAAAAGAATGAAGAATTAAAGAAGTTCATATGACATTGTGGGTGTGTATAAATAGGGGGACGGGACCTGTATCAGGTTGCCAAATATTACAACATTGGGTGATGTGATTATTTGAAAACAAGGTTACGCTGAGGAGATCATGGGTATGGATGGTACAATACATGGTAATGTTGTAGTAACTTGCACAAATGGTTATTTTTGGTATACTATCGCTAGCTGGCTGCTGATAGATGGGAAAGAAATCTATCCGGACTGCTACGACTATGTATCATGACAGGATGATGAGTTGGTATGGGTGGGTAGTGGTATCGTATAATACTTGTTTGTTTTGTTGTTCTCTTCTCACACTTGTAGTAGTCCCATTTATTTCTATTTGTTGTTGAGTGTTGTAATATACAGCCTCCTCTCTTGATAACATTATCCCCATGACCAAGTGATTCCATTTTGGGTTCTCTCTCTCTCTCTCTATTTCCAATCATGTGGGTGTCGCATTGTCGGAAGCAAAAGTGGCGTCGGAATAGCTAAATTCGTCCATTTTCTTACGGGTACCTGTATACAAAGACACGATGCGGGGAGCTTCCCAAGCCAGCTGTTTTTAGTTTGAATGTCATCATCATATTTTTATTGTCATTTGTGGTTAAGTATCTCGGGGTTAAAACGCGTGGCACGGAGATAGGTAATTCTATATCGTGCAATAATGGACGTATGTACATAGGAAAACAGGAAGCAGGGCTTTTTTGCACATATATATATATGAAAAGAAGATATGGAATGTAATAGAACGAAAGAAAGAAAAGACGGGGGATATGTACATGCACAGTGGCAGAGTGTTTGTGCAACACCACCGCAAGAAAGCGGAGCAAAAATCATCAAAACTGTAGAAATGTCAAAGTGTGCTAGGGTATATGGGTGTAATGAAGCGAGTAGATGGCGATGCTGTTGCTGTGATAATGACGGATGATAGAAATGTATACGCGGTGTGTGTAGGATGGTGGAATATGTATAGTAGTATGTGGGTTCCTCCGCAAGGAGTGTAGGCGTGTCCCCTAGTTCTTGGCCAGCAACTCTTTCATCGCGAGTATCGACACCAGAACTCATGGCTATATTGAACATAACGAAGAAGCGACGATGAGTTTACATGCCCCCAAGACAGAACATGGAAGGTGTTGTTACCTGAAGCGAGTTATGTCGACTCCACACTGGGGGCAAAAGCCAGAAGAGTGTTGGTCAACGAGGGATTTGAAACCATGGTTGTGTTCTTTTTTGTTGACAACGCCAGACTTGTTCATGTTGTCGTTGTTGTTCAATTGCGGGTCCATGGCTGTTGTTGTTGATCAATGAAGATAAAGTAAACGAGTCAGAGAGAAAGATGGGGCGAAAAGACGAGGTGAACAATGAGAGGGTGCCCTTTATATAATTGAATTTTCCCCGTCTTTTCTATAAAGGGTAAATTGCCCATCCACCAAATTCGATCAGCTTCCAACAATACGGCCCCATCTGCTCGATTTGGTTTGGACCGGTTAAACTCCCCCCCCCGCCTTCTGAACTGGGCCAAGAGAAAAGCCCTTGTCTTTTCGCCAAGCAATTGTCACATTGTTTTTTAGCACGCATGAATGCATGGAAGCGTCAGTATATAGTAGTATACCGCCCAGTATTATATAAGTTCGCGTCATAATGATCACCCCACAGCACTACTTTCTAGAGTCGGTACATAGTGATTACATTGTTATAATTATTATTATTATTATTGATTTTATTAATCCTTGCGGCGTTTTCCGGTAACGCGTTCCTGACGTAATTCGGTGACCTCATATTGTACGTGTTCAAGAGCAGCCTCATTCTCGACAAGCTGGTGCCCATTGGCCCAGGGTCCATGATTACCCAAATAACTGTACGGATCGTATAATGGATGATGCTGCTGCTGCTGTTGTTGCTTACGAGACGCGCCTCGTCCACGGTCAAGCCGTAATTTGCGTGTGATGCGGTTGTCACGAGCCCACCGGTGAAATCGCAACAAGTGTTGACGGCATCGGTCACCGAAAGCGACGTAAACGGGTTTACTGTCATAAATTACGATTATTATTATTATGATCGTTTGCATACGATATTTTAGCATTGATGAATCGGAAGCGGCCGATGTGATGATGCTCTCCGGGTCTTACCGTTTGGCTGCTGCGTGTGCAACTGCGTAATCGAGATCGGCTGTGACCACCACGCGAGATGCTTTGTCAATGATGCTTTGGTATATTTGCGCTCTTGTCAGGCTCGTTTCAGTATCAGCCATGGCATCCCAAATGGCAATAGAATCTGCCTGATGACTGCACATTTGCTTTATTGTTGTTTTGACCTAATTTGTAACGATTTCAGTATTTGTTATTGGCGCAATTGTTACCACTGTCTATCTGCTATTTTCTTGTCCTTCCATGGGCTTCTTTTTTAGTATAAAAAATGATTTACCTCCGCAGTCGTTTTTTCTGTGAATACAACGACGATCTTTGCATGGAGTTTTTTGACCATACGCTATATGGAATAGCAAGGGCTCGTAAGCGCATGAAAGTTCTAGAACTGCTATTGTTCTTTTTCTATTGGATTCTATGCAAATCATATTTTTCTCTGTGTTACCTGCATGTTATCAGCCAAGGAGCTAGCATCTTCCGAGTACCATCGGCATTGAGGCGTATAGCCACCGATGATCACGGCTACCATATTGTGCGATGACGTCGTAGCACCATTACCACCAGCAAGAAATGATGCAGGTAGAATGGGTTGTAAATAGCGCTCATGGCCGTTTTCGAGATCTAATAATGGAACCTAGTATAAACACACATGCATGATTCTTTGAGTATTTATCCTTTTTCGACTCAAATGTGTGCTGTATAGGTTACCTGTGTGGCTATGCTATTCTTTTGTTTCGAGTAAAAAGGACCGAGTTTGGCTGGTTTAGAACACAAGGTTAGTGTATATCATGCCAACGTCGTGAACATAGAATACAACCGAGATAGAGAGATAGCGTACCGAGCTTTGCATCCATTTCATATTTTGGAAGAACAACCTGGTCAAAGTATAGAAATGGTATGTTTGGGTATCCAACGTACACTACACATAAACATTTGTTGTGTCAGAACCCTCAGTCCCCCATCACCGTCATCATCACCACGATACGTTTGTTTGTTTGCACTCTCTTTCACACCAAAAAGATCTATTCTGCTTTACCTGAATACGTAGTAGGGTTGTTCTTGGATACGCTTAAACATGCAGGTACAGCATCGGGTGCACTGCAAATGACGAAATCCGGCTTTGAATCTCCCCATTCTCCTTCCTTCAGAGTCAAATACCAAGGTGCTTTGCGATTATCTGTGATGTTGATATTGAGGAAATATTGGTAAAAATGCCCCCACTTTGATAGCTAGAATATCCAACAACAACAACAACAACAACAGCACTTGCCTTGTCTTCGTTGTAAAAACCAATCCACCAAATACTTTTGAACAATCGGTGGGAAAACCTGTAGTCCTATTATAGTCACCCTTCGTATCTGAGTATGTCACATCTCCCTTGGTAACTGGACGAACGTGATTTTTTTATTACCTTTGTTGACAGCTACAGTTTTAAGTTCGACATGACCTAATCGTTTACCGAGTGCCATGCCGGACAATGTCGACTGAATGCCACCGTCGGTCAAGACCCATACCGGACGATCGTTCACTGCTTTTGCTGCTGTGGTTGCAAATAAACGTATGCGATGGGTTAGCAAGGTGGATCGACGTGGACGAAGTATGCTGCTGATTCGTGCGTTGGCGATCATATTGTTGACAACCGCAAAAAAATGTGTTTGTTTTACGACTTCAAAATCCGAAGGCGCTACAATAAGCAAGCTGCCCTGAAATAGGCTGACTTTAAGCTTCTGCTACATGAACGTACAGAGTTGATTCGCATGGAATAATCTGACAGTAAGATGGATACATCGGCTTCACTCCACATCACCTATGTATTGGCTGTGCAATCTTTTATAATGCTATTTGAATCAGGACACTGCTGGGGGTGGCAGTCGTCGTTTTACGCCCGGAAAGGGATGGATGTGTAGACGCGCTCCAATAGGATAGCTGGCCCTTTTGAAGGATGATAAAGTAAATCCAGTGTGGTAGTATCATCTCATTAGATCCCTGTTCACAAGGCACGGTGAAACTTGGTTTCGAGGGAAACAATCATGCGATAACAGCTCATACTATTTGTGAGCCTGCTTCCACGTGTCCAAGATTTTTGATTGGTGGGATGCGCATATACTACGTATGTCGCAGTGAAATAAAAAAAAGCAGGCCAAGCACGTCGGCCGAGCCAAGCATTTCTTTCTTCTTTCCCTTTCCAACTTACCCGCACACTTGGTTGAAAGAAAAATGACCATTTACTATACGCTCACTTTTGGAATCTTGGTCACTGAGGTATGTTTGACTTGCTTGACCACTCGCTTTCCCTCTTCTCAACTAACACTAACCGAGATTTCAAAACTATGTTAGATGATCATTTTCTGTATTCTGGTGGTATGCTTTTTTTTCTATTATTCCACGCGTTCCTTTTTTGTTGGGACCTGTAGCTGGCATTGCGAAAAGAAAAGTGATTTAACTCACAGACACTACGTGAATTCTTACCGTTTGTAGCTTCCACTCCCCTCACATTGGCGTCGAGCCATGCTCAAGTTTGCCTCGACTTCTCCTGCTGTAAGTTTACATTCTTCTCCAAATTGTGCTTTTCCTTTCGTTTAAATGTTTACGTGTATATTATTGTACATAGGTCGGCAAAGCTCTCCACGTTCTCAAAATTATCTTTGCGTAAGTTTATAGTTTATGCAGTTTTTGTCCATAGTGAGCTGTTTACTTGTTAGAGTACTCACAGTGAAATCATATGGTTCTATAGATTCATTTTTGTTTTGTTCATTGGTATGGGAAAAAAAAGAGGTTCTTTTTTCTGCGTTAATCGCAACCGATGATGATGGCAAGGTGGAAGTATGACGTTGGAGCTTAACTGATATGCAAATTACTTTTTATGTGTGGGTGCTGCAGATACCATCAACCGACTGCAGCGCATTGATTCTTCGGAAGGTGAAGGAGGAGAACAACGCCAGCACTACGACTACAGCTACGAAGCAAACAACAAGGCCAAAAAGTTTTACGCTCAACGCAACTTGTATCTCACTGGTTTCACGCTCTTCCTGTCATTGTAAGTGTGTAACAAGGAAGGGGAGGATCTGAAACTTGTCATTTTTTCTCGGATACTAAAGGTTCGACCATAGAATCCTTGAACGCACCAGTACTTTGGTATTCCAAGTCCTGAAGCGTGAGGAAGAACTCGAGAATTTGAAGAAGGAGGTAATGGCATGGGAAAAAAAGGCAAACTTAACTAGTGTTTATACACGTTTTGAACGAACAATGTAAACTGAGATTATCGTCATAGACCCAATCGACCACGCAGGGTCACCAAGAATTCATTGACAAGGAAGACATGTACAAGAAGGAGATTACTTCGCTCAACACTGACTTAAAACAACTCAAGCAGCAGGAACGTGACTTTGAGACGCTCAAGAAGCAGGTGGCACAGCAAGCCGTCGAATACAATCGGTTGGCTGATGAACGCAATGCATTGGAGCGTGCTGCGACTGGCGAGAAGAATGAAGTCAAGAAGGATATCTAAAGGAGTGTCATCAATCAACCACCACCACCACCACATCATTTATTGCAAACCACAAGATAAAATATATCCCCCAAAAACACACACTTATCTGCTTATTTACCTGTCAAACAATCAGCAAAGAGTATTAAAAAAACAAATTGTTCTTTTCTTTATACATAAGAAAATTCAAAAAAGAAGAAAAGCAAGTGTACACATGAAAGGGTTGGAGAATGCAAGTTCGATAATAAAAGATGATGAAATGGTGGGAATATTGGGTTAAAAGACACAACATATTAGGCGACAGTGACGGTATTCCCCACTTCAAACGTTTCGCCACCGTCTTCGTCTGCAAATTCGTCTGGATCGTAAATCACTCGAATAATAAGGGAGCAAGAAGGACAACGAGCTACATCTTCACCGTCCTTTAAATCATCCTAATTGTTACAATCAATTAGAATACAATTGTTGTTTGTTGAGCTGTCATATAATGTAGCCTTACGATGCTGATCTCGAACTTGTCTCCGCATGGGCATGGGTAAGTATAGATCTGCTCGTCCTCGTCGAACTCCATGTCTTCAATCTCGATCTAAATTACATGCATCGTTAGTGGTCGATCCAATTGAGTGTCATAAATTTGGTTTCCCAACAAAACAATGCATACCTCATCATAGAAGGACGTCATGTCGAACAACGAGTAGCAAGGTAGAAACTGAGACAGAAAAAGAGCGAAAGAGAAAGGTAAAAGAAGGGCCCTTCCTGATTCAGAATATTAAAAAAAATTCAGATGTTTCTCATGTGGTTACAAAAAATGCCAGTGTACAATTGATTATACGGCTCAAGACTACTAGGTCTTTCTTTTAATATCGAGCTCATGTACAGGACAAAATGGTCTATGGTAATTGATAAAGGCTTGTGTGTCGAGAAATGCAATGTCTATATGTATGGTCTATAATCTAGCATCAATGCGGTATTTTCCATGCGTTGAGGTATAACATAAACGGTTGTCTTCCTTGTTGTAAACTCGAGTAAATACGCTGCCCACACTCTTGCCAACGTGTTGAACTTCACATTCGATTCGTGCAACTTGTCCTGGAGACATCCCGTTCAAATATGCTACAGATAACCCAGTCGAGACTCCTACGAATTGCCATTTATGTTTGCCTACATTATGTATGCCGTTAGCATGCTACTCGCAGTAGCCAAGGTACTAATTTCACCATTGTTATTGCTAAATTGTGCTTAATACCTTGATTTGTCAAGATTGCAAAACTACTGCATACATCAATCACCGTCGCTACACATCCACCATGAAAATTACCGATCCTAACAGCGCATATGTTCACACAACAGTGTGTTCAGTATTTTAACTTTCAAGTACAATAATGTAATATTGTTAGTATGCTACATACAGGTTGCAGTGCTTTTCCGCGATCTCGAACTCCCATGTAACTTTATTTGGCTCAGCTCCTACGAGCGTCAGTTCGTTTTGCACTTGTTCCTGCCAAAGTTTGTTCTTTCGGCCGCGTTCCTCGTATTTCAATGCACTTTCGTAGAGGTCTGGAAAGCTCTTGGCAATTTCTGGATTGATTTTCATCGTTTTTTTTAGTGTCGCTAAAAGGGCTGTAATAGGCTGATGGAAGGGGCGGCAAAAGGTTGACTTGTTAAACGATTGGAAGGAGAGAAAGAGAAGACAGCTAATTTTCTATAAGAAGATGGGACACACGAAAGAAAAGAAGTCTAAAATCTCTGATGACAAAACTATTTTCCACGCATACACTTTGTGTGACCTGGAAAAAGGGGCGAGCGGTTGGTTGATATATATTTCTGTCAGCAAAAGCAGTTGGGTCAATATACTACTACATTTACACCATTTAAACAACGTAGATCCATTGGCAAACTCCACCTTTTTCCAACCATAGTTTTCCCAACCGAGATTTTCTGTTGTGTTTACTCCTTTTATAGAGAAAAAAAAAGAAAAAGCGATTCTAGTAATATTAAAAGCGAAAAGAAAGGTGGACGATTTACAATCTCGAATCAATGGAGTACTTGGTATGTGATCCAGAGTAACAGAGCTTGCCCTGGTCATTGTAGACCTTGGTATATATGTTGGCCAACGATTTACCCACTCGTTGGACCTCGCATTCAAGACGGGCAGTTTGACCGGCAGCGATACCGCTCATATAGGATACCGCCAAGTCGGTCGATACGCCAATGAGTTTCCAGCCGCCTTTGCCTATGTTTAGCCGATGTAATACGCGTTCGTGAGTTATCACGATGAAATAGTTTTGAGTAAAGAATATAGTACCTTCATATGTCAGGATGGCGAAGCTGCTGCAAATGTCAATGATCGTTGCTACGCATCCACCGTGGATGTTACCTAGCCTACACGGATAGTACACATTAAGAGTGTCAGCGATAAAAATGCGCGCCTATGTATACCGCGAAGGGAAGCGGTTCACAGCATATAAAATTATACGTACTGGTTACAGTGCTTTTCAGTAACGTTAAAATTCCAGATCAATTTATTCGGCAAAGCTTCGACGATCTCCAACTCGGCATGGACCTTATCCTCCCAGAACACCGTTTTTTCCATCCTTCTTGAATACCATTGTACCATCTCTTCCAGGGCAGGGTACTTTTGAGCAGCTTCGGTACTGATCTTCATTTTCTGTTACTTGTATGCGGGTAAAAAATTGAATAAAAGAAGACCGAACTATCTAGTCTGTGGTATTTTGTCAAAAAAAAAAGAAAGAGAGTGATACGAGGAAAAGGAACAATTCGAATGACAAAGTCAGTTTCGCACATGAAATCCTATTGTGAACCCCACACAAACCATTTACACCGCCGCCCTAAATAACCTAATTCAAAAAAACAGCCTATTATATTTATAGCCCGCAAGCATGATTATGGTCAACCGCCATTGCTCCTGCTAGTTGGACATGCTAATGTTGTTTTTATATATGCCTATATATTACGTTTGTAACGCTAACAGCATCCAGCTCATATAAAAATAAAAAACAATCAACGATATAAAGTTTCAGGTCAACAATCTTGAAGTTTGCTCTCCATCATTCCACTAGCGACAGTGGACCCAGAACAGCAAAGATGTTTGTTCTTTGCATCATGTGATTTTGTGCCAACAAATGCTGTCGTCCTTCCCAATTTTCTGAAGCTCGCATTCGATCCTTGCAGTTTCCCGATACCAATTCCATCAATACAGCTCAAAAAGATGTATGTTTGTAGCCCAGGTACTTTCGATGGATCTTCACCTAACAAATACACCATTTTTGGCGTGACAATTCGGTTATTGGCGCTACTGTAATAACGCTGGTATGTATACGTTAGGGTAATACGGCTCAACCATTTATTTTCAAAGTAGTATCTTGGTATCAGAAGATGCATTCTGCGACCTAGATTACATATAACATGTCCCTGGTGTTATGCCACGTGCAAGCGCGCCACAACAACTGATCAGTGCTGCCACAAAACCGCTCGGTAACTTCTCTGTACAAGTATTATATATTAGCTTTTTGAACAGAAAATAAACTACTGTCAGTGATAATAAGAACTAGATAATTGTACTTAAAAGTTATGTACAGTGTCTTTGTTGAATATTGCACTCAAAAATGATCTTGTGTTTTCCCGGAACAAACCCCACAAATTTCAGGTCATCAGCAATATTTTCCTCCCTTAGGATCTCTCCATGTTTTGGTATCTTGCATCTGAATTCTTTGACGTATTTACTAAGTGTTGAGTACCTATCGGCAACTACCAGCGGTAATTTCATTATTTATCAAAGAATAATGTAGTTTTTGAATAATTTCTGACGGGTTTTTATATCCTCCGTACGATTATGTGCGAATACAGTGTCTCATTTTAAAAGGGTAGAAACGAAAAGGGATATTCTAGTCATAGGTTTCTACTAGGATACATACGTTCGAAGGCTACCAAGCTTAACGCAGACTGCAGTCAAGTACCAAGCCCGCTTACCGCTTTTCCCTGCGATCCAAACAGAAGAAAAGGATATGGATGGTGTTCTCTTTTGGACGTTGCCTTGACTTGATAGTGCGTATAGATACTTTGGAAACTCAGGATGACTATAACTGTTATAACTCGAACAGATTACTAGTATTACTTTCAAGTAAAAAAGCAGTAAATTTGCTCCAAAAGACCATGAGTATACATATAATATCGGGGACCACTGTATTAGGCTCCAACTGATGATGCTGTTGGACTCACCAATACTTTGACAACTCTATATGATACGCATGATTACATTATTTTCTCAAACTGTTTTGTTAGAAGAGTCATACACAAAGCCTCTCTTTTCGTATGATAGCAAAGCACACACTCTTATTTTATCTCAACATTCATGCAATGGTGCTTTCCGTAGCAGTGGTATCATACCGACTTTTGAATCAAAGGTGTATATAAATATAGAACTCAAAATATAGCATGTTACTGACTGATCAAGGAATAAACCCGATGTACTGCTGTAAGTGGCTTTTTGCTATTGTTGCTAAGCTAACAGAAAACATGTACACAAAATGTATGATATGCATATAAAAAAGGTCTCAAAAACATTATTTAAACAGCTGCTCTTAATCTTCTTTCCATTCACGTTTCTATACAATCATCTACGATCACAAAGAATGCTCAAAAGAAACATGGCGAAGTTCGTATCGATCTTACTACTTGCTACGTACATCTTCTGCTTAAATGCGATCGGTGCACTGGCAACACTGTTTTTATCGCCAACCCAATATGAACAATGGGAAACAGGTCAGTAAATAAATTCAATATCATTCTACCCAATTGACGGTTAGCGTAAATAGCACACATTCACACTCTGTATTCTTTTGTTTTATTGACAACAATAGGGAGTAAGGTCCGCATTCATCTTAAAGGTGGAAGCGCCTCTTCTGCAGATCTTCAACTCGTCGATACAGGAGGTTTCTTTGTCAAAAACCTCGGGTTCCTCGCAAAAGATTTTGAATACAAGGATGAACAAGTTTTCGAGTTTGTTGTTTGGGACGAGCTTCCTTCAGGAAATACCTACCAGTTGGCATTTCATCCAAAACTTGACAGCGGCAAGGCAACAACGGCGTTCTCTCAGCCATTTAGCATTGTCAATAAGAATGACAAAATGAAGATGCTCAACAGCGGAAAATGGATGAAGGATACTTTTTCGTCGCTAGTACTGGTAGTGAAGCCATGAAATATAAAAATAACTAACGTAATACACGAATGTTTCCTTACAATTTTTGTGTTTTTACATATACATTTACTTTTGGTTTGTTGGAAACAGGCGTTTATTTGTATTGATCTATTAATATTTACTACAATGAGCATATGTAAACATTGAGTCTGCTAAATAAAGATAAAGGTTTATACTAAAAGGGGCTAGGATGCATAAAGTAAGTTATGTAGCGTTTAATGCAAATCCTTCGTAAGTTTACTCTTCAGTTACGCATCCTTGTTTTTTATCCAGTAGTTTGGGGGCGCAGCAAGGTCCAATTATTTTTAGTGTTGCAGTAGCAGTTCGAAACGCACTTCACTGTTGTTCTTATAGCAAAAGTACTATCCTTGACCAAGAGCACCTAACTACCATAATCCTGCATCGTTTCTGTTGTCGTTTCATATGATACGAGATAAAAAGACTGGAACCGTATGCTGCAAGGCTTAGATTTTCTATGGGCGTTTCCTGCATACGTGGACTGAGCGATATATAAGAGAGTCTAGTATACTTGATATTCGGCAGATCCAGGCCTTCTTCACCTTCATATCAGAACACCCAGCTATTCTTCCCTTTTCTTTTGAAAATTTGCGAATCACTGATAACGCAATATACTTTAATCATGACACGTAGTGAGATAAAATAAGGAAATAGGGGAGGGGGAGGGAAAAGATAATATAATGCTATACTCTATAGATAAATTCCGAGGAAAGGGATATATGGCGCGCGTGCTTAACGAGAACTGCTCATGTTATACTCGTGCGGGATATCGTCGTTGTGTTCGAGTGTCTTGGCCATGAAACCCATAAATCGCTCACCATACTCTAATGGCTTAACAGCAGAAATGGCGTGTTTGTCTTGCGTCATAGATTTGAAGAAATGTTCAGATTTCTTCTTGGAATCATAGGGTGTCAGAATATCAATAATGCCCATATAGTACAGGGCATTTGTAGGGTTATCGTTTTCGTTGGTCGATTGGAAACCACCTTCATCAGAGTAGAAGGCACAGTTACGGCGTCTATCACATTATATATAATTGATGTTAGAGTCTTTTTCGAGCTCCTTCTGACCCTTAAGCGTGTGCTATATTTGTTAGCTAAGAAAGTACTAAACATACTCATGGAACGGATCTTCAGGAAGTTCCGAGGAGTCAAGACGTTCAGGATTTGTTTGTGCGATGGCCTTGCGGACAACTTGGGCTTTTGTCTGGCGTCGCTTCAACATCGAGGCACGACGTTCTGCACGTTTGGTATCAGGCTAGATGAAAGCATCATATTCAATAAGCTTTCAATCCCGCATGATGTTTGATAACTATAACTAATAACATTTATATAATCATACCTGGAAGAGCTGCAGGGTCGAGTCACGGATATTCTCCTTGTTGCCACGAACCATGTTATGGATACCAATGAGCAAGCTGTAGTCCATGATGTTCAGACGCACCAACAGCTAAAAGTGATTATACCAGGTCAGCTGTCCATTGTTTGTTTTAACGTGTCGTCATATATACACTTTAAGTTTTTCTTTTACCTTTACATCGCGCATAAGTTGGCTGATAAATAGCTTGCGCTTCTGAGGACCCAGCTGCAATTTTTGCTTGTTCTTTTCAAAATTCAAATCCTTCATTACTGCATTCTTGGACTTTTTAATCTCTGCTTCCGGAAGCAAACGACCAATAATTGAGCCCTGTATTACATAATCAAGGGAAGGTATAAGATTTTTCGTTGCTGTTGCGGTTGCGGTTGTTGTCACGGATAGAAATTGTATATTGATTTTTCTTACCTTGAGGTCATACGTCTCGTGAATATCCTAAAATAACCGGTTTAATTAGCAGTTGGTTTCCAAAAATAAATACTAACTAAAGAGAACATCCAAGTGACAGAGAGAGAGAGAGAGAGAGAGATGGCTGGAAGTCACATACCTTATTCGGTGGAAACACGTTGCCCATGACGACAAAATGGATTTTGCGGCCTCGGGGTTGCTTGACACGATGTAAACCATAGTACCGGCAAAGGAGTGTATCGGGATAGTTCAAGACGTGCTGTGGTTTTTTTTTGTGCGAGTGTTAATGTACGCCGCATGTCACAAGACCACATAAGCCCTTTTCTCTCTTATTCCACTCCCCCCCCACCCCGGCCCAGAAATAATCCGTACGGAATGGTAATCTTTTAAGATCTTGCGCAGATATTTGTGCTCAGCATGGTGAATGGTCTTGATAATGAAACGATAGTCGCGTGAGTAGTAGAAGAAGCTACCACTTTTACCCGGAGATCCAAGCTCAGAAAGAATGTATTTGCTCGTCAGCGATACCTATATACGATGGTTGTTTTCGTTCCATGTTAGCTTTAAGATTTTGCTGCTGCTTTTGTTGTTGTTGTCGGCTGCATGATCATACCAAGTAGTCAGCTGGATCAATTCCAAATTGTTCACGTAACTGACGGAAAGCCCATGGTGCATAATCTTTAAATTTGAAATCGTACTTGGCGCCCGGCGTCAATTCATCACCGTTGCTGTACATAGAAAACATAGACCATATGAGAAATGAATACATCGCTTCTTTTTTTAAAAAAAAATAAACTCACACGTTGAAAACGAGTTTGTGTGCAGCAGTGAAATCTTCGTCTGTCAAGACACGGTTGCGCTTGGCACAGACACGACCGACGGCAATACGGATACCGGTCAACATGTTATACATCAACACATAGTTCTTGTGGTGTTTGTCTACCCGGGTGCCCACAACGACCCGGTCCTCGTCTTTCTCGTCTTCCTGTCGCCGTGAAAGTCGCTTGAATGCTCGACGCCGTGCCGAGAGTTCTTTAGCAAACTCTTCAGATATAGTTACTTCTTGCTGTGCCTTTTTCTGCTTCCTGCCCGCATGACCAGTGGTATGGTGGCGACCAAGCGAACGGCTGCTTCCAGAAGCAACGATACCACTCTCGTTAATACTGTTGTTGATTGATTGTTGTGTAGAGTGTCGTTTCAGGTGGTGAACACGAGCGTCATCATCAGGTGCAGGATCATCCAGTTCAACTTGGTCGTCGTCAAGCGAAAATTGAGAATCTTGCTTTGCATTACGCAGCTTGACTGATGATGGTACGACGGATGTTGTAAATGAGCGTTTGGAAGACAACACAGACGAGGCTGAATGCAGGATGGGGGCAGTAGCGGTAGCAATGGCAGGTCGGTGGTTCATTATGGGTATAGGCGTAGCGGGTGGTGATAGATCGACGGGCGATTGCGTCCCGTCTTCTTGAAACACTCGCAAGCTCTCGGCTGATCCCGGGGGGTCAACAAGAGGGCCTGCTCGATATAAAGACTGTGGCGTGTTGGCGGCAACCGCTGGTTGTGCGAATGAAGCAGGGTATGCTTGGCGGTCAGACGGGAGAATATCTTTTTTAGTGAGATGAGGGTGGTGGTGGTTATTGCTGTTACTGAAAAATTCGGATTGTGGTGGTTCTTGTTCAAATCTAGGGGAATGAGCTGCGGTAGTCATCGACAAAGCTATCAGTGTTTAAAAAAGGAGGGCTGAAGAAAAAGAGAGAAAGGGGGAGAAGAGTACGAAACCTATTTTGGTTTTGTTGCAAGTGATAGTTTCTTGCGTAACACAATGTTACCAAATGGAGTCGCGTTGTGGAGCAACAATAAATGCCCATCGTTACTCTATCATACAAAAATGGCTTTGAAGCTACTGATGTTTGTTAATATATGGCGTCTCCCTTTTTTATCACATTGGGCAGTTGAGATGTGGCATGAACGGTAAGAGATCCAAGCTTGATACCATGTCTTATCAGCGATGTAAAGGTACGAAGAACACTAATTTACAGCGCAGAATTCGCGTGTCAATATGGAAGTGGTGTGAAGCTCGGAGAGACAACCAATTTAATGCAACAATGACATTCACAGTAATCTGTCACAAAAACTGAAAACGCGTCATACGGTTAACCAGGCCAGGTTCAAGAGTTTGACTGCATAAATCTCAATTTTGCAGAAATCGTAGAGATTGCATAGTATGAAATATCGCAAAAGATTAGGGGCCAGTGGATGTCAAAATTTATCAAGAGCTTTACAGGATGTGCACACATTCAGTAATAGTTTATGTATCGCTAAGGTGATAACTGATCTCTTCAGCTACTACTATTTATTATATTTACAAGGCTTTTCTTTTTAGAGATGACGATTGCTTCATACATACTGCATAGGCACTGATGCTGTATTAAGTTATTTACAAGGGAGAGTGATACTTGTACAGGGTATTTTAGTTGCGTTGCTTTTTGTTAGAATGAGAGAGGCCCTTTCGTGGATGAGGGAGGAATTCGAATGGAGGCACTGAATCTCGTATCGTCAACCAGTGCTATGAATTCGCTTGAGCGTTCCATCAACGATTATTTTTCCTTGGATCGCGAGCTCGATGAGCGGAACAATTCGCGAAGTGTAGTCAGTGCTGCACGTTGGATACTGCAATTTTTTGATCCGTCGGATACGGGTTACATATCCTTGTGGAACATCGACATCGAGTAGGGTAACAGCGTTTCCTATTGGATTGAGGCATCAAAAACATGTTTGTGGATCTATCATCAACCTTTGAGAATACTTTGCAGTTGCATCATACCTTTAATGTTGTAAGCTAGTACATGAGCATGGTGTAAGATCAACGGCATTGGAGTCACAATTGATGCAAGCATGTCTTTCAAAACAATCGGAAGCTTCAGCATGCTAGTTTTCAATTCATTTGTATCGTCGTTATCTTTTCCGATTTCCGCCCCCCTTCCAGCTCTACGTTGCTGCTCGTGTATATGGTGTCGATCCGATGGCCCATATTTTACTTTTGTGACGCATCGATGGCTGCAAGTTTTCTTTTGTTATTCCTTGCCTAGGCGTTCGCGATGCTACTTTTCTCTTTTCTGTCTACACTGTCGCTAAAGCGTAAAAGATGTATACACTTAGCATTACTTCCTTTTAATCGATGCAATCTTTCGCTTACGTGGACATGAATGATGCCCTGGATGCAGTGTTGGAGCTGGATACGCCCGATGTTTACTGGACGACATATCCATACTGGACCTACTCATATACTTAAGAACCACTTTTGCAACGAATCAAAAATCCGTTAACAGACCGCCATTTGTACATACTTATAAGGTGTACTTGTGTTCGACCAAAGTACAAACCACAATCCTTTTTCTGAAATATCATTGCGTGCCAACAAATTGAACATGACAAACCAAGTAGTTGACCAAAAGCAATATTTTAACAATCGAATGACTCATCGTATGCCTGATGGATACTACATAGACGACAATGGCAACAAGCTTTATCAATCTATGTATAAAGTTATCAATGGAAAGATCTGTCTGAAAATTATAAAAGAGGTAGGTTGGAACATCAACAAAATCAATGTGACCAAATTATTAAGTCTCATTCTGATACGCACGATGCATATTTTAAAAGGTTCTTGAAGAACGTGGACTTTGGCAGGAAGGGTTACGAGTCAAGGAAGCACAGAAACTACTCGGATCTCAGCCTGATTTTTCCTCTACGAGAAGCGCAATCGAAGACGTACATAGTTATCAAGGCTGGCCATATCGCAGAACGCTATCCAAAGTACCACTGTGAATGCGGTTTTATCGAAAGATATTGGGGTGCCGCCAAACGCGAAGTTCGCAAGCGGTGTGACTATAGCCTAAAAAGCCTACAAGTAACTGTTCCAAAAGTCTTTGACGAGATTCCATTAACGATGATACGTAACTTTGAACGAAAAGCATGTAGATTTAAAGATACTTATGATCATAAATTTCAGGGACGAGAAGCGCTCCATGTAGTAAAACATTACGCCAATTTTTGAATTATAAATTCCGCTAATGTATATGCACTTTATTCCATTATCATTTACTTTGACTCAACGATGCGATTTGCCGTTTTTTAAAAATATATGGTTTGAGATGACCTGCACCATATTAATATAACTCAGTTATACTTAAAAACATAGTACAGAAAATATTTTCTAAGGGGTAGACTATCGATATTTTTAATTGTGACAGTAGCAAAGGACAAAAGTACGTTTTTGAGGAAGTGCAGGGTTGAAACCAGGTCAATGTTCCACCGATTACCATGGCAACAAGTGTGGCAGGAAACAGACAGCACGTATGCAATAGGACGTTTCACGCTCCGACTGACGTCGTCGCTAACTTCGTATCCAGGTTGCAGCTGCTTGGTTACCATTCTATTGCCTCCTTACGATCTTTTGTCACCAGGCCTTTTATAACATTTTCAATATGACTGGAACTCATCTCATCAAATACAAAAACCGTAAGCCTTTCTTAGCGTTTGCATAAGTGATTTAATTTCCATAGCTAACCCATAGTAGTGATATGCACTTTAATCTGCAGCGTTGCTACTGAGAATCGGACCTTTGAGCTTCAAGAAGTAATCGATCATGCCCAAGATCTTATCATCGACACCTGCGATCTTACGTGCACTGGCAGCGATTACCAAGCACAATGGCTAAACCGGATTCGTGCTTGTGCAAGGATTGAAGATGTTGCTGTGGTAACTATCATGTACTGGCGTACCTATAAACGCGCTTTTTGTTGCCATAGTGATAATCTAAGGTTTCTTTTGACCGGTAGTCCTCTAACAAGCCGAGCTGGAAAGCTATCGAGCAGCGGCTTGCCCAGAGAATAGAGCAGCAACAACGTACAAACGACAGCAACGACAGCAACGACAACAACAACAACAACAATAGCAATAGCAACGGCGGCGACGAAGACGACAGCGGCGGCATTTCTAGTGCAACGCCAACGCGGGATGTGCAGTACGAAATTGGCTATAAATTTACAATAGTTTTTGATAAATCTAATAAATTGCTTGCTGCCATATTAAATTATATCATCCATTTTGATATTTTATCAATTTTATGACATCATGTGACCAAAATCATGTATTCAATGATTATAAAAATTGAAAATCCATAATATAAACAAAGAACGACCCAATGGATACAACAAACTATACACTACTGATTACAAATGAAGTAAACTCAATTATTGCAAATTATTGGCAATTCCTAGAATGGAATTGGCCTACTGTACATAATAAATATAAACATAGAACTAATTTGAAACATATTAAATTCATAAAAAATTAAGGATGAATTGTTACGTAAATTAGGTTATGTTGCTGTATTTTATTTTCTAGTAGTTTTATATACAAACAAGGAATATCCCAGACCTTACTTTGAAATTGAAAAAGGATTATTTTTATTATATCATTTAGTCTCTGGAGTATGTGGTGAAAAATTTGAAAAATACTTACCACATAGCACATTTCATACATTTTATAAAAAGTTTTGGATGGATGAGGACAACTACAAACGAATCAACAAAATAGTAAATGATTCAATGAATAACATGTTTTCATCTATCAAATCACGTATTCTATCTGCTAGAAAGCATAATCCTGACTTATTTAAACATGTAACACTTGTATTGGATGGCCATAATTCAAGAATTAACTATGTAGATACTGAAATTGACCACTTTCAAAGAATGTATTCTTATAAATTTAAGAAGAATGGAATATGTACCCAATTTGTTAGTGATATGAATGATATGATTATTTATACTTCTAAAAGTGACTTTTGTTCTGATAGCTCAGATGGTAGCATGTTTTTAAACATGAAATTATTTAAATATATGCATGAGAATGACATAATGGCAGTTGATGGTGGATATACTTTGTTTATCACACAATTTACAGAGCTTGCTAATGAAAAAGGATATAACTTTAGCCATGATAATTTTGTATACCCTATACGTAAAAATGTAAATGAGCCCTTAACGATTACTGAGGATCATTTTAATAAGACATTTGGAAGTTTTAGGACAAAAGTTGAGAATCAATTTCCAGAAATTGGGAATAAATTCTGCCGATTCAATAATAACAAGTCAGTTGTTAAAATGGATAACATAAAATACTATAATCTGCAATTTCGTGTAGCTTGTTTATTAAAAAATATTACAAAATTTGTAGAAATGTTCAATATTCCTATTTTACCACACCATAAACTATGGCACAGTAATGATTTTAATTTTCCAGTAGAGCATAAATTAATTGATATAGTGGTCAACAATGATAAACAAAATAAAGATAAACTGGATAAAATGATTAGATTGCAAATGACCTGCTTAATATGATATGGCTATATCAAATGAAGAAATGATTGTTGATAATGAATCTGATAATAATTCAAATCAGAGTAATAGTGATAATGATGATGTTCCAAGATTTAATGAGCGTAGTAAAAAAAGAAAGCAAAATAAAGGGAAACAACGAGCAATGGCATCATATGAAATAGAAGAGATTATTAGGTATAAAACTGAAAATAGTACATATTTGCTTGAAGTAAAATGGGTTGGATATAGTGCTGATGGTAACAGTTGGTTATCAATTGATAAATTTAATCAAAAGGATTTATTGAAGGAATATATCAATAAGCATAATCTTGGTATTATAAAATTGCATACTCTGGGTAATATATCATTGATACCATATTATTTAGAAATATTGATTGTATTTAAGGAATGATTGAATTGAAACATAAATACAGTAAAATGGGTTTCCTATAATAACTTTAATAGGTTTAGTTTTTTTCTTTTTCTTATTTTCTTTTCTTTTAATTTTCTCATCTTCAGTGTTATTAGATTTATAAACAACAAGTTTTTTATTTTTAGGAATATGAAGCTTACTATGTTGACAGCAAAGGTAATCCTTTTTACCATCAGGTAAATTTGTTCTGATTTTTCTACCACAAAACTGACCATCACATTTTCCTTTTTTAAATTTATGGGTACAAAAATCATTATTCATGCTCAAGTATAAAAAGTAGTCTATTGAAAACAATGACTTTATTTTATTTTGTAATTTCATTTTTAATTTTTCTACAATATTTTTATTAATGTAAGAATCCAATTCATTTTCCATAAATACATCTAATTCTTTGTTAAGATTATTATGTAATTGGATATGGTTGATTGGGAGGAATTCATTTAATGCAACCATTTTTATTGAATCTTTGAAACAATTTCTTTTTTCAAATACAAAAATTCAAAAAAGTAATTGAGTTTGAAATTTATTTCTTGGTATAAATTAATAGTTTTCTGATAACATTTCTATTAAATGCTCTCGAAACCTATATTCATTATCTTGCTATAAATTCAGTACTATTTACAATATTTTCTTCAACTGGTATATAACATAATGTGAATTCATACCTGGCATTCCTTTCTTACCAATTATTTTTATATATACACAAAATTCAATTTTTTGTACAATTTGGATTTTTACAGCCAATAGATTTCTTACAGCCAATAGTATTATCTAATATCTAATTGGAGTTGGATGTCCCCCAACATCGAAAAGCAGCTCATCACTAAAAACACACCTGACCAAAAAAGATAAAGAGGAGATCAAGAGGCTCCTTACTGGAGTGGACTTGCATAAGTTTTGGACGTTGAAGTCCACGGAGTTGAGAGTGCAAGGAAACGGGGAAGGTGTCAAGTCAGTTGAAGAAAAGATGTACGACTTTGCGATCAAGTGCAATTATTGGCAGTAAGTATTATTTATTCACCCAAAGCGACTGTAAGCTTGAAACAAACGAGAAAAACTAAAATGTGCAATTGGTTATAGCCTGTATCAATCCATGATCTTAGATCTAGACGATGCTAATTGGACAGAAGTGTTCACGACGGAGGAGCTGAAAGAAATTCGAGCACACGGAGCTCCCATATTACACACCGTGCCCGAAGACGTTCAAGAAAAATTAGGGTTACAAGCGTTCTTTAGTAAGTTACACAAAATATATAAAGTTATATAAAAACATTTTTTTTTGATTTTTCATAAAACATTTTTTTTCTTTTTCTTTATCAAAATGTTTAAATCAAATGAAATACTATTTCAAACACTTTACGGCAATGAACAAGCTATAATCTATTTACAAAAGGAAGGACTTATAAAACCTTTTATTTGTAAAAAATGCGAGAAACCATTATCCATTGGAAAATATTATCAAAGATATTGATTTTATTGTTATCCAGATAATATTAGAAAAGGTGTATTTACCGAAACATTATTTGAGAAAACAAATCTACAACCAAGGTGTCCTGCTATTAGTTATCTAACCACTTACAATCTATTGGCTGTAATATGGATTGTAAAATTACTATAGTCGAGATAACCCTATATGGTCGAATTAATTAATTATTAATTTATAAGAAAGGTACTAAAAATTGAATTTTTTTATTATAATAGTAGCCTTATATGAGAAAAAATCAAAGAGAACAGATAAGTATTGCATATAGTAATTTATATGAGATTAAGAATATTATAGGACATATGTATACTAATAATAGATATATATTGAGGTTAAGTGGGTTAGATATAATGTAAAGAATAATAGCTAGTTAACAAATGATAAATTTTATCATTGAAAATGTTACACGAATATATTGTCACACAGGTATTCCACTCTAAATTAATTTATTACTTATTTTGCTCTTTAAAGAATCTCATATTGAAGCTAATTTTATTAACCTTTCTACTATATGCCCAATTATATTTATGCTTTGTATATTGTTCATCCATATCAATTTGTTCATTTTTGACTATGGTTTCATTTGGTATATCTTTATTATCTGATATAGTGTGTTTTATAGCCTTATGCTTTTCAAAATAATCCTTTGGTTGTATATCTTTTACTATTGGCTTACCCTTTTGTTTATTTTTGTTGTGTCTTCTTTTCTTTTTATGTTTTGGTGTACTATTTAGTGTGCTACA